TGGTTTCAATATTTACAAATAATGGATAGATTGACTGTAGACAAGAAAGAGGGAATAACACTAGAAGATAGACAATTGGTTATTCAGATTAAAAACCAAGGTCCGGCTCATATAAAAAGAATATATAATGTTTTATTAGAGTTAGATTCGGAAACAGAATTGGTTAAAGATTGTATGATTAAATGGGCTCAGAATATACAGGAGCCGATCTCATTGGATTTATGGGAGATAATTTGGATAAGAAATGTTAAATTTACACAAGCTCAAAATTTGAGAGAAAATTTTTATAAAATGTTTTATAGATGGCATTTAGATCCTAAAAAATTATCTTGTATGTATTCCAACATACAGCCCAAATGTTGGAGATGTGGCAATAATGATGCGACATACTTTCATATTTGGTGGAATTGTAAAAAAGTAAAGGCTTTTTGGATTATGATTTGGTGGAACATTCAAAAGATTTTTAGAAAAAAGATAAAGTTTACTCCTCAACTATTTTTACTTGGTATTTTTGTTGACTTAAATGATTCTTTGCCTACTTTAGAAGAATGGATATTTAAAGTATCTAGTTTTGCAGAAATGGCAAAAATTTCTGCTTATTTAAAGGATCATACACAAGAAAGATATATTACTGTATGGGGAAGGTGGATAGATTATATTCAGAAAAAGTATGGAATTAAAAAGTTTATTTATTTTATGAATGAATATCAAATATTATAGAGAATTGTTTTATAGGTTATGGAGTTAAAGGTTAATTATGATTTTTTTTTCTTTCTCTCTTTTTTTTTCTTTTTTCTTAATTATTATAATTTTCTTTTTTTTTTTTTTAACCCTGTATCCTGCTCTGGGAAGTGAAGGGAGGGGGGGTGGGGGTGGGAGGGAGGGTAAGGGGGGGTTCTCTATTTTAAAATTTTATTGTATTTTTATAAATGATTGTATGTTTTAAAAAATAAAAATTTTCAATATAAAAAAAAAAAAGAACCAGGGACTTTTTGATTGATAGCTTGACCCCTTGATCTTCTCAGATGAATTAGCTCTCCTGTTGCCTTTGATCCAACAGGCTTCACAGCTTTGGGGAAAAACCCCCACAAACTAATCTAAATTGTCCATTTTAAAACCCTTATTTAAGTTGCAGTAAGGGTTGGTATTTTGTAGTTCAATCTTTTGCATTTGTTTGCCACCCAGAGTTGCCTTGTGCTGAGTTGGGTGGCAAACAAATTTTAAATTATTATTGTTATTATTGTTGTTGCTGCTGCTGCTGCTGTTGTTGTCATAAAGTACAGAGGCTTTTAAGAGTCTGAATATGTATGGAACTAAGAAAGGAATCTGTTGGCAAGAATTGTTATGAGGCTGATTCCTGAAGCATTAAGTAAATGTTTGCAAAGTTCCTTTAGAACAGTGGTGCTCAACCTTTTTAATGCCGCGACCCCCAACCGGTCGTAAGTTGAGGACTACCCAACCAGTCGTAAGTCGAGGACTACTCAACTGGTGCAGCACCGTTTGCAGAATGGGACTTTTGGCGGGCTCAGCAGGGCAGAGACAGCCTGGACTCTATTCAAGAAAATCTATTCTATTGGCTTTCAAAAGCCAATAGAATAAAAGGGAGTAGCACAGCTAAGGAAAAGAGGGAAAAAATGGCGGACTGCGTTGATTGGCGACCCCCGTGACATGGTCGTTCGACCCCAAATGGGGTCCCGACCCACAGGTTGAGAACCACTGATTTAGAAAAAAGCAGAGAATAAAGGGTATAATGATAAGAAGGAATAACCTTTTACCTAGCAGCTCTTGTCTTCTTAGAACTCACCCCCTCCCCACACACAAACACACTACTCCAAAGAAAACAGGCATCCAGACCACATATACTACACCCACAAATAGTTTAAAGGTCACTTTGCAGATTAGTTATCATACACACATATTTTCTGCCAATAGATTAAGGAAGAGTAGTGCCTATCTCCCCTAGGAATGTCATTCTGGCTGCAGTGCTACCTCAGCTATTATATAGTATTAGATCAGGGCTTTTCAACCTTTTTACCCATTGTACCACTTTTAGGATATGGCAATATCCGAGTACCACCTGTCGCCTAGCAAGGTGTCAAAAACTTGATGACCAAAAAAAAGGAAAAAAAGGGATACAGGTAGTCCTCGACTTACAACAGTTCGCTTAGTGACTGTTTGAAGTTACCACGGCACTAAAAAAAGTGCCCCCCAAGCCACAGCTGAGCAAGACACCTGCCTGCCCACCCGGCGGTGCTCTTCCTCCTGTCTGAGGTTTCCATTGTTGTGAGCATTTCTGTTGAGGATTGGCAGTGGGGGTGGGGTGGGGGGTGTTTGGTTTTTATTCCCCCCTGTCTGCTGGGTGGTTGCAGCAGGTTTTGGTCACTTCACATGACCCTGGGACACTGTGACTGTCATAAATATGAATAAGATGCCAAGCATCTGAATGTAAATCACAAGACCCTGGAGAGGCTGCAACATTCCAGCTGATCGGCGCTTCTTCTGGGCTCAGCAAAAGTGCCAGGATCAGTGCTGTTTTCCAGCTGATTGGTGCTTCTTCAGCGCTGAGCTCCAGCTGGAGCCTGGCGCCAATCCTGGCGCTTCCGCTGAGCCCTGACAGCCCTGCAGCTCCAGCCATCTCTCGCTCAGGTTTCTGCGGTGCTGCCACCGGTTCAGCTCATTCCCCTCCCCTGCTACCACTTTTCTAGGATGGTCACGTACCACCTGCCAGGTGCCAGTGTACTACAGGTGGTACCCGTACCACTGGTTGAAAAGCCCTGTATTAGATCACAGTCTACACCAGTGTTTCTCAATCTTGGTAGCTTGAAGAGGTATAGAATTCAAGTCCCAGAAATTCCCATCCAGCATAGCATAGCTGGCTGGGGAATTCTGGGACTTGAAGTCCACGCATCTGCCTACCTGCCTGCCTCTCTCTCTCTCTCTCTCTCTATCTCTCTCTCTCTCTCTCTCTCTCTCTATCTATCTATCTATCTATCTACACATCCATCCAACCATCCATCATCCATCATCTATCATCATCTGTCTGTCTATCTACCCATCCATCTATCCATCCATCCATCATCTATCATCTGTCTGTCTGTCTACCTACATCTCTCTCTCTCTCTCTCTCATGATCATTATTAAAGGCTTTTTTCTTAATATAAAATACAAACAGAAATAAAGACAATGGAAAACAGAAAAGAAAGGGAATAGAGGGGATAAAGTGAGGGAAAGGGGAAAATAGAATAGAATAGAATAGAATGTGGAATGGAATGGGATGGAATGGAATGGAGTGGAATAGAAGAGAAGAGGAGAGGAGAGGAGAATATAGGGATGAAATAGAAGCGAAGAGAGGAATAGAATAGGATAGGACAGGACAGGACAGGACAGAATAACAGAGTTGGAAGGGACCTTGGAGGTCTTCTAGTCCAACCCCCTGCTCAAGCAGGAGTCCCTACCTACACCATTTCAGACATATGTCCAGTTTCTTCTTAAAAACCTTCATTGATGGAGTGCCCAATTGATGCAGTCAGCTTCACCATCTCTGCCAGTTCCATCCTCTTTTCAATCCATCGTGGGGTTTAAAGTCCACGCATCTTCCAGTTGCCAAGGCTGAGAAAGTCTGGTCTAGGACACGGAAATAAATAAGGCACACATTCTGGTGAGAGAGAAGTTTCCTGAGCGTGGGCTCCATCATGAGTCCGAAAGCTCGGAAGACTAAACTTCTGATCCAACCCAGATTGGATCCTTCAACAACATCATCCTGGGACGTGTATATATTTGCCTTCGATTCACGATAAATGAGGTTGAAAGAAATCTTCCCAAAGTTTTCAAAAGAACTTTGGGAATCTCTAACTGTCCCACCAGGGAGCACTATTTAGCCAACTTTATCATGCTTGAAAACAATAAATAAATAAAGAAGCAGAGCAAAACTTTATTAGAACTTGAGAAATCATGAGGAAATCTGATTCGACAGGATGCTTTTGAAAAAGATTGTGGAAGAGAGAAACCACACACTATTTCTTCACTATTGTCAGGAAAGTAACACGGATATTCTATGTGACCTTCAAGAGCAAACTTTACTTCTTTTACTGTCTGGCACAATCAGATTTTCATGGATTAAAATCTGTGAACTGAAAAGGAAGTAGTAGATCAGGGGTCTTCAAACTCGGCAACTTTAAGACGCGTGCCTGGCAGAGGAATTCTGGGAGTTGAAGTCCACAAGTCATAAAAGGGCCAAATTTGAAGACCCCTGTTCTAGTTACTAACCTAGCTCTCTGCCCACCAACCTTTCTTATTTCACTGTAATGTTTGATGTCACAGTGAGCTATGAGTGGGGATTGTGAACATCTCATAAGGTAATGTGGGAAGTCAGCCCCCCAGAGAAGGAAATATTAAAAGGACAGAAAAATATATTTCCTCAAAGGATCTTAAAAAAAAAAAAAACGCAGGAAAGCATGCCCAGTTTTTCTTAATAGCCCCAGGTCTCCCTCCCCCAAGCAAAACTAGCTCTATAGAAATGCAGATGCAGATCATTCAGGAAAGTTGGAGCTAGAAGCTTAAGAAGACAAAGACACCTAAAATCTACATACCCCACCCAAGGTCTAAGACAGGACATAATAGGATTAACTCATAGATGCCAAAGGGACACAGGTCAAAATACATGATATAGGAAATACAAAGCCTCAAATAGGAACAGGAAATAACCTCCAAACAAAAGGCTCCAGAGGGTATAAAAACCCACTCCCTACATGTGCTCAGCTCTTTTTCTCTCTTTTCTGCCAGAGCCATCTTTCTGTCTGGTTCTCCTCTTCAATAAACTGCAACCTTCTTTCTAAGCAGTCACCATGTTGTTTATCCCCAGCTTGGACTGGACCATGATGAAGACTTTTCCTTCAACAGTAATAAGCTGTGATATAGGATACTCATGGAATATAGAGCTGGGTGTATTTGACTGAGAGAATTGTGTAATTTTAAGTACTGCTTGTGCTTCTCTGTTCCAGTTTCTTATGCAGATGTTGGCTGCAAGTCGTTCTGATAAAATAGCTGAAGACAGTGAGCTGCTATCCAGGAAGCTTTCAATGAAGATCCTTCAAGAATTTAGATCACAGTCTTCCGCAACCATTTAAGTTTCTATTCTGCTCCACTGGTGACAGTTTTAACCTTTGTGAAACAAAGCAAAAAAACAAAACAAAACCCACCCATCAGACAGAGCTCTTGTATGTTCCCACTCATCTTCCTTAGCAGATGTTGAGTCAGCCCCAGTCAAAGGCAGAGAGAAATAAGCCAAGAAAATTAAAGGAACATAACAAGTTCATCCATAAAATGATTGGCCTTATGCATTAAATGGTGGGTGGAAAGTTTTTTTTTTTTCAGAATAGTATGCGTTAGGAGAAAATCAATTTTAAATATAAAAGTAACATTTACAGTGTTAACAGAATGGGAAAAATTCCATGTAGCTTGTTTTCATGCTGGGAATGTTCAATAAAACTTCTTCTGTTGTTATATGTGCTTGATTCTCGCATGTTCCCTAAAGCGGGCTGTTGCATTTTTATAGTTTGTGGGAAAAGAAAAGCATGTTGCCCTCCTTTATTTGTTTGTTTGTTTGTATTCCACCTTTATTATTTTTACAAGTAAAATGGCAAACATCCAACACACCTTCCTCCTTCTATTTTGCCTATAGCGACCCTGAGTTGGGCTGAGAAAGGATGATTGGACCAAAGTCACCAGCCAGTTTAAGGCAGGACTAGAACTCACCGTCCACTGGTGATTGGGCCAAAGCCACCCAACTGACTTTCATGCCTAAGGCGAGACTAGAACTCACTGCCTTCTGCTTTTCAGCCTGGTGCCTTAACCATTTTACTTAACAGCTACAATGATTTGCTTAATGACCCCCACAAAAAATGTAACACCAGGTCTGCTCACATGGGTGCCTCGACTTATGACTGTAATGATTTATGACCACAGATCTGATCCCAATTGTTGTAATGCAATAATTTGCAGGATTGTGGCTGACACTATCCAGGATAAAAAAAGAAGCCTATGTCAGTGATGGCGAACCTTTTACAGACCGAGTGCCCAAACTGCAACCCAAAACCCACTTATTTAACCCCAGGTGCTGGGTGGGCATGGCCCACTGGGTGGGTGTGACCAAGGCATGGTCACCTCGATTTGCTCGTGGGGAGGGACGCCTGTCAGAGCCAGGCAGGGTTGGGGGATATCCAGGGGGTGTCTGGCAGGTGGGGCAGTGGGCACGAGACTCGTCCTGCGGGGTGAGGGGAGGCAAGGCAGGGCGGGGGTGCCATTGACGCAGGGCAAGGCGAGGCAGGGGCCGGGGCAACTGCTGCCTGACACATCGGCCCCCCCACACAGAGGCCAGCGAGCGTATGGGAGCTGACAATCTCCGTCAGCAGCCACAGCCTGCCCGCCTCTCAACCAGCACTCTCTGGGGCTCCGCAGCCTGCTGCCAGCAGTTCAGAGAAACTGCCTCTCAGCTGGACAGCCAGCCAACAGTTGAGGAGGCGATGCAGTGGAAAGGAGAGCATGTGAGACAAGGAGGGATGGGACGGGGGGGGGGGAGGGAAACCAGCCGTGCCGGGATGCATCCGGCCACGTGGGACCTCGGCAAGTTAGCGGGTGGCTGGTTGAAGAGGGACGGTTGTCATCTCCGGGGCATGGCGCGCGTGCCCACAGAGAGGGCTCTGAGTGCCGCCTCTGGCACGCGTGCCATAGGTTCGCCACCGCTGGCCTATGTAGTAACACTTTTTCTGACTGACAAAATTTACCTAACAGTGTAAGATTTTGTGAGCTGTAGCTTTTGCTTTCCAATTCAATTTGTTAGTTGGAAAAGGTGCTCCCAGACTCCCTTATTTTTTTGCTAACATGACTCTTCCTACAAAGCTGACTACCTGAAGCATATTTCTCTATTGCTGTTCCTACAAAGACACAGCTGGTTTATTTCTGAACTTAGGCTGCGCTTCAGAAGACTTCTGTGCCTATAAATTTAAAGGACACATAGGGCAGTGCTAAAAGCCCTGAATGATAAGGCACGATTGAAGAAGTCTCCAAATACAGTCTCGGCCCATTAGCGTCTAATTAGCCGCTACCACTTTTAATAAGACAGCTGGAAATCCATTCTCGAGAGAGCCTCACCTTTCAAATTAAGAACAAGATATCGACCAACATTTTTAAGGTGACCAACTTTTTTACAATGAGAAGGAGGACACAAATAAATTGAAGGAAAAAAAGTGAGTCTAATGTGTGCGTGTGTGCCGTGTCATGTTTCAGTAAGAAGTAAACAAAGCCACTTGCGTGCGGCGCACTCTCTCAAAACAATTCTGCTGTGCGGAGCGCATACGTCTCATAATCACATAGTCTCGCCACACTGTACCGAACCTTGACGAATTGTCATATCAAATACAAATATGTCACATCACACGCAACGGATTGGCTCGGCATCGATCGAATACAGAGATTTACAGATTAGTCTTCAAATATTGAAAAGGAGGACATGTAGGAGGACACTTTTCGAGAGAGGACAGAACTTACAAAAGGAGGACTGTCCTCCCTAAAGGAGGACGGTTGGTCACCTTAACATTTTAAAACTAAACCACAGAAGGGAGTTTTATTGAGAATGGACTTGAACATCATTTCAGTGTTGAATCAACAGGTAAATGAGTGCCTTGAATAACAGCAGCTTTAGCTAACATCTAAACGGCTGCAAACCTTGAACATAATTTTCCTGGATGTTGGTTTACATCCTGCAAGATCCTGACTCAAAAGGCAGCGTCAAAAGAGCAAATACAGTTAAAGGAGCTTAACTGAAATCTGCAAGAGATCGCCTTTCCCTAAGAACATCTATCTGGGTTACCAGATTAGATAGGGTACGTAACCCTCCCATCCTTTAAACATTGCCAATTTATGGGGGTTAGGAAGCGTGTCCCTGTCCCAGGGAACATCCTTCCCCCGTGGTTAAACAGGCCTCCACCCTCCTAGCTTTCTCTAATGCATTGAAGACCCGGCTTTTCCTCCATGCAATGGGATGGCAGGGGTAGGCAACCTTGGCTCTTTTATGACTCGTGGACTTCAACTCCCAGAATTCCTGAGTCAGCCACGCTGAGGGGAAAGGGAGAGTTTCCAAGCTGAGCCATGTTGGCTCAAGAATTCTGGGAGTTGAAGTCCACAAGTCATAAAGCGGCCTAGGCCTAGGCCAGAGATAGGTAACCTTGGCTCTTTTATAACTCATGGACTTCAACTCCCAGAATTCCTGAGTCAGCCATGCTGAGGGGAAAGAGAGAGTTTCCAAGCTGAGCCATGCTGGCTCAGAAATTCTGGGAGTTGAAGTCCACGAGTCATAAAAGAGCCAAGGTTGCCTACCCCTGGGATAGGGTGTGGTGGCTTCACACGGGAAGTTTGACTTGGGGCAACAGGATTTTGTTTTTATGAATTTGGTTTATAAGGTTTTTCAGTTCTTTGAACGCCTGTTGGAGAGCTGCCCAGAGTCTGATAGAAGTGGGTGGCTATATAAATGTTTTAAGCGAATCGTCAAACCATAAGAGCAACTAAGATGATCAAAGGCCTGGAGACTAAAACATACGAAGAATAGCTATGGGATTTAGGGTTTGGCTAGTCTAAAGAAAAGAAATAGGGGAGACATGATAGCAGCGTTCCAGTCTCTGAGGGGCTGCCACAAGGAAGAGGGGGTCACGTTATTCACCAGAGCACCAGAAGGCAGGACGAGAAACAATGGTTGGAAACTGATCAAAGAGAGAAGCAACCTGGAATTAAGGAGAAACTTCCTGACAGTGAGGACAATTAACCAGTGGAACAGCTTGCCTCCAGAAATTGTGGGCACTCTCCATCCCTGGAGGTTTTTAAAAAGAGACTAGACCAGGGGTAGGCAACCTTGGCTCTTTTATAACTCGTGGACCAACTCCCAGAATTCCTGAGCCAGCATGACTCAGCTTGGAAACCTCTCCCTTTCCCCTCAGCATGGCTGGCTCAGGAATTCTGGGAGTTGAAGTCCACGAGTCATAAAAGAGACAAGGTTGCCTACCCCTAGACTAGACGGTCACCTGTCTGAGACGATATCGGTTCTCCTGCTTGAGCTGGACTAGAAGACCTCCAAGATCCCTTCCAGCTCTATTTCTATTATCATACATATAAAGTGATAAATATCTGTCAAAGCTCTCTTCTTGAATTTTTTTCCACCAATAAGGGCAATGTCGCCCTAAGACAGGGATATCAAACTGCCAGCCCGCAGGCCAGACGCGTCATGATGAAACCACGCTCACCCCATTGCCAGCAATGGGGAAAAAGCACCGATACATCACGTGATGTCATGTGACATCGCAAGTTTGACATGTCTGCCCTAAGAAATCCACTCTAAACCACCACATTTTAAAAGGTGGGAAAAAATTAATGGGGCAAAACTGGCGCTGAAAACTAAGGTTCAAAAACCTTCAATGACTATTGATATTAGTCAATGATGTACATAGTGGCATGTTTTTTGTTTGCAACTGCTGAAATCTAGTTTCACAATTTCCCAATCTTCTTTGTAAGGATTCAAAGTGTTCCATAATTGCTAGAGGTCTAAATGTAGGTGGTCCTCAAATTACGACCGTAACTGAGCCCAAGATTTCCAGTGGCAACTGTTAAGCGAGTTGTGCCTCACTTAACAACTTTTTTTCCCCACAATTGTTAAACGAATCGCAGTTTGTTAGGTGAATCCTGTGTTTGTTAAAGAAATCTGGCTTTCCTCATTGACTTGTCGGAAGATGGCCTGGTGATCACATGACCGTGGGGCAGCGCAATTGTCGTAAACCCACACCAGCTGCCAAGCGTCCACTTTTTGAACAAGAGACCATGGGGACGCTGCAACCGTAATAATAATAATAATAATAATAATAATAATAATAATAATAATAATAATAATAATAATAATAACAAAACCCTCTAACTAAAGAAATAAAAGAATTGAAACAAAGAATAACTGAGCATCTAGAACAGCACAAAAACAACAGAATAAGGCTACCTACATTGAAGCTTGTTCCAAAGAAACAGCTAGCACAAGCATTAAAAGATGCAAATACTGCAATATCAAGTATAAGCACCAATTCACTGCAAGAAACAAACCAACTAATGTACAGCACAGCTGCAGTTATAACAGAATACCTGGGATGCAAAATCAACAAAAAAGAAAAACAAACAAACAGCGCACCAGAAAAATGGAAGGTTAGACTAGAAAATAAGATCAGCAAGTTAAGATCACATGCAAGCAAGCTAGAACAGATGAAAGAAAAGAAGCTGAAGAACAAGAAGACCAAAGAAGACCTAATCAAGAAATACCACTTAGAAACAAGGAAGATCAAGGAAGCACTGGAAATAATAAAGCAACAAATAACAGCTATAGACAGGAAAATCAGTAGATATGAAGCTCGAATTGCAAACTATAGGCAGAACCTCCAATTTCAATCCAATCAGAAACGTTTCTACCAATCCATCAATGGAGAAACTGCAAAGAATCAGTCAGTACCTGACAAGGAAGAAACAGTGCAGTTCTGGAAGCAGATATGGGATAACCCAAAGAAATACAACAAGGATGCGGCTTGGTTAAAAGAGGTGGATGCAAATAAAACAGAAGTTGAAATGAAAGAACTAGTAATAACAACAAAAATGGTAGAAAAAAGAGCAAGGAAAATCAAAAATTGGTCAGCACCAGGTGAAGATGAACTGCATGGGTTTTGGTTGAAACATCTAACTGTTATACACCCACTCATTGCCAAGCAGTTCAACAATATACTACAAGGAGGAGAAATTGAAAAGTGGCTAACAACTGGGAAAACCTACCTAATAATAAAAAATCCAGCAAAAGGGGCAACACCAGGCAACTACAGGCCAATTACCTGTTTACCAACAACTTTCAAATTACTAACTGGTGTTGTAGCTGATGCAGTACAACAGCATCTAGTTGAAAACAATCTCTTTCCACCTGAGCAGAAAGGAAACCGCCCCAATAGCAGAGGAACAAAAGATCAACTCCTAATAGACAAAATGATCTTGGAAAACTGCAAGAGAAGGAAGACCAACCTGAATGTGGCATGGATTGACTACAAAAAGGCATTTGACTCTCTGCCACATGATTGGATAATCAAGTGCCTAGAAATAACAGGAGTCAGTAGAAACATCAGAAAATTTGTGCAAAGATCGATGGCACAATGGAAGACACAGTTGCAGATCAATGGTGAGAAGCTGGGAGAGGTTAATATCAAGAGAGGGATATTTCAAGGAGATTCATTATCACCATTACTATTTGTTATTGCACTGTTTCCTCTGTCAACAATACTGAATAACTCAGGACATGGCTATCAAACATCAAAAACATCTGCCAGACTATCCCACCTCCTTTATATGGATGATCTGAAGCTGTATGGAAAAACATCATCTGAAATAGAATCGCTGCTCAACACTGTCCGTATATATAGCCAAGATATTGTAATGGAGTTTGGCTTGGACAAATGTGCCACACTTACTATCAAACAAGGAAAAATTCTCCAGTCTGGATGTCTGATGGTGCAAGATCAGAAATATTACAGGGAGAGAGGCACACATGAGCTGGAGTTGTCAGAACAATTCCTCAATCTTTTGAGATTTGTGGACTTCAACGCCCAGAATTCCATGCTATCTGAGGAATTCTGGGAGTGGAAGGCCACAGGTCATGGAAACTGCTGAGATGGAGAAACATCTTTGTAGAATCTTTTTGAGGCTGGTATATGACAGGAATCTAAATTCTTGACCTGTTAGAACTGGTGGCCTACCCACAATTTGTAACCTAAGTGTAAGTATTGAATTTCAGCAGATGTAAGAGCTAGCTAACTTCATCTGAGCATGGAAGCCAATCTGGACATACTTAGAAACATGGTCTTACATGTAAATATTTTTAAAGGACTGTCTTTATGCAGAGTTTGATAGATAAATCACTACTGGTAATCCTTGGCTTACAACCATTCTTTTAGTGACCTTTCAAAGTTAACAACAGCACTGAAAAAAATAACTTGTGACCGGTTTTCACTTACAATTAGGGAATCAAACTATTCTCCAAAGCACCCAAAGGCAGGACAAGAAGCGACGAATGGAAACTAAAGAAAGAGAGAAGCAACCTAGAACAGTGGTTCTCAACCTTTTTAATGCCGCGACCCCCAACCGGTCGTAAGTCAAGGACTACTCAACCAGTCGTAAGTTGAGGGCTACTCAACTGGTGCAGCACCGTTTGCAGAATGGGACTTTTGGTGGGCTCAGCAGGGCAGAGACAGCTGGACAATTCCTATTGGCTTTTGAAAGGCAATAGAATTAGACTCTATTCAAGAGAATAAAAGGGAGTAGCACAGCTAAGGAAAAGGGGAAAAAAGATGGCGGACTGCGTTGTTTGGCGACCCCCGTGAAATGGTCGTTCGACCCCAAATGGGGTCCCGACCCACAGGTTGAGAACCACTGCTCTAAAAGGAATGCAAATGACCAGCTGTCAGCGAGGAATATAAATCCTGCCATTCCCCCCACCATCTAGTCAGAGCTGAAGAAGCTTCTTGGAGGAGAAGCGAAACGTCTTCAAAGAAAAACAAGGAAGTCCAGCTGCCTCTTGAAAAAAGCCCCTTTGGGATTATTGAGGACGCTCCATCGTGGTCGAGGACTCAGTGGAGTATTTAAAGCTTGCCTGCAACGCTCCAGCTGGCCACGAGGGGGCAAGCAAAGCCGTCCAGGCTGCTGCAACTGTCCTGCCATTTGACGGGCAGACCCCCCCCCCCCGAGCCGCGAGACCCCCGCTTAACCTTTTCCAAGCGACCCACGGCCGGGCTAACCGAAGCCTCTTTCCCCGCAACCAGCCGCTCTGCTTTCCGGCTCTCCGCGAGCCCTTTTAAGCGGCTTTAAGCCCTTTCCGCCTGCGGGGATCCTCCCCAGCTGCAAGCAGCAGCAGGCCTCGCCTTGAAAGAGCCCAGCGGTTTTTGTTCTGCCAATGCTCGTCATACAAAAGTTCCTTTTCGCGGCTCGCCAGTTGCGCTTTTCTGCCTCGACGGCAGCCGTTTCTTGTCTCCCGACCCGGGGGCTTTGAAAGGGGTGGGGGGGGGAGGTTGCGGTCGGCATTTAGCCTGCGCGGTTTCCACCCCCCCTCCCCCTGCCCCCCCCCGTCTCTGCTTCGACGGGCGGGATCGCTTGGCTCGAGCAAAGGAAATAAAGTTGGAAGGGACCTTGGAGGTCATCTAGTCCAACCCCCTGCTCAGGCAGGAAACCCTCTGTGACGATGCTCTCGCCCGCGGCGCTTGCTTTTCCCTTCGGGGCGGCAAGGCCAGGCCAGGGCGGGGAGCAGCTGGTCGGCCTCCCAAGTTTGCGCTCCGCTCCCTAGGGTGCAAGAGAGCGGGGAAGCTCCCGGCTCGACGGCCGCCATCCGCAACTTGGGCGCCCTCCGCGAACTCCGCTGGCCGCGAGGCTCCTCCCCGGCCTGGGCAGGTGCCCGCCTCGCTCCCGGTGCCCATATAAGGCTCCTGGGTGGGAGGGCGCGGCCCTGCTTCGCTCGGGCTCAACGCTAAGTCCCGAGGGCCGGTTGTTGCTCCTGCTGCTCCGGCCGCCGTGGGCCATGGCGTGGCTGGGAGTGGAGGATGAGGACGGCGGGCTTCTGGCCGGGCTGTGGCAGGCCTTGCTGGCGGCGGTGGCGGCCGCCTTCATGAGCTGGCTGTGGTTCGGCGGCGGCCGCGGCGGCGAGGGGGAGCGGGAAGCGGTGGAGGAGCCCAAGGGGGAGACGCGCGGAGCCAAAGGTACCGTCCACCTTCCTTCCTTCCTTCCCTGCCTCCCTCTCTTTCTTCATATCGTTTTCCTTCCTTGCTTTCCTTCCTCCCTAGCTTCCTTCCCTCCTCCTTTCTTTCCTCGCTTCCTCCCTTCCTTCCTCCCTTTCCTTCCATCTTCCTTCTTTCCCTCCTTATCTTGTTTCCTTCCTTCCTTCCATCTTCCTTCCTTCCTTCTTTCCCTCCTTATCTTGCTTCCTTCCATCTTCCTTTCTTCCTGCTTTCCCTCCTCTTGTTTCCATCTTCCTTTCTCCCTCCCTTTTCCTTCCTCCCATCCAACTTGGTCCTTCCTTCCTTCCTTCCTTCCTTCCTTCCTTCCTCCCTCCCTCCCTCCCTCCCTCCCTTCCATCTTCCTTCTTTCCCTCATCTTCCTTCCATCTTCCTACTTTCCCTCCTTATCTTCCTTCCTTCCTTATCTTCCTTCCTTCCTTCCATCTTCCTTCCTTCCTTCTTTCCCTCCTTATCTTGCTTCCTTCCATCTTCCTTTCTTCCTGCTTTCCCTCCTCTTGTTTCCATCTTCCTTCCTCCCTTCCTTTTCCTTCCTCCCATCCAACTTGGTCCTTCCTTCCTTCCTTCCTTCCTTCCTTCCTTCCTTCCTCCTTCCCTCCCTCCCTCCCTTCCATCTTCCTTCTTTCCCTCATCTTCCTTCCATCTTCCTACTTTCCCTCCTTATCTTCCTTCCTTATCTTGCTTGCTTCCTTCCACCTTCCTTCCTTCCTTCTTTCCCTCCTTATCTTCCTTCCTTCCATCCATCCTTCCATCCTGCTTTCCCTCCTCTTGCTTCCATCTTCCTTCCTCCCTTCCTTCTATCCAACTTGGTTCCACCTTCCTTCCTTCCTTCCTTCCTTCCCTCCCTCGCTTGAGTCCTTTCCCTTCCTGCCGCCCCGCTTCTTCTGGGGCAGAAGGCAGACTCCTAGAGCTGGAAGCGACCTCGGAGGCCTTCTTGTCCAACCCCTGCTTCTCGGGGGGGGGGGGTGTCAAATGATTGTCCGGCCTATTTTTGGAAACCTCCAGCGAGGGAGCGCCCACAACTCTTTCAGCGCCTCAAGACGCGGCTTCGCCCCAGAACCGCCGGCGCTTTTACGCGCTTCGGGCGCTCTGGAGAGGGGGACGCGCCCTGCAGGCGTGTTTCTGTCGGTCTCCAGCTCCCCTTTCTGCCTTTATTCCTGCTTCCCTCTCTCTCTCTCTGACCAGGACAGTTTGGTCCTGAAGCCCCCTCCCCAATTGATTGCTAGTGGGAACCCCCTCTCTTTTGCTTTGGACATGCCCCTTTCACACATTCCCCCCCCCCCCAAACGGGTCAGGCGAAAGCCTTGCTAGATATATTAGTGAGGGGTCCTGGGTGCTCTCTGGGCTGGCTGGCTTGCTTGCTTGCAGACGTCCCATTACCCAAACTCAGTAACATCACCAGTGCCAGAAATATTAGTGCTAACCTTGGAGTGGGGATGTGGTGGAATGTGACGCAATCCCAGCCCGTTTAGTATGTGGCGCCAAATATGATGAAGGTCAGGGGGAAAAAAAATGCAAGGGGAGAATCCGGTCCCCAGTGGGTTGTGTGAATGCAGCCAGAATGAGCTATTAAACCTGGAACGTTTTAAACATCTGTACTGAGCGGGGTGGGATAGGGTGAGACATGGGGGGAGGGTCTGGGCTGCTGAAATCTCTGCTGGTAATCAATCAATGCCGCTTCAAAAGGCAAAATAACTTCTGTAAAGTTAATTCCTCAATATATTTCACAAGAGTTGCTGCTACAGTAGAGCAGTGGTTCTCAACCTTTGGGTCGGGACCCCATTTGGGGTCGAACGACCATTTCACGGGGGTCGCCAAACAACGCAGTCCGCCATTTTTTTCCCCTTTTTCCTTAGCTGTGCTACTCCCTTTTATTCTATTGGCTTTTGAAAGCCAATAGAATAGACTTTCTTGAATATAGTCTAATTCTATTGGCTTTCAAAAGCCAATAGGAATTGTCCAGGCTGTCTCTGCCCCGCTGAGCCCGCCAAAAGTCCCATTCTGCAAACGATGCTGCAAGTTGTCTGCAGCGAAGGCGAGCTGTCTGGAAGCTTCCACCCCTCCCTGCTGAGCAACTACTAAAAATGTAAGTAAAAGAGGGCCAGGGGTAGGAGGTGGGAGGCCGGCAGGCGCAGGGAGGGTTGCTGGCACGCGTGGGGCCCGGCGGGTGCCTTACCTCCCTTGGGCTGGGCCAGTTGGTGGCCCAGCCGGTGGTTGGCCTGCTCCGTCTCTGCTGCTTGCCAGCTACGCCTCGGCCGGCGCAGGGGGCGGCACCACGCATGCGCGGCGCTCCCGGGCAGGGAAAGTCCTCGACTTACGACCAGTTGGGTAGTCCTCGACTTACGAACGGTTGGGTAGTCCTCGACTTACGAACGGTTGGGGGTCATGGCATTAAAAAGGTTGAGAACCACTGCAGTAGATGAAGGGGGGGGCTTAAACTGTAACATATTAAAAACAATTAGTAAACAAATACGTTGATCTATTAAGTCAGTGTTTCCCAAACTTGACAATTTTAAGGCATGAGGACTTCAACTGGCTGTGGAATTCTGGGAGTTGAAGTCCACATGCCTTAAAATTGTCAAGTTTGGGAAACACTGTATTAAGTAAACACTACTAATAAAGTCTAAAAAATAATAATAATTCTAACAATCAAAAGTAACAAATGAAAATCAGTAAATCAGAAAAAGCAATCGTATCATCCAAATGTTAGTTGGAACTCGATTAAAAATCAGTCATCTATTCTAAAATATTAAATCCTTCAAGTTCTAACGGGACACCCCTGTTTTTGAGCCCGAGATGCTGCATGCTCTTGGTAATAAAAGAAAATTGGATGGGGGCTGGCCCCGAATCGGGCAGCTAAAATGCCTTTGGCCAGCCTATTCAGTGGCGCCTTGGCAGGATTCTTATAGCTATAGAAGGGCAACTATGCAAAGTATCATCTTAGATTGTGCGACCTTTCTATGGATTGCAGCGCACAGGCTGCCATCAAGTTCTGCAGGCCCCACGGGAATCCTTGGCATTTGGGCCTGTGTTTGCCGAATATATGGACAGGCCATGCAAACTGGCCTTCAGCTATTTTTAGCTCCCTTGTACCACCCGTTAATGGTTATTCCTGGCAGAGCCAAAGGAGTGCCTTTGCTCTTAACATTTCACAGAGCCCAAATCAATCCGTTGCAAGATGATCGTGGGAGAAAAAAGTTAAAAATAAATGGACGCAAGGAACAAGCCCCAAAGTGGAAAATAAAGGCTGAAAATAACTGTTCGCTAAAGATAATACATGTAGTATAATGAACTACAGAGAGTCCCTGATTTATGACAAAAGCTGAGTCCAAAATTCTTGTTGCTGAAGCATTTGTTACATGGGTTTTGATCCAGTTTATGACCTTTCTTGCCACAGCTGTTAAGTCAGGGGTGTCAAACTCAATTTCATTGAGGGATGCATCAGCATTGCGGTTGCCCTCGGGGGGGGGGCGCGTAGGGTGTGTGGCCAGGGTGGGTGCAGCCTACTGAGTGGGTGTGGCCTACTGGGTGGGCATGTCCAGCTCTAAATCGTTCGCGTCAAGGGTGCCTGTGGGGGCCTGGGCAGGAGTGGGACAGATCTGAAGGTCTCTGGCAGAAGGGGGTGGGACCGGGGAAGCGCCAAGGCATGGTCCATTTCTTCATTCCTCACAAAGGGTGACACCTCCCCAGCATGCACCCAGGGGGCGGGGCCGACATGGCAGGGGCTGGTTCCTCGCTGTTTCCAGACAGCCTTGTGGAGCTAAGACTGAATGTGTTTCAGCATAGATGGCCACCACACAATTGTACATTGGCTCCCGGCCAGCCTGGGCCAGGGCCAAGGCAGCGGGGGCCGTTCCCTCACTGTTTCCAGGATGGCTTCACGGACCACATGAAACCACTTTGCAGGCCGCATCCGGCCCCCGGGTCTTGTGTTTGACATGTCTGTGTTAAGTGAATCATTGCAGTTGTTAAGTTAGTAACACGGTTGTTAAGTGAATCTGGCTTCCCCATTGAATTTGCTTGTCAGAAGGTAGCAAAAGGGGATCACGTGACCCCGGGATGCTGCAACTCTTGCATAAGCAGGTGCCGAGTGTCTGAATTTTGACCACGTGACCGTAGGGATGCTGCAACGGTCGTAAGTGTGAAAAATGGTCATAAGTTACCTTTTTCACTGCTGTTGTAACTTCAAACGGCCACTAAGCGAACTGTTGTAAGTAGAGAACTAACTGTAGTTGCTTGAGAATGGATTGCTTGTATTATTATTTTTTTGCTGTGGCTAATATTTGGACCGGATTGGCGAAAGGAAAAAAAAACTCTAATTAAGCCACGGTCCACAATTTCTTGGCCTTTCAGCTGTGGTGAAGCCTTAACATTACAATAGGTTCTCCTTTGCCAGCTGGCTTGGAGTACAGCCTGGCATCTGACTGGGGCAGGAACAGCCTGGAATGGAGGGTGTGGAACTATAGCCGCCCTTTGCAAGGGCTGGTGGCATTTGCTAGGCTATTTTTGCAGCTTTCCTTCTGTGTGCTGGTCTGGTGTTCATCTCACAGTTTCAGTCATGCCCAGGAAATAGCAGTGAAATTGCTATTGCTTACTCACTAATGTGCAGTCAAGAAATATCTTACCGTACCTAGAAACAATTCCCAAGCACTTTCATTCAAGCTTCTAATTCTAGCTTTATTATTATCGATCATCGCACAGTCAGCCAGATGTTCAGACTGGATTTGGCATTTTGTCTACCTATCGAGTCCTTACCCAGGACCTGGGATAGGCAGATTTGGATGTTTGATTGTATTACAGATATCGTCGCAGGATGGAAGCAGTTCCTAATAAGGCCGCCTTTTGCAATTGACTAATAGCGAATTTGTCAATGCCAATTGTGTTCAAGTGGTGCTCTAGTTGTTTTGGGATTGCACCCAAGGAGCCTATGACTATTGGTACTACCCTTGCTTGCTTTTGCCACAGTCTTTCTATTTCTGTTTGTAGGTCTTTGTATTTTGTTATCTTCTCTAGTTCTTTCTCTTCTATTCTGCTATCTCCAGGCACTGCCACGTCCACTATCCAGACTTTTTTGTCTTTCTTATCGACAATTGCAGGTGCTTGTCTGTTTGAGTTCTGAAGTCCCAGAACAGTTTAATTTTATCATTTTCTATGACTTTATTTTATGATCCCACCAGTTTTTGCTTACAGGCAAATGATATTTTTTGCAGATCTTCCAATGCACCATTGTTGCTACTTTGTCATGCCGCTGCTTGTAATCAGTTTGTGCAATCTTCTTGCAACAGCTTACCAAGTGGTCCACTGTTTCTTCAGCTTCTTTATTATTATTATTATTATTATTATTATTATTATTATTATTATTATTATTATCTTTTATTCATTAGACATGAACCTCAGTCAACTGAACATTCAAATTGGCTGGTGCTGATGGTTGACACGGGTTGCTACCAGCATCCTAGGTGTCAACTAGGTACCTCCTTAAAATATAAGATGTTCTGAGTAGCACAGTTTTTTGTAACATTGCTGGAGTTATTGCAGGAAGCTGCAGTTTCTTGATGTATTTTGCAAAGTTTTTAGACATAGTTCCCAGTGCCCTGATGACAATGGGTATCACTGTTACACGTTTCATCCATAATCACGCAGTTTCAATGGCCAGGTCACGATATTTCGTAATTTTTTTCAGTTCTTTTTCTTCGACTCTGGCATCTCCTGGTACAGCAATATCAATCAGCTCGCTTATACTAAATAACAAATAAATAATATAGAAACAATTCCCAAGCACTTTCATTCAAGTTTATAATTCTAGCATTACTACTAGTACTACTACTAGTACTACTACTACTAGCTGTCTATGGAGAGATTCAATCATCCAGGTCATACTTGTCCCAAAGATACTTTTTTCCAAAAGGCAGTTGGACTTTCTTGATCTTTTTCCTTTGAAAATATTGTGCTTCTCATCCAAAGAGCTTCTTCAATGAAGCGAAGAAGCTTCTTGGATGAGAAGCAAAATGTTTTCAAAGAGAAAACCAAGGGACTCCAATTGCCTTTTGGAAAAAGCACCTTTGGGATTCACGCTAGCGTTTACAGTGCATTTATGTTACACAGATTATTAAAAAAGAGCAAAAGGTTCTGAAAATCAGGTGGTGGTGGGGAAAACCTGGTGAGGATTTTGCTGCTAGACATGAAACTCTTGCCAATTAAGCACAAAAGCCAAATTTGTGTTGAGGAGTTCCAGGTCAGAAGAAAAAGTACAGTTTGCATGGGATTAAATCATCACATTTTCCTTGTGGTGTGGTGCACAAAATTACATGTACAAGTAATGTAGAACCGAGACTAACAATATATCCTTTCTATTTAGAACCATTTCAGAGAACCAGTGAGGGTGTCCTTTCGGAAACAAAACCAGCTTGTGTGTCCAGCCCACAGGAGCCACTAGAGAACCATGTTACACCCCCAGGAAGTCACCATACCCCTGACGGCTTCATACAGCCTCCTGAAATAGAACCAATGGTCAAAGATCCTGTAATCCCGTTCATGAACTATTCAGAATATATAAGGAGCGAAGCACCCAGTCACCTGAACACAGCCTCCGAGCCACCCCAAAGCCATGAACTGGAACCGCGTGATGAGAGGATTTCAGCCGAAGTAGACAACTCTGGTGATAAGCCTGAGGAGAAATTCAGCCAAGACCTGGGTCCAGAAACTGTGGATCGTGAAGAAGCTGAGGCCACCAGGAAACCTCATGGAGATGACGTTGGCAACAAGGACTTGGAACAAGTGAAGAGAATCGCAGCGGTAACTCCCATGCCTCAGACTGTCCATGTGGTCTTCCGTGTCCACTACATCACTCATTCGGAAGCCCAGCAGATCGCGATCACAGGTGACCACGAGTGTCTAGGCCAGTGGCGCCATTTTATACCCCTCAGGTATGACAAAGATGGCTTCTGGTCAGACTCTGTGGTTCTACCGTTTGATGCCAGCGTTGAGTGGAAGTTCGTCTTGATGGAGAGTGGCAAGGTTGTGCGATGGGAAGAATGTGCCAACCGAATGCTAGTAACTGAACATGAAGATCAGGTGGCCTATAAGTGCTGGGGGTATCATTGAACATAGGAGTATATTTCTCTGTCTATAGTTACCTACCTTAGTGTGCATCTCCTTGCTGTGTGTTTACTAGGACTGCCTCATAGCCAGTCTTTCTTCTGCTAGGCTAGGCTTTAAGATAGGAACATGTTCTTCAAATGAAATCAAGCCAACAACTCCCTAACAGCAAACAAATTAGCTACTTAGTGGGCAATGTTTCAAAATAAAATAAAACATTTCCAACTCTCAGGTTGACATTATATTGTGTGAAGAGACAGGTGTGTGAATCGGGGACGCTGGATTTAAGGGATTGTTCAACTGCTCTGTAACTGTTTTAAAATATTCTTACTTTATTATGACTGCATCAGAAAGCAATAAAGATGGACTTTTGCAATGATGGCTGGCCTTTATATATTTACCTGTAAAACCTTTTATTAGGATTCAAATATTTTAGTGCATCAAAATACATACTACAAAAACACAAAGAAAAATGAAGATAATGGGAAAGTAAGGAAGGGAAAGGAGAAAAGACAGAAGAGTGTAGAAAAAGAAAAGCATTGATTTCTGACTCGTTTTGATGCAGAATAAGTTTAATAACATTAAGCCTCGGCTTTTGATTTTTATATGATAATATATACTGGCCATTTCTATAACAATAAACTTATCTAATCAGCAGAACCCAAAATCAAAGTTTCATTTTTTGTTCCACCACAAGCAAAAAGCCCAATAGTGGTTTCCACGTAGAAGATGGCTGGCCTTTATATTTTGATGCTTAAAAGGGGGTGTCTTGATTTGGCTGCATTCTATCTGGAAGACCCTCTGAGCATTGTTGGAGGGCACATATATCCACAACTCAACTGATCTTGGAAAATTGCCCTTTGCCTGTTCTGTCCTGAACCCAACACAGTTGTAGGTGTATTAACTCATTAAAGTACGGTAGAGCATTATATAAAAGAGGCAGAAAATTAAACTCTCACTGTTTTAATACTATCTTTCATGATTATGAAATATGCTGGTTTTCTTACTGAAAAGGGTTAGGATGATGATTAAACTAAATAATAGACTTCAAATAAAGTTAACCGGGATGTATTTTTTAAAAGAAATAATTGAGTTTCTAAAAATAACTTGGCTAATGCAGTTACCTGTACAAGTATGTTAGTTTACAGTTAATGATTATAATGTATCCGTGCCCTGTCCCAGTTATATTGAATTGAAGGAGGCTTTTTTCCTTTGTAAGTTAAAAAAAAAGTTAAATTGAATGTATTGACTTGCACTTTGGAAGAAAACTAAAATGCTCTTTATGTACTTAGTAGTTGTGTGATCATACTTGTGTGAACTGACATCAATGGGAACCGAGTGATTGAAATCACTTCCCTGAAATTGCTATTTTTTTTAAAAAAAAAAATACAATTGCCAAACTTGAATTTCCTGATTAGCTGTTTTAAGCAATAAACCAAATCCAGTTTGGCAGTTATTAACACTGCATAGTTCCTTTTTTCTCTAAATTATGACTTAGCTTTTTTTAATGTTATCTCTTCTTTCTTGCCTTTCTGCATTCCATGAAGCTTATTACTATTTTATGTCCAATAATCATAAAGACACAGAATATTATGTCAGAATTAAGTTGGAAGGGACCTTGGAGGTCATCTAGTCCAACCCCGTGCTCAAGCAGGAGACCCTATACCATTTCAGACAAATGGCTGTCCAATCTCTTCTTAAAAACTTCCAATGTTGGAGCATCCACAACTCCTGGAGGCAAGTCGTTCCACTGATTAATTGTTCGCACTGTCTGGAAATTTCTCCTTAGTTTTAGGTTGCTTCTCTCCTTGATTAGTTCCTTCTCCTGTCCTGGGTGCTTCACAGCTGTCTCATGACTGCCTTGTTAAATTTCTGGGCTCAGTTGTGGTCATAAGTCAAGGGACAAGACTCCTGCGAGTCCCTTGGACTGCAAGGCGATCAAACTGGTCAGTCCTAAAGGAGATCAACTCTGACTGTTCTTTAGAAGGCCAGATCCTGAAGTTGAAACTCAAATACTTTGGCCACCTAATGAGAAGGAAGGACTCCCTGGAGAAGGGCCTAATGCTGGGAAAGATTGAGGGCAATAGAAGAAGGGGACGACAGAGAATGAGATGGCTGGATGGAATCACTGAAGCAGTAGGCGTGAGTTTAAATGGACTCCAGAAGATGGTAGAGGACAGGAAGGCCTGGAGGAACATTGTCCCTGGGGTCGCGATGGGTTGGACATGACTTCACAACTAACAACAACATATATAAACAGAACTTGAAATGCGCCATGTCATTCTATGAAACAAAGCTGATCAGCAAGAGGGCAGCCAATTGGTTTTTTTCTGTTATGCTTATTAATAAAGTGCCCGTGATAAACAAGCATTCCCCCCCCCCAGCGGTTGCATTCCCAACAAAATCTCCCTCAAAATGGGATAAGAGTGCTCAAAAAAGCATAAATACTATATTGTTAGCGTGCAATACTAATTCCAGCTGCTGGATTTGTGTTCAACCCATGATTAAATATAATGCAGAGAGCCAGCCTGGTCAACTGTGAGGTCAAGGATCCCTGGACTAGTTTGAACAAGGTCTGCTCTGCCAGGGAGCTCATTCTTTAACCAAGAGGCTTCCCTTACAACAGGAAGGTAGCAGGAGGAGTGTCTGCTTTCTCTTACCGCTAGAAGATTTGTCTGTTGGAAAGCAAATGGACTCTTTTTAGCGTTGGGGGGTAGAGTATATTACAGGAAGTCCTTGACTTAAGGCCACAACTGAGCCCAAAATTTCTGTTGTTCAATGAAGTGAATTTTGCCCCATTTTACGACATTTCTTGCCACAGTTGTTAAGTGAAACACTGAAGTTGTTAAGTTAGTAACCCAGTTGTTAAATGCATATGACTTCCCCGTTGACTTTGTTTGTTGGAAGGTCGCAAAAGGGGATCACACAACTTCGGGACTTTGCAACTGTCATAAATATGAACCAAGCATCTGAATTTTAATCACGTGACCGTGGGAATGTTGCAAAGGTTGTAACTGAAAAACGGTCATAAGTCACTTTATTCAGTGCTCTTGTAACTTTGAACGTTCGCTAAATGAACTGTAAGTCGAGGACTACCTGTACAGGATGTATGTTTTCTTTATATAGAATGATAAATACAGATAGTCCTTGATTTACATCCTAAATCTAAACAGCCTACATCAGTGATGGCAAACCTTTTAGAGACCGAGTGCTCAAACTGCAACCAAAACCCACATGCATTGTCGGGTGCCAGGTGGGTGTGGCCCATTGGGTGGGTGTGGCCCACTGGGTGGGCATGGCTGCAGTGGTAACAGCAGACTGGGTGGGACTAAAAAGTTCAATCAATTCCAACTTTGCAAGATCTTTTTTTTTCCTGCGAGAAGTTGAAATTGACTGATTGACTGAACCTTTTTTTTTTTGCACATGGCGGCGGAGGTCTAAAGCGAAAAGTTTTTATAAAACCCAGCTGAAGGCCTAGGACTGGGGCGACGGCGCGTGTGCCCACAGAGAGGGCTCTGAGTGCCGCCTCTGGCACCTGTGCCATAGGTTCACCACCACTGGCCTACATCTTCTTTCCCCTGTCCTGACCACTTTCTACAGGGGGACGATCGAGAGCATCCTGTCATACAGCATCACAGTCTGGTTTGGAAGCATCCCTGCTTCAGACAGGAAGGTGGTGCAGAGAGTGGTGAAAATGGCCGAAAAGATCATTGGCTGTTCCCTCCCACCCATCCAGGACATAGCACAGAAGTGTTGCTTGAGAAGGGTCCGTAAGATTGTCTGGCACACTACACATCCTCTTCACGACCTGTTTTCCTTGCTCCCTTCTGGGAGGAGGGGGCTCCCTGGTATCCGAAGCAGAACATCCAGATTCAGCCACAGTTTCATTCCATACAGCATGATAAGATAAGATAAGATAAGATAAGATAAGATAAGATAAGATAAGATAAGATAACCTTTATTGTCATTTTTTTACTGTGGGCACAGCAGCACACATCAAAAATGAAATTTAGTTGTTCGCTCTAAAAGTGAAACACATACATGATGCACACCTAAACATACTATGAACAACATATGCATAGACTCACATCCTTACATATATGTAGCAAATAAATATTAAATACTGTGAAAATATTAACCTTGTGAACTCTCAAGTTTCTGCCTTCCGTTATATATTCAAGATGGACATTATTTGATATTTGTTACATATATGTAGGGGTGTGGGTCTATACATATGTTGTATATATGTATGTTTTAGTTGAGACCGGGCAACTAAATTTCATTTTGTGATGTGTGCCATTGTGCCCACAGTAAAAAAATGACAATAAAGGTTATCTTATTTTAAAATTGAAGCCAACATTTCTATTGCTAAGCGAGACAGTTGTGAGACAGCGGTGAAGTGAGCTTTGCCCCATTTTACTGCCTTTCTTGCCACGGTTGTTAAGTGTAGTCACTACAGGTGTTAAGTCAGTAACACGGTTGTTAAGTGAATCTGGCTTCCCTATTGACTTTGCTTGTCAGACCCTGTGACTCTGCAACCGTCATAAATATGAGCCAGTTGCCAAGGGTCTGGATTTTGATTACGTGACCACGGGGATGCTGCAACAGTCGTAAGTGTGAAAAATGGTCGTAAGTCACTTTTATCAGTGCCGTTGTAACTTCCAAAAGTCGCTAAATGAATGTTTGTAAATTGGGGACTGCTCGTACGGATAAAATAGACATCTGCAAGAGAGAATCTGGGTTTGATTGGCAGAAGTCCTTTCCATCTCCCTCTTCCATCCCTAAAATAACACAGCCCCGCCGTTAAACATCTGTCTGCAACATATAAAGAATACTTAAATCGCTTAGAGAGATATTATAATCAGATCCAAGCTGACAGAGCCTTTCCAATCTGGATGGCCTATTTTTCCGTATGAGTCATCGGAAATTCAAATAACCGTGCTTAATTCAGTTTCATGACGGGAACTGGGTTATAGCTCCCTAAACGGATGGAGGTACGGGATGTTTTCTGAAACTGTTTAAATTTGCATCCAATCATTTTGCAGGAGGACTGGAATAAAATAGGCCTTGGGCAAGCTGTATGGCCCTGACACTTTCGGTCCGGGCATGCCGTAGCTTGCTTTCAAACATTTGCTGTTTTAAATTGTTATTAAATCTGCTTTCATCTTACCAAGTGATTAATTAATGTTTAGGACAGGGGTAGTCAACCTTTTTATATCTACCGCCCACTTTTGTATCTCTGTTAGTAGTAAAATTTTCTAACCGCCCACCGGTATCGTCTGCGCATGCCTCTCGCGCATTGTGGATTGGGTTTGGGGGAGACACCGGCTACCAGCTCTGCTTGTCTGTTACAGCTGGATGGTGAGGGGGGAGATGCACGAGCTATTCTGAGATGAGGCTCTTTTGTTTGCAGTCACATATAGCGCCATTTAGTTTCACTTACGTAACGTGAACTAAACTGATGCGCGGGTGATACAAATAGTATATTTTCAGAAATTTAAATTGTCACAGGGAATTTTATGAAAACCTAATGAAAATGTTTTTAAATAATGCTATGAAAATTTTTTAAAAAGTCAATTAAATAAAAAAAAGGAAAGTGCTTCAGTATTGGACAAAACCCCTACCGCCCACCATAAAAGCTGGAACGCCCACTAGTGGGCGGTAGGGACCAGGTTGACTACCACTGGTTTAGGATAAGAAGGTTCCACTATTGCAAAAGGGGAATACTGAACATTTTAAGCACAATAACAGAGTTGGAAGGGACTTTGGAGGTCATCTAGTCCAGGGCTTTTCAACCAGTGGTACGGGTACCACCTGTGGTACATTGGCACCTGGCAGGTGGTATGCGACCATCCTAGAAAAGTGCTAGCGGGGGAGGGGAATGAGCTGAACCGGTGGCAGCACCGCACAAGCCTGAGCGAGAGATGGCTGGAGCTGCAGGGCTGTCAGGGCTCAGTGGAAGCACCAGGATCAGCGCCAGGCTCCAGCTGGAGCTCGGCGCTGATCCTGGCGCTTCTGCTGAGCCCAGAAGAAGCGCCGATCAGCTGGAATGTTGCAGCATCTCCAGGGTCTTGTGATTTACTAAGGTGACCAACTTTTTTACAATGAAAAGGAGGACACAAATAAATTGAAGAAAAAAATATCGTAAATAAAAGAAACATTTTATTCATTGCAACAATAATACAGACAACTTGCATGTGCAAAGTTTGCCAGCCGGGTGTTTTGGCGCACTCAGCAGCAATTCCTATTGGCTTTCGAAAGCCAATAGGGGGAGTAGCACAGCTCATGCAAAAGTTGAAAAAACCCATCAAAAAGAAGGTCCCGGAACGCCTTCTGAGCGTTCTATGAGAGAGAAAAAAGTCCTGCAGATTATTCTTCAAATATCGAAAAGGAGGACATGAAGGAGGACACTTTTTGAGGGAGGACAGAACCTACAATAGGAGGACTGTCCTCCCTAAAGGAGGACGGTTGGTCACCTTAGATTTACATTCAGATGTTTGGCAACTGATTCATATTTATGATGGTCACAGTGTCCTAGGGTCATGTGAAGTGACCAAAACCTGCTGCAACCACCCAGCAGACGGGGGGGGGGAAATAAAACCCTAAACACCCCCTGACCCCACCCCCACTGCCAATCCTCAACAGAAATGCTCACAACAATGCAAACCTCGGACAAGAGGAAGAGCGCCGCTGGGCAGGCAGGCAGGTGTCTTGCTCGGATGTGGCTTGGGGGGCACTTTTTTCAGTGCCACTGTAACTTTGAACAGTCACTAAGCGAACTGTTGTAAGTTGAGGACTACCTGTACTTTATCAGTTTTTCCTTTTGGGGGGGGGTCATCAAGTTTTTGACACCTTGCTAGGCGACTGGTGGTACTCGGATGTTGCCATATCCTAAAAGTGGTACAAGGGGTGAAAAAGTTGAAAAGCCCTGTTCTAGTCCAACCCCTCACCCCTTGCTCAAGCAGGGAACCCTATACCATTTTGGACAAATGGTTGTTCAATCTCCTCTTAAGAACCTCCAGTGATAGAGCATCCACAACTTCTGGAGGCAAGTCGTTCCATCCGTTTATTGTTCTCACTGTCAGAAAATTTCTCCTTAGTTCCAGGTTGTTTCTCCCCTTGATTAGTTTTCATCCATTGCTTCTTGTCCTGCCCTCAGGTGCTTTGGAGAATAGCTTGAACCCCCCTCTTCTTTGTGGTAGATCCTCAAATATTGGAACACTGCTATCGTGTTCCTTCTTTTCATTAAACTAGACCAGGGGTAGGCAACCTTGGCTCTTTTATGACTTGTGGACTTCAATTCCCAGAATTCCTGAGCCAGTCATGTTGGCTCAGGAATTCTGGGAGTTGAAGTCCACGAGTCATAAAAGAGCCAAGGTTGCCTACCTCTGAACTAGACATAGCCAATTCCTGCAAGAGTTCCTCGCATGTCTTAGCCTCCAGTCTCCTCATCAATTTTGTTGCTCTTCTCTGCACTCTTTCTAGAGTCCCAACATCTTTTTTTAGATCGTGGCGACCAAAACTGGATGCAATTTTCCAAGCACACCTATAACCTAGCAGAGATACATGTCTGCAGGAGAGGCGGGCATATAATATAGCAGGCACGCTAAACATTTTTGGATTTATTTTTAAACTGCTGAAGACGTTGAACATGCTAAGGTTCTTGCACTGATATTTAAACAGACGGCTGGGCTTTCATTACCTCTGCTTTTGCGTGACAAGCCGATCATAAAAACGGGGGGGGGGGGGAAGTACTGAATTGAAAACTTTTGCTAGGTGACCGTGATTATTTCAAAGGAGACTAGGATGAATACTATTCTGCTGGTCTGGAGCTGAGTTAACAGGTGAGGCTCTGGCTTCTTATCTGCAAAGGGACACTGTTTACCTTAGGTGAGGTTTATAAAAACACTGAGAAAGCTAACCAAGAGTCCAAAGTCTGCGCAAGAACTGAGCGTGCCTATGTATAGCAAAGAGATATTTCACAATGGAGAGAAAAAAACAGATCAAATGTAAACTTGATGGGTGAAGCAAGAAGGAATTTGCCAATCAGAGGTAAGGAACCTACAGCTTAGATGATGTCCACTTCAGTCCTCTCATCTGCTAATTCTCCATGCTGGCTTGGACGAAGTCTGGCATTTGGAGATCCACCAATTCCTTGCCCTTCTTCCCTGCAATTCTGTGTTATTCCTGCAGTAGCACAGAGCAGGGGCCTCCAAACCTGCCAACTTGAAGACTTGCGGGCTTCCAACTCCCAGAATTCCCCAGCCAACATGGCTGTCAGGGGAATTCTGGGAGCTGAAGTCCACAAGTGTGAAAGTTGTCAAGGTTGCAGATCCCTGGACTAGACATTCTGGCCATGGTTCTTCATATGCTTTAGCCTCCAGTCCCCTAATCATCTTTGTTGCTCTTCTCTGCACTCTTTCTAGGGCCTTAGCATCTTGTGAGCAGAATTGGACACAAGATTCCAAATGTGGTCTCATTCAGTGCAAGTTCAAGCGGTACTATCACTTCACGTGATTTGGAAATATCCCTTTGTTAATGTAACCCTAGGACTACAGAGTCGGGTCGTTCCTGTTGAGTTTACGTAGAGCAGGGGTCTTCAAACTTGGCCCTTTTTATGACTTGTGGACTTCAACTCCCAGAATTCCTCAGCCAGGCACCCGTGCCTGGCTGAGGAATTCTGGGAGTTGAAGTCCACAAGTCATAAAAAGGGCGAAGTTTGAAGACCCTTGCTCTACATAGAGAGTGAGTTGCACAACAGCAAAGCAAACAGCTGTGCCATTACCACATTAGCACTATAACGGTTGTGTCTGGCATTCTGCTGAACTGGATCATGGCACCTGCTTGAATTTTGGCCACTGATCAGCTCCCGCCTTCCAGAGCTGATGCATTTGAGCCAAATTGGAAATTCCTAAAATAATAAAAATGCATGGGATGAATTCTCTCAGGACTTGAGGCCCTTTCCAAGTCACGGAGACGCTAACAGTCTCGGTCGTTTTTTTTTTTTTTTTTCTAAAGCAAAGGACAGATTACAAAACTATGTCAACTTTTATTATTAACAAGAACAGGATGCTTAAAAAGATTCCATTCGGCAAAAGGCAATATGGATGCCTCTTTGGGGGATTAAAAAAAAATAAACGTGCCTATATATTCATTTGGAGAGCTTCTTCTCTTTTTCCTTGGCTTGCTCTATTTTCTTTTCCTGGCATCTGATCATGGTGGACATTGCTGGAAATAGCATAAAGGAAAGAGCTGTTAACGCCACATAAGTCTGGAAAACAAATGTCGTCTCTCTTTAGGTTCTGTAAAAAATGGTTCTGGTGGTGGCTACAAACCAGGAGACTGTGAGTTCTAGTCCCGCCTTAGGCATGAAAGCCAGCTGGGTGACTTTGGGCCAATCACCAGGAGACGGTGAGTTCTAGTCCCGCCTTAGGCATGAAAGCCAGCTGGGTGACTTTGGGCCAATCACCAGGAGACGGGGAGTTCTAGTCCCGCCTTAGGCATGAAAGCCAGCTGGGTGACTTTGGGCCAATCACCAGGAGATGGTGAGTTCTAGTCCCGCCTTAGGCATGAAAGCCAGCTGGGTGACTTTGGGCCAATCACCAGGAGATGGGGAGTTCTAATCCTGCCTTAGGCATGAAAGCCAGCTGGGTGACTTTGGCCAATCACCAGGAGACTGTGAGTTCTAGTCCCGCCTTAGGCATGAAAGCAAGCTGGGTGATTTGGGCCAATCACCAGGAGACGGTGAGTTCTAGTCCCGCCTTAGGCATGAAAGCCAGCTGTGTTAGGGCCAGCCTTGCCTAGGGCAATTGTGTCTAGTAAAAGTGCTGCAAAAAGAAATTCTTCAGAAAGTGGATGGTTTCAATTTTTACCTCACAAAGCCAATCCACTTGTTTTAAGAAATCCTCAAGGTGATTTCCTGCATCACAGTACCAAAAGGACCTTACAAGGTCGTAAATGTGCAAGGACAGAACAAAGCAAAGCAATTTCTCCTACCTTGGTTTTTTAACTGCATTGTTTCCACAAGGTTTTGTAGATTCTCCATCTTGTTCTGTAATTTCCTGCAAGCGCTTCCACTGGATTCCCCCGTCTGAATCGCTAGGGACAAAATAGCCAGTCATGATTGTAAACCAGTGCTACCCAATGTTTCTGGTTTTGTGGTCCGGTGGGGAGATGGGGGGGGGGAAGGAGCGAGAGGGAATGGTTCCGTGTAAGTGGCCGACAAGCAGAAGTGTGAGCACAGCTCCATTTACGTGAGCGGGATGCACGTGCGCCTGCAGCTCATTTTAAAGGGAGCATGCGTGTGCTCTCGCCCGCTGCTTGTGCAAGTGATGATACGTGTGTGCTCGCCAGCCGTTTCCACGGCCCGGTTGCAAACCCCTCACCGCCCATTAGTGGGCTGTGGCCCATAGGTTGGGGATCCTTGATGTAAACTGTCAGAGATATAAAAAGCACATACATCCACAGCCAGGACTGCCGGTGGTAAAGGCAAAAGCACAAGTCAGCTGAAACAGTTGTAGTTGTGTTGATGTACACAACATTACATTAACATTGACACAAGTCCTGGTTTTTTCAGAGCCCCGCTAGATTGCTGGGACTGGCAGAGCTGCTTGGGTTTCAACCCATAGAAACAAAGTTAATGGATTTAGAATTCGTAATCCTTGACTTATGACCACAGTAGGGGTCAGAATTTCCACTGCTAAACAAGGCAGTTGTTAAGTGAACCACACCTGATTTTACTACCTTTTTTACCAAAGTTGTTGTGAATTTTTATTCATAGTTAAGCGAGTAAATATTAAGTGAATCACTACAGGTGCTGTGAATATATTCTGTTCTGTTCTGTTCTGCTCTGCTCTGTTCTGTTCTATTCTATTCTATTCTATTCTATTCTATTCTATTCTATTCTATTCTATTCTATTCTATTCTATTCTATTCCTATTCCTATTCCTATTCCTATTCCATTCCATTATTCTGTACTGTTCTGCTCCTTCTGTTCCATTCCAATCCAATTTCTGTTCTGTTCTATTCCAGTTCTCTTCTCTTCTCATCCAATTTCGGTTCTGTTCCCTTCCCTTCCAATCCAATTCCTGTTCTGTTCTGTTCAATTCTGCTCTGTTCCAATTCAATTCCTGCTGTTTTATTTCGTTCCAGTTCCAATTCCAGTTCCATTCCATTCCATGCCATTCCATTCCATTCCATTCTAAATGAAGGGCAACTTGGACTGTCCTTACCAGCAAGAACTGTGAAATGCAAGTAGCGCTCGACTTACGACCCCAACTGTTAAGTGAGTTGTACTCAATTTTATGACCTTTTTGCCACGGTTGTCATCAAGTGAACTGCATGGTCATTAAGTGAATCCAGCTTCCCCCCATTGACTTTGCTTTGCTTCCACCCTCACAAATACATGTGGGTTGCCAAATTCCTGAATTTTAACCCTGGGAACGCTACCAAGGCTGTAAGCACGTACACCAGTCCTAAATCATTTTTTTTTAGTGCCATCGTAATTTTGATAGGTCTCTAAATGAAGGGTTGTAAACTGAGGACTATTTATTAGGCATTGCTCTTTCCGTGGAAAAGATATGTGAATATTTCCACCACCTCTTTGAGGACTGAGCCTGCTTCATGTTATCAGCTAAGGAAGGGGTAGGCAACCTTGTCTCTTTTATGACTTGTGGACTTCAACTCCCAGAATTCCCGAGCCAGCCATGCTGAGGGGAAAGGGAGAGTTTCCAAGCTGAGCCATGCTGGCTCGGGAATTCTGGGAGTTGAAGTCCACGAGTCATAAAAGAGCCAAGGCTGCCCACCCCTGATGCTAAGGGATGTTGGTGATATTGGTGGTGATGTTGGCCTCGGTCCATCTGCCCTTCTTTTTATATAGACTAGTGTTTCTCAACCGTGGCAGCTTGAGGCTGGCTGGGGAATTCTGGGAGTTGAAGTCCACCCATCTTCAAGCTGCCACGGCTGAGAAACACTACTGCAGTGTCAGTGATGTAGCTTGGAGCTTCCCTTATCCTGTATACTTTGGTCCCAAATTTTGCATGGGTTGTTTTTTTTTAAACCAAAGAACATAAGCAAAACAACTATGATGTATGTGAAACATGAAGGTACCCAAAATATTTTCAGTTTGAACCCATGTGGAACACTGTGCAGCCGCAAAGGATCAGATTCGCATGAAATAGGAGCCAACAGACATGTTCAAAGTCCCTATCACGAAACGGATAAATTGCACGCCAAAACAACTTGACGAAAAGATAGGGTTTTTCCCCCCCTCATTGCTAATAAATGTGAAAACTGGAGTTTAGCCATCAGCTTGCCCGACGGTTTCTCTTCCTTTTCAGCTTTTATCCTGATCCCTAACGTTTAGTGACAGAATAAAGATATCCGTTTATCTTTCAGGGATAATTGTGCCCAAATCCTTGAAATGTTTTGTTTGTGGAGGAAAAAAACAAAAAAAGAGGATCACATTCTCCATAAAGGCTCCCTGTCATTGGAGAAGAGGGATGAATTTAAGAAGTTTTTACACTTAGTGGCAAGAAAAAAAAACGTAGATTAGTAGTAGTCCTCGGACTTACAACCATTTGTTTAGTGACCATTCGGAGTTACAACGGCACTGAAAAAAGTGATATGCCCGTTTTTCACACTTATGACCGTTACAGCATTCCTGTGGTCACGTGATCAAAATTCAGCGGCTTGGCAACTGGCTGATATTTACGACGGGTTGCAGTGTCCCTGGGTCATGTGATCCCTTTTGCGACGTTCTGAAAAGCAAAGTCAATGGGGGAAGCCGGATTCACTTAACAGCCGTGTTGTTAACTTAACAACTGCAGTGATTCACTTAACAACAGTGGCAAGAAAGGTCATAAAACGGAGAAAACTCCCTTGACAACTGTCTCTCTTAGCAACGGAAATTGAGGACTACCTGTCTTTTGTTTGACTTGTTGTGTTGTACCAACCCGGACTACACAATGTTTATTTTCTCATTATTTCTGTGCATCGGGAAAGAAAAAGAAAATGCCCATTTTTCAGTACTGAAGGCAGAAACAGGCTTATCAATCAACAGCAATGGGAAGTTGAGGGGAAAAAAATCCAATTATACTTACAGGCAGAGGTGGTGAAAGAAACACCTGTTCGAAAAGAAAAACACACAATGTGATGTTTCCATTGACAGAAAGAAAAAAAACCATATTCACAGCACTAAAAATTGCTTCTTCATTTCTCTCTCTATCAGTTCTGTTAGAGAATTTTAATTTCGCTGATGGTGAAAAATAAATCAGAAGCTCTCACAGTTGACTGCATTTAGCTGATTCAAAATAACCTCTTTATATTCATATCAAAATATTTACAATACCATACATTCTTCTTTACAGCAACATCGCTCAATGAAGACTTCTTACAGAGAGATACAGAGACAGACCTGCGACTGAAAATTCAGCTTCTAACTCAATACCCTTTTTGCACAGACTCAGTAGCACTTTCTTCACATTGGCTGACTGAGTTACCACATGACTCTTCCTGCTCATGAATATTCCAACAAATTCTTATGCATGCTAATTATACCCTGGTATATAAACCAATCTTTTTTCAAATTCGGCAGCTTCAAGACTTGTAGACTTCAACTCCCAGAATTCCCCATCCCCCCCTGGCACAATAATCAAATCAGCCACTTGATGGGCTCCATATCACTCTGAGGTCCCAGGCCTGTTGGCAAAAAGGTGTCTTCAGGGTCTTTTGAAAGAGTGTCAAAGTGAGGGCCAATCTTATTTCCGCAGGGCTGATGTTCCACAGGGAAGGAGCCACCACAGAGAAGACCCTTCTTCTTGGTCCCACTAAATGGACCTCCTTGGGATCCGTAACATTCCCTACCTCCCTAATCTGGTGGGTCAGGTAGATATAATTGGGAAAGGACTGTCCTTCAAATAACCTGGCCCCAAGCCATGCATGGTTTTGAAGGTGACAAGACCTGGAAGCAAATCGGCAGCCAATGCAGCTCTCTCAAGTGAGGTGGCACGTGTATAAATCCAGACTTCCACAAAACCATACCGTTTGCCACATTTTGAACCAACTGCAGCTTCCGGCTACTTTTCTTAGGGTTTGCTTTGCTAGGAAGAGCTGGTTGTGTCCTTCTGAAGCAAAAGATCCTTTATGATTACGTTCCACTTACTTGTCCCAAAGGTGCTTTTTCAGGAGGCAACTGGACTTTCTGGTTTTTCTTTGAAGATGTTTTGCTTCTCATCCCAGAAGCTTCTTCAGCTCTGACTGGATGGTGGGGAATGGGCGGATTTATACTCCTTGCAGACAGCTGGTCATTTGCATTCTTTTACAGAGCCAATAAGACCACCTGGAGGTTTATGGGTGTCCTCAGGGTCACCTGAGTGGTGCAAATGGGTGTGGAGCCTTCTTGGAACTGCTGAAAGGACCGTGTTGTAGACTGGAGATAGATGATGTCGTATCCCTCCCCCTCTGTTGAGAGAGGGCTGTTCAGTTTTGACATAGATGGCCTCTTTCTCCCCTCTTTCAAAGCAGTGGTCCTCTCTGTCCAAAATGTGGACTTTGTTGTCTTTAAAAGAATAAACTTCCAAGTGGCCTCAACGACTCTCTAAAACAGGGGTGTCAAACTCGCCACGTCACGTGACATGTCGCGACGCACCGCGACTTTTTTCCCATTGCCAGAGCTGGAGTGGGCGTGATTTCGGCATGACACTTCCGGCCCACGGGCCAGCAGTTTGACACCCCTGCTCTAAGAGAATGCAAATGACCAGCTGTCTGCAAGGAGTATAAATCCTTCCATTCCCCACCATCTGGTCAGAGTTGAAGAAGCTTCTTGGATGAGAAGCGAAACGTCTTCAAAGAAAAACAAGGAAGTCCAGTTGCCTCTTGGAAAAAGCACTTTTTGGGACAACCATGACCTGGATGACTGAGAATCTCCACAGACATTTTCCACTTACTTCGACTAGTGGTTGCAGTTGTGGCTTCTGGGGAGTTGTTGTTCTTCTTCAGACTGGACCGTCGTTCCAAGGAAGGTACAGGAGCTGCCTTAAGGTCATCCAAAGGAGCAGTTAGCAAGGAATGCACAGGAGACCTATCTTTGTATCGATCCTCTAAGGATGGTTTCTTTGAAGAGGTGTAGCGAGCAGAGATTTGGGACACTAAACGTAGCAAAGACAATGTAGGTTAAAAGGGAATGCTTCAAGGGACCCCAAGTTTTTTTTCTCTTCCTTTTCTTTTTTCTTACAAACATGAACCATCATTTCCCATGTTGTAGTTCCATAAGAGAAGTTTCAACTAAACCAGGGGTCTGCAACCTTAAACACTCAAAGAGCCACTTGGACCCGTGTCCCAGAGAAAAGAAAACACTGGGAGCCGCAAAACTTGCGCGCACACGCAAGCGGTAGGAAGCTTGATTGAAGAGTTTAATTAAAAAGAAATAGAGGCTGCTGTGCATGAGTTCTCTCTCTCTCTTTCTCTCTCTCCCTCTCTCTCTCTTTCTCTCTCTCCCTCTCTCTCTCTTTCTCTCTCTCTCTCTCTCTCTCCCTCTCCCCCCCCTCCCTCTCTCCGATCTTCTGCTCACCTGGAAAGCTGGCTTCAGGCTGTTCCCCAACAAGCTGACACACATTGTTATTGGGCTGGCTCTCTCTTGCCCTTCCTGTTAACTGCTTCCTGCAGAGACGCAGCAAAGGGAGGAGCCCCGCCCAATAAGCTCGTCAGCTTGTCAGAGAACGTGAGGCCACTCTCTTTTTTACACACGTAGAGAGAGAGAGAGAGAGAGAGAGAGAGAGAGAGAGAGAGAGAGAGAGAGAGGGACAGACAGACAGACAAACAGACAGAGAAGGAAAGCAGGGAAGCGCAAGTGCCTCTCTCTGTCTCTGTCTCTGTAAATGGTGGAGGAAGACTGGGAGCCACAGGAGAAGGCTCAAAGAGCCACATGCGGCTCCGGAGCCGCAGGTTGCCGACCCATGAACTAAGCAGATCTCCCAGGGCAGAATGGGACAACACACCACGATCAACCAGGCACGGCCATCTCGCACTGACCATCTCATTTAAATAAGTGCGAGCTCTGGTATCAAGGATCAACATTTTCCTGCCAGATCTGCATTCATATTATTAATCATCTTAGATCTTCCCTTGTTTAATGCCCAAGAAGAAGCTCACCACCTGATGTAAAAGGGAAAGTTGATTCCTGATCTTCAAGATCCGCAGTACGTAAGTTTGATGCATCCCTATGAATAAAAGAAAAAAGGAAAGCAGGTTGCCTCTCTGTTACTCAAGAGTCACACAGAAGATCAGGAATCTGACCTTACATTAGAAGAGAACAGAATAACAGAGTTTGAAGGGACCTTGGAGGTCTTCTAGTCCAACCCCCTGCTCAGACAAGAAACCCTATACCATTTCAGACAAATGGCTGTCCAATCTCTTCTTAAAAACTGCCAGTGTTGGAGCATCCACAACTTCTGGAGGCAGGTTGTTCCACTGGTTAATTGTTCTCACTGTCAGGAAATTTCTCCTTAGTTCTAGGTTGCTTCTCTCCTTGGTTAGATTCTATCCGTTGCTTCTTGTCCTGCCTTCAGGTGCTTTGGAAAATAGTTTGACTCCCTCTTCTATGTGGCAACCTCTGAGATATTGGAACACTATCATGTCACCCCTTCTTTTCATTAAACTAGACATACCCAATTCCTGCAACCGTTCCTTATATGTTTTAGCCTCCAGTCTCCTAATCATCTTTGTTGTTCTTTTCTGCATTCTTTCTAGAGTCTCAACATCTTTTTTACATCGTGGTGACCAAGACTCAGTCTCCAGGTAATAGACTCAAAGTCACCCAATTGGCTTTCATGCTTAAGGCAAGACTAGAATTCACAGTCCCCTGGTGATTGTCTCAAAGTCACCAAGTTTGCTGTCACGTCTAAGTCAAGGCTAGAAATCAAAGTCCCCTGTGATTGTCTCAAAATCATCCAGTCAGCTTTCATGCCTGAGGTGGGACTAGAACTCACAGTCTTCTAGATTCTAGCCTGCTTCCTTAAGCTTAAGCAAAAGAGAAGGCCACTTCTGTTGAAAAAAACAAAATGATCTTTTCTGTCTGAAATATGTGTCTGAAGATCTTAAAACAGAATCCAAGCAGGTAGTTTGATAGACAGACTTGCTTTAATCAGTGGAACTGGCAATATTTTTTCTTCCTCCTCCTGAAGGCCACACAAATACTCAACGTTTGGGGTGGAGAATAAGACCAGTGGTTCTCAACCTGTGGGTCGGGATCCCATTTGGGGTCGAATGACCATTTCACGGGGGTCGCCAAACAACGCAGTCCGCCATTTTTTCCCCCTTTTCCTTAGCTGTGCTACTCCCTTTTATTCTATTGGCTTTTGAAAGCCAATAGAATAGACTCTCTTGAATAGAGTTTAATTCTATTGGCTTTCAAAAGCCAATAGGAATTGTCCAGGCTGTCTCTGCCCTGCTGAGCCCACCAAAAGTCCCATTCTGCAAACGGTGCTGCAAGTTGTCTGCAGCGAAGGCAAGCTGTCTGGAAGTTTCTACCCCTCCCTGCTGAGCAACTACTAAAAATGTAAGTAAAAGAGGGCCAGGGGTGGGAGGTGGGAGGCCGGCGGGCGCAGGGAGGGTTGCTGGCGTGCGTGGGGCCCGGCGGGTGCCTTTACCTCCCTTGGGCTGGGCCAGCTGGTGGCCCAGCTGGTGGTCGGCCTGCGCCGTCTCTGCTGCTTGCCAGCTACACCTCGGCCGGCGCAGGGGGCGGCACCACGCATGCGTGGTGCTCCCGGGTAGGGAAAGTCCTCGACTTACGACCGGTTGGATAGTCCTCAACTTATGACCGGTTGGATAGTCCTCAACTTATAACCGGTTGGGGGTCGCGGCATTAAAAAGGTTGAGAACCACTGAATTAGATGGACTCTTCGAAAAAGATCTGGAAAGTGGTGGAGCTGGACATGCCATTCCACACATGGTCTTGTTACAATTCTACTCTTAACGACAAGCTGATCCCTTTGCCATATTGAAGGACCAAGCTAAGCATCACTTCTCACCTGCTAAATGTTTCTTGCCCCCTGGTCCTCTCCAAAGGTAAATCTCTGACGGCAGCGTCCCTGTATCGAGAGACAGAACTCTGTGAAAGCCGTCAAAGAACGTTGATTATTGATGAAATAAATGTATGATAATGAGGACAAAGCCATCAAAGAACCTCCTTTGGGAAAAACAAGGATGTTCATGGAATCCCAGGACCCGTCCAGTTTCTTTGGTATAAAATATGAACCAAACCAAGCCAATTTCTGAGAAAAACCATGCTTGTGATCTCTTTAACCAAGACAGTTTTCGTTCCCTAATTATTTCTTTAACTAGCAGGGACCAGACACAAAAAGCACTGCAGAAGATGTCATTACTTCCAACACATCAGCCAGTAATTGGGCGGGGGGAAGAGAAAAAAAAAAGGATTTCTGAATTTTCTATTCTAGAATAGAACAGACTTGCTGGAACATTTTAGAGGGGTTTTGTTGTTGTTGTTCACTTGGGGATTGATGCTTCTCTAAAATGGAACATTTTGGGGGAAAACAACATTTCTGGAACAAGCTTTCCTTTCATGGTGGGAGAACTTCCTATCATGTTAGAAACTGCGTAAGACGTATCTGTAACTGCTAGAAAAGACTATTTGAAGCTCAGGGTTGAACTGTGGGGTCCTTGGTGTTCTCTGAGCTTGGTGGTTTTCTTGTAGATGTTGCATTACCAGACTAAGTAACATCATCAGTGCTAGTCACATAGCACATCATCAGCGCTAGTCACGTAGTATCTGTGACTATAATCTTAATGCAGGACAAATGAAGGCTGTTTTTTAATTGTCTCCATAACTGCATTCTGGATAGGCCAGGGGTAGGCAACCTTGGCTCTTTTATGACTCGTGGACTTCAACTCCCAGAATTCCTGAGCCAGCATGGCTCAGCTTAGAAACTCTCCCTTTCCCCTCAGCATGGCTGGCTCAGGAATTCTGGGAGTTGAAGTCCACGAGTCACAAAAGAGCCAAGGTTACCTATCTCTGGCGTAGGCCTAGGCCGCTTTATGACTCGTGGACTTCAACTCCCAGAATTCCTGAGCCAGTAATGGCTCAGCTTGGAAACTCTCCCTTTCCCCTCAGCATGGCTGGCTCAGGAATTCTGGGAGTTGAAGTCCACCAGTCATAAAAGAGCCAAGGTTGCCTACTCCTGGGTTAGGCCATTAATGTTCAAAGATGTTTGGCACTCCATAAAAGTACTTAAAAAATATGCTAGAAATGCAAAAAAAAAAAGCCACATTCTTCCATCTGACCCAATCACAACATTTTGATATTCCAGGTCAAAATTTCAGTGCGCCTCACCTGCAGGGGTCATGTGATCTTCTGCCAATGCTTTCGCTGCTAGGAAAGTCTCTGGATGGGGGGTAAAAATGCAAATACCACGTAATACATCAAATTGTTTACACACTTTGGGTAGTCATAACTGTCTTATACAAAGTGGGTTCCTGATTAGGAAAAGAGACATAGCTGAGTGGTGGCTTCATTACAGCCTATTGTACCAGTCTGTAGATCAGCGTTTCTCAACCTTGACAATTTTAAGGCATGTGGACTTCAACTCCCAGAATTCCACAGCCAGCGTTGCTGGCTGTGGAATTCTGGGAGTTGAAGTCCACATGCCTTAAAATTGTCAAGGTTGAGAAACACTGCTGTAGATTAACAGAAAAGGAAGCTGACATAAACAGGGCTGCCTCAGTGGCCAAACCGTAATCTGTCTGAAACAAGACTGACCTCTGGTCCTATTCTTATGGTTTTAAAGCAGGACAAGTGAAGGAAAGGGATTGGTGGATTCCTTCGGCTTTGTTTGTCCTTCCACCAAAATCAGCCAATAGTGGGACAAAACCCACCAGTCAATTATTCTCCATTGCATGGCATAGAGAGGGGAAAGGATACACAGGCACGTTGAACAACAGGTTTAGCCACATTCTCAAACTGTCCAACAAACTGGTGGCAAGATGGGGAGGCGATCATTGGCCGTGATCTGTCAGGGTTTGTTTTTTTTTTAATTTTTTAAAGTTTACTGAATTAAAAAAAAAAACATGCAAACAAAAGAGGCGAGAAGAAAGAGAACCAAAAAAGTAGAAAAAAATCAGACAGGAAGCAAGATAAAAAGAAAAAGAACAAGTAAAGGAGGAAGAAGTAGAATTGACCTCTGACTTTCTTTGGTACTGATATATATATATATATAAAAGTACATTCAGTTCTTCCTCCTCTAAAATTAACAAGAGTCTACATTATTGCTGTAATCCCATAGGATTCGAATGATCCAATCTCCAAATCAAAATTTCATTTCTCTGTTTCTCACAAAAAAGTCCAAAATTGCTTTCCAAGTCGAGGTAAAATTGGTCAAAGTCTTGTCTTTAGTCAAAGCTGTCAGTTTTACCGTCTCCGCCAACTTCTTCAGCTTAACCATCCATTTTTCAATGTAGTTTATTTGTAAATCCTTCCGCCTTTGTGCATATCGAAGTCTCCCTGTGGTTATCACACAGGTAGTCTTCAACTTACGACCAGAATGTCTGTTGCTAAACAGGATGGTCGTTCAGCGGGTCTTGCCTGATTTTATGACTTTTTTACTTATTAAGAGAATCGCTACAGTCGTTAAGTGAATCACGTGGTCATTGAACGAATCCTACTTCCCTCCCCCCCCCATTGACTTGGCTTGTTGGAAGCCGGCTGGGACGGTTGCAAGTGGCAATCACACGATCGCAACACATTGCAACTATCGTAATTACATGCCAGTTGCCAAGTGCCTGAATTTTGATAATGTGGCAATGTTGTAAGTTCGAGGACTGCTCATAAATCCCTTTTTTCGCTGCTGTTATAACTGTAGGAAGAGTCCCCCTGAATAAAATATTAAAAAGAGGCGGAATAGAATACTTCCCCTGAAGGAAAAGAGGAGAGCAGAGACGTCTTCTTAAAGGCAGAAAGCAACTCCAGTCTTTCTGAAGCAGAAACCTGAAGAGGATAGTCTTTAGGAATGGAGATTTTGTAATCCGTTCAGAAAGACTGGGCCACACCATTCATAAACAAAGGACAGCCAGAAACCCTAAATAAGCAACACAATAGATAAGGCCAAACTGACAAGATTTGCTCAGACAAACACCTAGGACACAAGTCGGCAACCCATGGCTCCAGAACCGCATGTGGATCTTTGAGACTTCTCCTACAGCTCCCAGCCTCCTCCACCATTTGCAGAGAGAGAGAGACAGAGACAGAAAGAGGCACTTGCGCTTCGCTTCTCTCTCTCTCTCTCTCTCTCTCTCTCTCTCTCTCTCTCTCTCTCTCTCTCGTGCGCGCCTCACTCTGTTCTCCGACAAGCTGACAAGCTTATTGGGTGGGGCTCCTGCCTTTGCTGTGTCTCCGCAGGAAGCAGCAGAAAGCAGCAGCACTCTCTCTCTCTCTCTCTCACACACACACACACACACACACACACACACACACACACACACTCACACTGAGTGTGGGAAGAGGACTGGCAGACCAAGGGCAGGAGAGAGCTAGCCCAATAAGAATATGTGTCAGCTTGTCGAAGAACAGCGTGAAGCCAGCTTGCCAGTTGAGCAGAAGACCGGGGAGAGGGCTGGGGCGAGAGAGAGAGAGAGAGGGAGGGAGAGAAAGAGGGAGAGAAAGAGAGGGAGGGAGGGAGGGAGGGAGGGAGGGAGGGAGAACTCACGCACAGCAGCCTCTATTTCTTTTTAATTAAATTCGTCAATCAAGCTCCCCCCCCTCCCCGCGCACGTGTGCACGTAAGTTTTGCGGCTCCCAGTGTTTTCTTTTCTCTGGGAAACAAGTCCAAGTGGCTCTTTGAGTGTTTAAGGTTGCCGACCCCTGACCTAGGATTTGCATTTCCCCTTTTGGCTGAAGAGCCAGCCATGACCCCATAAGAATCTGGCAACAGCCATTAAAATATTAAAGGACCTATTCTTACATAGGAACAGGCATCTCAATCACAAAGCCCCAAAGAATGTATAAAAACCCACTTATTCTCAGCCCCATTTTGTTATCCACCCCAGAAACATACTGCTGTCACTTTAGTTTCTGGCTCATCAGTAAACAGAGCTTTTCCTTCCTAAGCAGCTAGCCTCCCATTTTAATTTTCAGCGTCTTTCTCCCAGCTTGGGACTGGACCTGATTTTTCTTCCAACATTAACTTTAACCGCTTGATAAGCTAATGGTTGTAAGTCGAGGACTACCTGTGTATAAAAACAAAGCTCCATAGGATCTTTCAGTTTGGTTACCCATTATCCCACTCTCAACTGACTTTCTGAACAAGGTTTCAGTGCTCTTTTAAATTGCTCGAAAGCCACATTCAAAAGCAATCCGGATAATGTGAAAAATGTAGGTGAAGGGGGGGAGGAGGAAGCAAAAGGGAACAATCAGTAACAAGCAAGACCCTTCCCCAGTTACTACTCCTGCAAGAGAAACACAGGGCTGGCAGTGAATAGCATCTGGAAGCAGGCCACAGAGTAGACAAAGGGCAAGCAGTAGGCAAAATGCAACCCCCCCCCCTAATAAAAATAGAAACACTAAGCCTTTTTTCAGCAGCTGTAGAAAACCTGTCCTATACTCACTTTTGCAATGCACAACCAGCAGAAATTGCCTCTCTTTCCTCAGTTTAGCTTGACCCTCTTGTGGGTGCAGGTGTTTTGTCTAAATACAATGCTATGGCTTCCAGCAAGTGGTACTGGGAACTGTAGTTCAGAAACATACCCTACTCCAGGGATGTTCAGTCTTGGCAGCTTTGAAACCTGTGGACTTCAACTCCCAGAATGCCTCGGCAAGCATGAGAATTCTGGGAGCTGAAGTCCACAGGTCTTAAAGCTGCCAAGGTTGGATACTCGGTGGTCTCCTGCTACTCATCTGAGAGGCTTAAACAACTGTTCCCTGATACCAACCCTATCATCCCTATGATAATATGATTTTTTTTCCTATACTGAGTCACACCATGTCTTCACCTAGCCAGATTTCTGTTCCATGTGGAAATAGATCACACAGTTTTGAGTTTCTCAGCACTGTCTTCAAAGGGAGATCTTGGGTTATTAAACCTTATGTGTGTCCTTGTGTATATACAGTAGCTCTCTCCTTCTCTCTCTGTCCATCTATCCGTCCGTCCGTCCGTCCATCCATCCATCCATCCATCCATCCACCCTGCTGGGATGCAAACATCTAGCTCTGTTGATTGACCTCAAAAAGTTATACAAAGTTTGGATCTGGTTAATACAGGTAGTCCTCGACTTACGACCACAATGGAGTCCCAAATTTCCGTTGCTAAGTGAGACCTTTGTTAAGTGACTTTTGCCCCATTTTATGACCTTTTGCCACCTTTGTTAAGTGATTCACTGCAGTCGTTAAGTTAGTAACACGGTTGTTAAGTGAATCGGTCTTCCCCATTGACTTTGCTTGTCAGAAGGTCGCAAAAGGGGATCACGTGACCCACCCCAGACCCTGCAACCGTCATAAATACGAGTCAGTTGCCAAGCAGCTGAATTTTGATCACATGACCATGGGGATGCTGCAACGGTTGTAAGGGTGAACAACGGTCATAAGTCACTTTTTTCAGTGACGTAACTTCAAATAATCACTAAATGAACTGTGGTAAGTTGAGAACTACCTGTACCTTGGCTGAAAGACCCATGGAAAATACCAGGGCATAAACTGAATGAGGTAGTTGCAAAAACATCCCAGGAGAAGACAGTGGCAAGTGATTTTTTCAAGTGTTGCCAAGAAGACAACATGGGTGTGTCCAGGAATTAAAGACAAACTGAGCTCCGTTTGGAAAATTTAATCTCAATGGATTAACACAAACTCCGCATAAGTGAGACGTCCATTGATGTCTGTTATTATCCTTGGCAAAGTCCCCTTTGCCTATAGATCATGCATTTCCAAAATGAGATCCTAAACACAGAAGTTACCAGTATTTTGCATAGCCTTACAGCGTACTGCTCAAGTCAGGGTCGCTGTCACTTTCTGTTTGGGGAAGAATCGCAGAAGGTATTTCATCAATTGTGCTTCGCAACTCTTGAAGGAGCTGTTTCAAATCTCGCAGTGGATCTTCCTTGCTGTATTTAAGTTTGGATGGTATCTGAATGGAAATATGGATTTTGAAAAGACTCGTGAGGATTTGATTAGTGAAACACACACACACACACACACACACACACACAGATCCTCTCCTTAAAACACTCTTTCCCTTAATAGTGACAAGATACAGTTTAGTGTTTCATCATTTAATTTTCTAAAAGAATCTGGAGATCTGAGAAATTACTAGGTAGTTGCATACTATTCATACCCCCTCAGAACTCCTAGCACAGATCTAAAGAAGATAATTTCCTGTCTGTAACTATTGAAGCAACAGATGGAAACGAATCAAGGAGAGAAGCAACCTAGAACTAAGGAGAAATTTCCTGACAGTGAGAACAATTAACCAGTGGAACAACCTGCCTCCAGAACTGTGAATGCTCCAACACTGGACGTTTTTAAGAAGAGACTAGACGGCCATTTGTCTGAAATGGTATAGAGTTTTAGATGGCCTCCAAAGTCCTTTTCATCATCATCATCATCATCATGTACTGCAATCTTGAGGAATTAAAAAGTTCCTCTATTCCTCGCAAATAGCTAGAAAATGCACTCATTTCACACACACGATCTAATCAAGAACAAGAGTTGTACATCTGACTCACTGACATAATTAATGAGTGCTACAGCGAAAACTGTAAAACATAGCTAAAATAATAAAAGTTTGGGAATTTAAAAGACTAAAGACAGAAGAAGGAATATTCAGGAAGTTGAACATGATTCTCAGCCTGTGAAGAAAAGCCTGCAGTGATACAAAGCAGCATCTCCACAGTCATGTTATCAAAATTCAGACACAACAATAATAATAATAATAATAAAGTTGGAAGGGTCCTTGGAGGTCATCTAGTCCAACCCCCTGTTCAGGCAGGAAACCCTCTATCATTTCAGACAAATGGCTGTCCAGTCTCTTCTTAAAGACTTCCAGTGTTGGAGCATTCACCGCTTCTGGAGGCAGGCTGTTCCACTGATTGATTGTTCTAACTGTCAGGAAGTTTCTTCTTAGTTCTAGGTTGCTTCTCCCCTTGATGAGTTTCCATCCGTTGCTTCTTGTCCTGCCTTCTGGTGCTTTGCAGAATAGCTTGACTCCCTCTTCTTTGTGGCAGCCCCTGAGATACTGGAAGACTGCTATCATGTCCCCCCTCGTCCTTCTCTTCATTAAACTAGACATCCCCAAGTCCAGCAATTTCGGCATCTGGCATGTATATATGATGGTTGCAGCGTCCTGGGATCATGTGAACCCGCTTTGCGACTTTCTGGCCAGCAAAGTCAACGTGGGGAAGCCAGACTCACTTAACAACCGTGTTACTAACTTAACATCTGCAGTGGCTCACTTAAGAAGTGTACCAAGAAAGGTCATAAAATGGGGCAAAATTCACTTAACAAATGCTTCGCTTAGCAACAGAAACGGTAGCTTCCTGAAATAATCACGAAAACATTGGAATGTGCAGAGATGAACAGACTAACTATGAGGCTGAAAGACAAAGAAGATACGGACTGTTATAAAGTTTGGAATTTATTCTATTCTTGGTTAGAGAAAAGAATGAAGGATTAGGAAGTGAACATGTATTAGCTTAGCAAACACCAGACAACTTGTCTGATTGGAAAAATTAACATATGTTGATGGGGAAAAAAATTAATAAAAAAAAAAGATTGTTCAAAAAGAAAGAAAGAAAGAAAGAAAGAAAGAAAGAAAGAAAGAAAGAGAAAGAAAGAAAGAAAGAAAGAAAGAAAGAAATGGTAGCTTCCTAAGAAAGAGGGAGCACATTCCAGAAAGGGGGGGAGACAAGAGGCAGCCCATACCGGAGCTGGATAGAGGATGGAGGAAGAGCGTTAGGATGGCGGCCATGATGTTTCGTGTTCCAGAGCAGACACGGTACTTACATGAGAAATGTGGCCTGCAAATGTTTGACATGATGGCGCACTGGACGAGTGAGGCAAGGATGAATAGTGCTGCTTCACGGAGGAGGAACCCACAGTGTGTCCTGGTCCCTGCAGCTCCTGGGGAAGGATATGCTTATGAATAGCAATAGCACTTATTATACCGCTTCAGAGTACTTTACAACCCTCTCTAAGGGACTTACACAGTCAGCCTATGGCCCCCAACAATCTGGGTCCTCATTTTACCAACCTCGGAAGGACGGAAGGCTGAGTCAACCTTGAGCCAGTCAGCATCGAACTGCCGGAGCGAGCAGTAAGTTAGCCTGCAGTGCTGCATTCTAACCACTGCACCACCACGGCTCAATAGAAAAGGTTGTCAAAGACAGATGAAACTCTTCAAAGGATGCCGAGGCATTGTTTACCTTAAAGAATCTTTATTAGAGAAGCATAGCATTGGCACTAATATAATCGAAGCCAAAAACTAGATTCCCCTCCCCTGAGCACATAGTATCAAAGCACAATTCCCTCCTCCAATTAACAGTCATAAATTCTCCAATTAGTTTGAAATGCAGGCTTCCCCTCCAGTTCTCCAGCCCGCCAATTCTTATCACAGTGGTGGAGAACCTATGTCACGCGCGCCATGCCCCGGAGATGGCAACCGTCCCTCTTCAACCAGCCACCCGCTAACTTGCTGAGGTCCACGTGGTTGGATGCATCCCAATACCCATGCGCTTGCTGGCCTCTGTGGGCAGGGGACGATGGTATCAGGCAGCAGCCGCCCTGGCCCCTGCCTCGCCTTGCCCTGCGACAATGGCTCCCCTGCCCTGCCTCGCCTTGCCTTGCCTCACCCCGCAGAATGAGCCTCCTGCCCACCACCCCACCTGCCAGAGACCCCCTGGATTTCCCCCAACCCTGCCCGCCCCCCACAGGTGTTTCTCCCCACAAGCAACATTGAGGTGATCACACCCACCTTGGCCACACCCACCCAGTCTGCCATGAGCACCATAGCCACGCCCACCCAGTGGGCCATGCCCACCTGGCACCCGGCAATAAATAAGTGGATTTTGGGTTGCAGTTTGGGCACTTGGTCTCTAAAAGGTTCACCATCACTGTCTTATCATCTCTTATTTCAATAACCTTGGTTCACACACTAGGTCCAGTATTGTTATGTCTAGCTAAGCTCTCATGCACATTCCTGCCCCTCCCCAGCATCATCCAACTCTAAATCTAACTCTAAACGTAAAACATCAAAGCAAAAACATCCGACGTTAGCACCGTTGACATAGGTAGTCCTTGGCTTATGACCGCAACTGAGCCCCAAATTTCTGGTGGCTAAGTAAGACAGTTGTTTAACGAGTTTTGCCCCACCTTACGACTTTTCTTGCCGCATTTGTTAAGCGAATCGCTGCAGTTGCTAAGTTAGTCACACCGTTGTTAAGGGAATCTGGTTTCCCCATGGACTTTGCTTATCAGGAGGTCGCAAAAGGGGATCATCACGTGCCCCCCCCCGGATGCCGCGACCGTCACAAATATGAGTCAGTTGCCAAGTGTGGGGAGGCTGTGGTGGTTGTAAGTGTGAAAAACGGTCCTAAGTCCGCTTTTTCAGTGCCGTTGTCACTTCGAAACATCACTAAACTAACTGTTATAAGTCAAGGACTACCTGTGATGGTTCAGACGTGGTTTTAAAGTCTGGATGAAGCAGGAGACTTACTTTCACCTCTAACGTGTGCTGAAGCTTGTAGCGCATCATTTCTTGTTCCTGCCGCTGGATGATGCACTGGCACTCGGCAAACTGTAGAGATGCCTGGATGAAACGCGGAGTGAGTTATTCACCACTGGCACGTGATGTGGATTTTGCATCCAGTAGCATTCAAGACATGCAAGCAGTGTCCAGTTATCAAGAACAGTTTTTGCGAAAACAAGGAACCCTATTCGCGAATCCAACCGTCTTTTCTATGGTTCCTAGTTCTCTCAAACAAAAAGACAAATTCAACCCCATTCACTTAAGTATCCCGGACCAATTCCGTAACAGTAGTACATTTTAACTTTAACTTTAAATTAGGAGGCACAGCTGAAGTTTTAAAGTTTAAACTGTCTTTTCAGCTCATGGTCTGCCTGTCACATCCAACCATCATATCTAAACCAGATAAGGACCACCAAGTTCTTGGTGAAGAACTTCAACACCAAACTTGACGTGTACAACAATGTTTCTCAACCTTGGCCACCTGAAGATGTGTGGACTTCAACTCTCAGAATTCCCCAGCCAGCGTGGCTGGCTGGGGAATTCTGGGAGCTGAAGTCCACACATCTTCAAATGGCCGAGGTTGAAAAACCAGTAATCTACAATGTTTGAGAGATACTGTTAAAATTTTGAGGCCACCGTGCAGGAAGGTGAGGAAGATGTAGAACAGTGGTTCTCAACCTGTGGGTCGGGACTCCATTTGGGGTCGAACGACCATTTCACGGGGGTCACCAAACAACGCAGTCCGCCATTTTTTTCCCCTTTTCCTTAGCTGTGCTACTCCCTTTTATTCTACTGGCTTTTGAAAGCCAATAGAATAGACTCTCTTGAATAGAGTCTAATTCTATTGGCTTCCAAAAGCCTATAGGAATTGTCCAGGCTGTCTCTGCCCTGCTGAGCCCGCCAAAAGTCCCATTCTGCAAACGGTGCTGCACCAGTTGAGTCATCCTCAACTTACGACCGGTTGAGTAGTCCTCGACTTACGACCGGTTGGGGGGTCGCGGCATTAAAAAGGTTGAGAACCACTGATGTAGAAGATTCAACCTCACATTTGGGAAGGTATTCAGCTTGGGATAAAGCAAGTACCGAAGGAGCAGAGCCCGTTTGGAAGTTCAATACTTCCCATCTCTAAGTCCTTATGAAGAGAAGGAAGCCATACTCAACTTTCACACCATACTGTAGTCTTAATAACAAAGTTTGGGGCATCAGGAACAGGGCAAACCCTTCTGGCGATAAATGTTTTTATTTCTGTCATTTTCAGAGATGTCTGCAGAGTGAAGTCCTAAAACTTAAGATGGCAGCCATGACTCTGTAATCATAGACCCCCTTTGACAGGTTAAAAAGGGGCGGGGCTTTGATCACACAGTCGGGCCCTCCATCTTGACTGATTTTTATTTCCTCCGCAGACATTCCCATTTGTCCTATGGGTAAATATCTATGGAGATACTCAGTCATCCAGGTCATAGTTATCCCAATGGTGCTTTTTCATGAGGCAACTGGACTTGCTGGTTTTTCTTTGAAGGTGTCCCGCTTCTCATCCAAGAAGCTTCTTCGGCTCTGACGGGATGGTGGGGAATGGAAGGATTTAAACCCCTTGCAGACAGCTGGTCATTTGCATTCTTTTAGAGCAGTGGTTCTCAACCTTTTTAATGCCGCGACCCCCAACCGCTCGTAAGTCGAGGACTACTCAACTGGTGCAGCACTGTTTGCAGAATGGGACTTTTGGTGGGCTCAGCAGAGCAGAGACAGCCTGGACAATTCCTATTGGCTTTTGAAAGCCAATAGAATTAGACTCTATTCAAGAGAGTCTATTCTATTGGCTTTTCAAAAGCCAATAGAATAAAAGGGAGTAGCACAGCTAAGGAAAAGGGGAAAAAAATGGCGGACTGCGTTGTTTGGCGACCCCCGTGAAATGGTCGTTCGACCCCAAATGGGATCCCGACCCACAGGTTGAGAACCACTGTTTTAGAGAGTCATTGAGGCCTCCTGGAGGCTTATCTGGGTCCTCAGGGTTACCTGAGTAATGCAAATGGGTGTGGAGCCTTCTTGGAACTGCTGAAAGGACTATGTTGTAGACTGGAGATAGGTGATGTCATATCCCTTCCCCACTGTTGAGAGACAGCTGTTCAGTTTTGACATAGATGGCCTCTTGGACCCCCTCTTTCAAATCAGCGGTCCTCTCTGTCCAAAATGTGGACTTTGTTGTCTTCAAAAGACTGGCCTTTGTGTTTTAAATGCAGCTGGACTGCTGAATCTTGTCCTGATGGGTTTGTTCTCCTAGGCCAGGAGTAGGCAACCTTGGCTCTTTTATGACTCGTGGACTTCAACTCCCAGAATTCCTGAGCCGTCATGCTGAGGAGAAAGGGAGAGGTTTCCAAGCTGAGCCATGCTGACTCAGGAATTCTGGGAGTTGAAGTCCACGAGTCATAAAAGAGCCAAGGTTGCCTACCCCTGTCCTAGGTTGTGCCATGCGCTTATGGAGTGGTTCTTTTGTTTGCCCAATGTTTAGATCTGCACATGGTTCCCTGCAGTGTTCCATGGGTAATTGTATGGTTTTCAACACGATGTGCTAAACCTGACTTCTCTTAGGGCAATTCCTGGGAAGAAGAATTACATTTAGTTCTCGACAGGAACCACAATTGTGTCCAAATTTTCTGTTGCTAAGCGAGACAGTTGCTAAGTGAGCTTTGTTTTGCCCCATTTTACGACCTTCCTCGGCACGGTTGTTAAGAGAACCCCTGCAGCTGTTAAGTCACTACCATGGTTGTTAAGTGAATCTGGCTTCCTCATTGACTTTGCCTGTCAGAAGGTCACCAAAAGGTGATAACACTGCAACCGTCATAAACACGAGTCAGTTGCCAAACGTCTAAATTTTAATCACTTGACAATGAGGGACGCTGCAATGGTCGTAAGTGTGAAAAATGGTCATAAGCAGTGCTTTTTTTGTCATAGAACTCACTGAAGTTTTGGCACCTTTTTTTGACAGATTTTCCAAGCTTTAAAAGTAACTTTTGAAAATTTGATGTTTGGTCCACATGGACTTGAATCGCCCTGTGGAGTGTAGCAGGTCGGCGGCAAAAATCATTAAAATGGTGCATGCAGGCTGCTTGTGTGTCAAGCCCAATGCATACGTACTTCGTCCAGCTGCTCGGCTTGGGGCACTGCTTGGCTTGTGATTGGTCATGTGGTCGCGCGCTGAGTGCTTATTGCGGTTGATGACCATTATGTTTTGTTACACAACTGACGTGTGTGGGTGTGTGTACGGTGACTGACTACATCCGAAAGGTAAATAAAAGATTAACAAGATGTGAGTTCCGGCACCTTTTTTTCTTACAAAAAAAGCACTGGTCATGTAACTGTTTTCAGTGCCGTTTGAACTTCAAACAGCCACTAAACAGATGGTTGTAAGTCGAAGGCTATGTGTAGAGGGGTTAAGGAAACCTACTTTATCTAGAGCAGCTTCCATCGTCAGAAGTTTATCTTTTAAACGTTTATCCTGGGACTTTAGGATTTCTAATTCTCCAGCCAATTTGTTGTTCAAAGCAGCCATGCAGCTCAGCTCTTGACTTAATCGGATCCTCTCTTCTTTCAAGTAATGTTTTTCCTGTATAGGCAAGAGAGAGAAAAAAATAACACAACAAGGTTGCAGAATCTTGAACAAGGAACAGCAACTACCACACTGCTTTTGATTTCAAAAGATGAAGTATCACGACGAATGTCCACAAAAAAGTCAAGAGGTTCCCACAGACGTGCGATCGAAGATCCACCTGTTTTTGATGTGTGTGGTGCCCATTTTAATTTATTTATTTTAACTATACCTTGCAAACACCCTTGAGGGACTTCAATCAGGTTGTGATGGAACGGGCACTTGACTTTTTCTATATGGGAATTCAGGGAAAGTGTCTTTGTGTTTTGTGACTGAAAGCTACTTTCAGAGATGAAATATGTAAGGTGGTGTTTCTTTAAAAAATTGCTCCAATTATCCTTTTTCATATCATGTCATTACCCCCCACTAAAAATGGAGGGAAACCAGCCATTCCGGGATGCACCCGGCCACGTGGGACCTCGAGTGGCAGGTTGAAGAGGGACGGTTGCCACTCCAGGGCATGGCACGCGTGCCCACAAAGAGGGCTATGACTGTCGCCTTGGGCACGCGTGCCATAGGTTCGCCCCCACTGCACTAGACCAAACTGACTATCTGATATGCCAGATATCATAAACCCAAACATCCCAGATTAAGAACCATTGTATTTAGGGATCAAGACTGATTCAGCCAAGGTACAACAACAACAAAAAACCCTTATAAGGGAGATGGAACAATCTGTAAGATAGAAATATGCCCATTCAGCCTACTTCACAAGGCAGTTGTGGAACAGCTTCTCAGTGAAAGTTGTAAGGATAAACTGTAAAAATTTCATGCATGTGCAAACAACTTTCTCCTCAACTGAGGTGGTACAAAAGCTTTAAGCCAGGGGTCTTCAAACTTGGCCCTTTTATGACTTATGGATTCAACTCCCAGAATTCCTCAGCCAGCATGCCTGGCTGAGGAATTCTGGGAATTGAAGTCCACAAGTCATAAAAGGGCCAGGTTTGAAGACCCTGTTTTAAGCTTTTGTGAAGCTTTAGATTCATCTTAGTGTAGCATTACACCTCGTTCTTAAACTACATTTTAATTATAGTTAGTGAAAATTAATCTACTCCATGAGCTATGGCTTGAATATGATTAAAATTAACGTTTTAATCTGTGTTGCCAATCCATTTGGTAATCTCTTAGTCAACTTCTTGTCCTAAATCAGGGGTGTCAAACTCAATTTCATTGAGGGCTGCATCAGCATTGCAGTTGCCCTCAGGGGGCCAGGTGGGTGCGGCCAGGGTGGGTGCGGCCTACTGGGTGGGCGTGGATGGAGTGGGTGTGGCCTACTGGGTGGGTGTGGCCAGTTCTACATCGTTCCCGTCAAGGGTGCCTGTGTGGGCCTGGGCAGGAGTGGGACAGATCTGAGGGTCTCTGGCAGAAGGGGGTGGGACCGAGGTAAGCGCCAAGGCATGGTCCATTTCTTCCTCACAAAGGGTGACACCTCTCCAGCATGCACCCGGGAGCGGGGCCGACACAGCAGGGGCTGGTTCCTTGCGGCCTTGTGGAGCTAAGACTGAATGCGTTTCAGCATAGATGGCTACCACAAAATTGTACCTTGGCTCCCAGCCGGCCTGGGCCAGGGCCAAGGTAGCGGGGGCCGTTCCCTCACTGTTTCCAGGATGGCTTCGCGGGCCACATGAAACCATTTCGCGGGCCGCATCCGGTCCCCGGGCTTTGTGTTTGACATGTCTGTCCTAAATTGACAAGGTAAACCACAACCTTGACAACTTTAAGATGTCTGGACCTCACCTCCCATAGCTGGCTAGAGAATTCTGGGAAATGAAGTCCAAACACTTTAAAGTTGCCAAGGTTGAAGAAACACCGTGATCAATTAACAAGGTGTGTTCAATTTAAAATGAGGAAAAACTCCTTTCCATGACACTTTGCTTAGCCCAGCTCATTCATTTTGGAAATATTTGTTCAATTTTAGAAGAGGTAACTTCACAATTATAGTGAAGGTCAGTGGTTCTCAACCTGGGGTCCGCGGACTCCTGGGGGGGGGGAGGCGATGTCATCACAAGGGGTCCAAAAGGCTTCAAGAAATGTTATTCTTTAAATCTTAAGTCTTGGGGGTCTATGGCCACAAAAGGTATTTACAGGGGGGTCCGTGGTGAAGAAAAGGTTGAGAACCACTCGTTAAGGTCTTTAGAGAAAAACTATATTCAATGTATAGGGACTGTGATAAGGCTCGTGGTAATTAACTAGCGCTGGATGTTTCATTCTTTCAATCATATTGTAGACAGATTTGCACCCATAATAATCTTTCAATGTTTGTACTGGACTACATTTATCACAGTTCTGTAATTCAGCAATCTGGACCTTAGTTGCATTAGTCATTGCTTCCTCCAGGAACTTAATCTTGCTCTGCAAAGCATCGATCTGCCCTCGTTTGGCTGTGATTTGCTTCTGCATCCCCATGGCAACTTTCATGGCTGTGAAAGAGAAGATTTCCGAAGCATTAGTGGAAATGTGAAAATTCTTGGCAAGAAATGGGCTAGATTTTTTCCCACAAATGAAGGCGAATATACGTGTCTCAGGATAATGTACTAGGATCCAATCTGGGTCGATCACAGGGACCAAAGAGGTTTTGTCTTTACCGCCAGTTTATCAAGTACTTAGGAGGCGAGGGCTTGGTAGCACAAGGAAACAATGGCCAATGATTTAATAGCCAGCCATCAACACCCCAATCAACATCTAAAAAGCCACACACAACAGGGACCATACCCTATTTCTCCGAAAGTAAGGCCTACCCCGAAAATAAGCACTAGCTTGATTTTTTGGGGTGGGCCTAATATAAGCCCTATCTCAAAAATAAGCCCTAGTTTTGGGGCGAGGCACACACTTAAAAACCAAGCTAGGGTGGGGGTTGGGGTGTGGAGCTGCCCCACATGCCCCACACTCACTCACCTTGCAACCAGGCCTCTCCACGCTGGCCCACTTCTTCTTCTGAGGCCTCTTCTGCAGCCAGGCCTGCATTTCTCAGTCACAGGGCTTTCCTGAAGGCCTGTGCAGCCAAGAAACGAGCTATGGATTCAATTCATAGCTCGGTTCTGCAAGATCCCTGCAGCTGAGCACCAATTTATGGACTGAATCCTTAGCTCGGTACTCGGCTGCTTAGGCCTTCTGGAAAGGCCTGACTGCAAAATGCAGGCCCAAATGCAGCTGCAGAACATCGGCCCCAGAAGAAGTGGACTGGCTGGGTGCGGCTGTCAGTGCCAGAGGTGAGGTAAGGCCTACCCTGAAAATAAGACCTGGTGGCTCTTTTGGAGGCAAAAAATAAAAATAAAAAAGACCCATTCTTATTTTCAGGGAAACATGGGTATAAACACCACACACACAAAATCCCAAGGCACATACACTGCTAGGGAGAAGTTCTCTGAGAATGGGTTCCAGGAGGAGTCCGAAAGCTCAGAAGACAAAACCTTTGGTCCCGGTGACTGACTTAGATTGGATCCTGGAAGAATTTTTCAGCGCAGAAATAGCCTCATACAATTCGAGACAAAATGATGGGAATAGACCTGTAAGTTTAACCTACACATAATTTCACATAAATTTTGAATGTATAAATCTACCATAACTTAAAGGAACCTTCGCTCTTTTTAAAATCGATATGAGTACAACACACTCCAGCAGAGAATGACAATGCATTTTGCAGTATTCCCTACCCAGAATAAAAATAAATTCCATTGCAAGCTTTCATTTATTATACCCTTATATTTGCCAACTTATAATTGTGTTGTGTGGTTTGTCTATGGCAGCTCTTCCCCAAGGAATGCTGGGAATTGTAGTTTAGTGAGAATACCAAGAATTCTCTGCTAGAGATCTAAGTCTACCCAAAGATCCGAAATTCCTGCTTTTAATGGAGATAAGGAAATTTCCAGTCTCTAATGACCGCTATTAATTAATGCTCATTAACTACAGGTAGTCCTCAAATTACGACCAGTCCTTTAGCGACCATTTGAAGTTACGACAGAGACTCCAGTTCTGAAGTTCCAACAAGCCACACCCCCATAGTCATGTGATTGCATGTCAGGCACTCAGGAACCAGCTGACATTTATGGCCATTTGTAGCATCCCTTGGTCACATGACTGCAATCGATGATGTTTTTGGCAAAAACCAGCATTTATTTCCGGTTTTCAGCAAAAAATGCCCCATAAGCAAACAATGGGTTTCTTAACAACTGGCACATTGCATGCGCCACAAAAAAAGTTGTAAAATTGGGTCGACCCCCTTTACAGTCATCATGACTTATGATAGTCATAAGTCGAGGTCTACTTGTATGTCCCTTAACTACTCCAGAACTGTGATCGTCTCTAGCTGAGCATCAAATCATCTTATAATGTCATACTAAATCAGGGGTCTTCAAACTTGGCCCTCTTATGACTTGTGGACTTCAATTCCCAGAATTCCTCAGCCAGCGTGCCTGGCTGAGGAATTCTGGGAGTTGAAGTCCACAACTCATAAAAGAGCCAAGTTTGAAGATCCCTGTACTAAATGCTCTGATCAGATTCAATAGCATCCATGTGAAAATCTGTATGAAAACCCTTTGAGGAAAACTAACAGGTTTAACCATTCTACCCCTTGCAAAAGAAGGAAAATAATTGTCCAAAAGATGCTTTTTCAAAAGGAAGTTCGACTTTCTGTTTTTTTTCCTTGAAGACATTTCGCTTCTCCTCCAAGAAGCTTCTTCAGTTCCGACAGAATGGCGGGGAATGGAAGGATTTATAGTCTTTGCAGTCATCTGGTCATTAGTACTCTCTCTGAGAATTGTGAAGGCCACTTGGAGGTTTATCTGTGCCCTCAGGGTCACATGAATCCTGTAAGTCAGGAGAAAAGCACCTTTGGGACAACCATGACCTGGGTGACTGAGAATCTTCATAGACAAAGAAAACAATTCTACACAATGAAAGTAACACGATTACCATGGCCATCAGAGCCCTCCATGGTCTTCAAAGTGGCCCTGGTTTGCTCCAATTCAATCTGAGCCGATTTCAGCTGCATTTTCAGTTTGCTCACAATCGTTTCCATGTCTTCGTTTTTCTCTCGGTAGTCATTCTTGATCACTTCTGCTTCCTCTGCAGCCAAAGAGAAACAACCGAATCAAGTCATGCGGTCCTGTGTTATGTTATATTCGTGTAAATAAAACCCAAAATGAATTCAGTTCCAAAGCAGAGAGACTCCTTGGGAAGTCAGTGGTTGGATGAAGGTTTAGACTAGGGGTAGGCAACCTTGGCTCTTTTATGACTCGTGGACTTCAACTCCCAGAATTGAGAGAGAGAGAGAGAGCCAGCCATGCTGAGGGGAAAGGGAGAGTTTCCAAGCTGAGCCATGCTGGCTCAGGAATTCTGGGAGTTGAAGTCCACGAGTCATAAAAGAGCCAAGGTTGCCTACTCTTGGCCTAGAACACAGGTCGGCAACCTGCGGCTCCGGAGCCGCATGCGGCTCTTTGAGCCTTCCCCGGTGGCTCCCAGCCTCCTCTGCCTTTGCAGAGAGAGACAGAGACAGAGAGAGGCAATTGCGCTTCCCTGCTTCCTTCTCTCTCTCTCTCTCTCTCTCTCTCTCCTCTCTCTCTCTCTCTCTCTGTGTGTGTGTGTGTGTGTGTAAAAGATTGCACTCACAGTGTTCTCCGAGGTGCTGAAAAGCTTTCTGGACGGAGCTCCTCCCTTTGCTGCGTCTCTGCAGGAAGCAGGAAGGGCAGGAGAGAGCTAGCTAGCCCAGCTAGGCTGACTCAGGAATTCTGGGAGTTGAAGTCCATGAGTCATAAAAGAGAGGAGGTTGCTTACCCTGAGCTTGTTGGACAACAGCTTGAAGCTTGCCAGGTGAACAGCAGATAGGAGAGAGAGAGAGAAAGAGAGAGAGAGGGAGGGAGGGAGGGAGAGAGAGAGAGAGAGAGAGGAAAGAGAGAGAGAGAAAGGGAGGGAGGGAGGGAGAGAGAGAGAGAGAGGAAAGAGAGAGAGAGAAAGAAAGAGTGGGGGAAGAGGAGTGGCAGGCAGACCAAGGGCAGATAGAGAGGGAGGGAGAGAGAGAGAGACAGAGAGAGAGAGAGAGACCCTTTTGACATCTAAAATGAAGATAACACTGCATATATCCTTTTTTTACCTGTATGTGTATGTGTATGTATGTGTATATATATATGTGTGTGTGTGTATACATATACACACACACATATACACACACACAAACACACACACACACAAACACACACCTATAATAAAGGTAAAAAAGGATATATGCAGTGTTATCTTCATTTTAGATATCAAAAGGATTTTGCGGCTCCCGGTGTTTTGTTTTTGGTGGGAAACGGGTCCAAGTGGCTCTCTGAGTGTTTTGGGTTGCCTACCCCTGGCCTAGAAGCTTCACTTTATTACTTGGCTCTTTTATGACTCGTGGACTTCAACTCTCAGAATTCCTGAGCCAGCCATGCTGAGGGGAAAGGGAGAGTTTCCAAGCTGAGCCATCCTGGCTCAGGAATTCTGGGAGTTGAAGTCCATGAGTCACAAAAGAGCCAAGGTTGCCTACCCCTGGTTTAGACAATTAGATGTATTAGATGTCAGGCAATTGTGCGATAAGGAACAGCAAAGAGATATGCATACAGGTAGTTCTTCACGTACAACCACAACTGAGCCCAAAATTTTGGTTGCTAAGCGAGACAGTTGTTGAGTGAGTTTTGCCCCATTTTACAACCTTTCTTGCCACTATTGTTAAATGAATCACTGCTGTTGTTAAATTAGTAACACAGATCTTAAGTGAATCTCGCTTCCCCACTCACCTTGCTTGTCAGGAGATCGCAAAAGGGGATCACATGACCCCGGGACACTGCAAATCGTCACAAATATGAACCATTTGCCGAGTGTCCAAATTTTGATTATGTGACTGTGGGGATGCTGCAACGGGCATATGTGTGAAAAACAGTCTTAAGTCACTTTTTTTCAGTGCTGTTGTAACTTGGAACGGTCACTAAACGAATGGTTGTAAGTTGAGGACGACCTGTGGTCGACTCAAGCCAACATCAAAATGAAGTTGCCTGTGTTAGGATGTCATGGCACAAATGGCTGGACTCGCCCGCTTGCTTCATAATGTAAAAACACAATTTGCAACATTTGTGCGCCGATGTTGGGCTGTGTGCAATATCAGTTGCTCCACCTCCTCCGGGGATGCCCATGCATGGGTGAAAGTGGGGGAGATTTCATTTTAAGATGGTCAGACACTGAAAGGAGTAAGAGATCCATCCAACCAGGTAAACAGGCAGAGATGACCAAAGTTTTGGGAAAATCCGACACTGAGAATTTAATAAGGCCTGTGGGGTTTCCTTCTGAGGTAGCTTATTAAAAAAATAAGAGAGGAAAGAAGTCTTCATTTTGTCTTTTGAGGATGGGTTTGTTTGTGTTTTCTCCTTTGAAGTTGATTGAAACAAGACTGACTGGTGTTGTTGTCATTCTTTATTATATAGGATAGGATAGGATAGGATAGGATAGGATAGGATAGGATATAGGGATAGAATAGAATAGAGTAGAGTAGAGTAGAGTAGAGTAGAGTAGAGTAGAGTAGAGTAGAGTAGAGTAGAGTAGAGTTTAATAGAGTAGAGTAGTGTAGTGTAGGGTAGGGTAGGATAGGATAGGATATAGGGATAGAATAGAATAGAGTAGAGTAGGGTAGGGTAGGGTAGGCTAGGCTAGGCTAGGCTAGGATATAGGGATAGAATAGAATAGAATAGAATAGAATAGAGTAGAGTAGAGTAGAGTAGAGTAGAGTAGAGTAGGGTAGGGTAGGGTAGGGTAGGGTAGGGTAGGGTAGGGTAGGGTAGGGTATAGGGATAGAATAGAATAGAATAGAATAGAGTAGAGTAGAGTAGAGTAGGGTAGGGTAGGGTAGGGTAGGGTAGGGTAGGGTTGGATATAGGGATAGAATAGAATAGAATAGAATAGAATAGAATAGAATAGAATAGAATAGAATAGAATAGAATAGAATAGGGTAGGGTAGGGTAGGGTAGGGTAGGGTAGAATAGAATAGAATAGAATAGAATAGAATAGAATAGAATAGAATAGAATAGAATAGAATAGAATTGGAAGGGACTTTGGAGGTCTTCTAGTCCAACCCTCTGCTCAAGCAAGAAACCCTATACTATTTCAGACAAAAGGTTGTCTAATCTCTTCTTTAAAAAACTCCAGTGTTGGAGCATCCACAAGTTCTGAAGGCAAGTCGTTCCACTGATCAATTCTTCTGCCAGAAAATTCCTCCTTAGTTCTAATCTAGCTTGTTTAGTTCTAGTGGTGTATAAGTTTAAGTACTATTGCTATTGCTACTGCTTCTCTCCTTGATGAGTTTCCATCCGTTGCTTCTTGTCCCGCCCTCAGGTGCTTTGGAGAATAGGTTGACCCCCCCTTCTTTGTGACAGCCCCTCAAATATTGGAACATTGCTATCATGTCACTCCTAGTCCTTCTTTTCATTTCATGTAGAGAAGGAAGAGAATGATCTTGAAGGACTGAGGGAAGATCCACCACCACTAAGGCAACAATAGATAAATGAAACTTGACTCCAGGCCAAGAAAACAGTTTTTGGAAACACCTCAGACAGACCTTCACCCCCCTTTCATGAAAGAAAGAGAAGAGCAAGCATATCCAAACTTTGCAAGATTCAGTTACTATCGCTGTTCTAATAAATGTAGCTTTCATGTGTGTGCTTCTTATTTGACTCTATCTTTTATAGAAAGTAGGGGAAAAGCTTCCCAACCAGATTCTTGATCTGCTGAATTGGGGAAGCAAGAATTTGGAAACAGTGAAGCTAATACTGGTAGCATTCTGTTTTACTTCATGCACCGAGACTGGGTAAATTTGAGTGCGTGGATATGTATATTTGAGAGATCCCGGTCAGTCCCTGGTTTAACCGTGACTTTGCTTTTACTTTTTACCTTTCAACTTTCTTCTTCGTCTCTGTCCTATATAATAAGGGTTTAACTTCTTAATGGAGCTCACGGGGCTTATTCTGGAAAAGGAAAGCCTTTCGCATAGGTCAGACGGCTGAAGAGAGACGAGACAGTTGCCTCTTGAGTGAACTGGCCCCTCCCTAACTGGCAATCTCCAGGAAGTGTACAGCAGGGTTATGAGAGGAGGATTTGCAGATCCTTCTGGGAATCCCAACTCAATTATTTAGAAGATGTCTATCAAAGCAAGGAAAGAATGGACTGGAAAAGGGACATGTGAACTGATAAAGGGCTGCGTAAGAGACCCAGGTCTGAGAGAGAGAGGGGGGAGGGAGGGAGAGAGGGAGGGAGGGAGGGAGGGAGAGAAAGAGGGATGGAGGGAGAGGGAGAGGGAGATGGAGAGAGAGAGAAAGGGAGGGAGAGATGGAGAGGGAGAGAGAGAGGGAAAGAGGGAGGGAGGGAGAGAGGGGGAGAGGGAGAGAGAAAGAGAGGGAAAGAGAGAAAGGGAGAGGGAGAGAGAGAGAGAAAGAGGGACGGAGGGAGAGGGAGATGGAGAGAGAGAGAAAGGGAGAGAGAGATGGAGAGGGAGAGAGAGAAAGAGGGAGGAAGGGAGAGGGAGAGGGAGAAAGAGAGGAAGAGAGAGAGAAAGAGGGATGGAGGGAGAGAGAGAAGGAGATGGAGAGAGAGAAAGGGAGGAAGAGAGGGAGAGAGAGAAAGAGGGGGGAGGGAGGGAGAGGGAGAAGGAGAAAGAGGGATGGATAGAGGGAGGGAGAGAGAGAGAGAAAGAGAGGAAGAGAAGGGGGGAAAGAAGGAGGGAGAGGGAGAGGGAGAAAGAGGGAGGGGGAGGGGGAGGGAGAAAGAGGGAGGGAGAAAGAGAGAGGGAGGGAAGGAGGGAGGGAAAGATTTCGTATCAACAATTTGACATTTAAGAAAATCAGAATTCCACACCCTGGTAACAGGACAATTTAATAGCAATAGCAATAGCACTTAGACTTACTGTACAGACAGCTCCAGAGTGCTTTTACAGCACCCTCTGAGCAGTTTACAATCTCAGTGTATTGCTCCCAGCAATCTGGATCCTCATTTTAGCAATCTCGGAAGGATGGAAGGCTGAGTCAAGCTTGAGCCATGTCAGGATCGAACTCCAGACTGGAGGCAGAGTTTACCTGCAACACTGCATTCTTACCACTGTGCCAATTTGATGTCTCACTAAATCAGAATTCCATCATTTGACATCTTCCGGGTACATATTCACATTTAGGAATTGTAAACACTGCAATCCTAAGCACCTCTAAGGAGGTGTTTGTTTCTCAACCCTGGCAAGCAGGCGTGGACTTCAGCTCCCAGAATTCCCATAGCGGGCTAAAGAATTTTGGGAATTGAAGTCCACACATCTTAAAACTGGCCAAGGTTGAGAAACACTGGTCTCGGGAGCTGAGGGTAAAGAATCAAAGAAAGAAAGACAAAAATACCTGCTAGTGCAGAGAGCTCAATGCGACTGGCTTTTATTTCGTTCACAAGTTCTTCTCGCTCCAGTTTCATCTCTTTCAGGACCCGCAGCCTTTCCGAGCACACGTTCATCAGTTTCACCTTTTCTAATTCCATGTCGCTCAGGCTGGCCTCTAACTCACGAATCTGGCACTCTTTCTTGTCTTGCGAAATCTAGGTGGGAAAAAAGCATGAAAGACCAGGTCCACGCGCGAAGGTCTGATTCATTGCTAAAAGCCTATGCACAGGAATCATCTCGACTAGTGGTCAGCACCCTGGTTAGAGTTAGATAAGTTTGCTTGTGGCTACGTAGGGATTCTAGGCTGATTCCTCATTTCACTCCCCCTCCAGATTCTGCCATTCCTTCTCCTTCACCTCTGTATTTGTAAGGTGACCAACTTTTTTACAATGTGAAGGAGGACACAAATACATGGAAGAAAAAAAAGTGAGTCTAATGCATGCGTGTGTGCCGTGTTGTGTTTCGGTAAGAAGTAAACAAAGCCACTTGCGTGCGGCGTACTCTTGCGCGCGGCGCACTCTCTCAAAACAATTCTCCTGTGCGGACCGCATACATCTCATAATCACATAGTCTCGCCGCACTGTACTGAGCCTTGACGAATCGTCATGTCAAATACAAATACATCACATCACACGCAATGGATCGGATCAGCATCAATCGAATACGGAGATTTGCAGATTAGTCTTCAAATATCGAAAAGGAGGACATGTAGGAGGACACTTTTCGAGAGAGGACAGAACTTACAAAAGGAGGACTGTCCTCCCTAAAGGAGGACGGTTGGTCACCTTAGTATTTGTCCTGAACAATCGCAAGGTGGCTGTTTTCAAGAATGAGAACGGTGAAAGACTTAATGCTTTAGGGCAGCAGAATGACTGCACTGCAGTTGTCAAAAGACACTGCATTCAGCCAAGGAGAAAGGATGGAGTTATTCCCAACCTAGGTGGACAGCACTAGCTTGGAAAACTTGGAATTAACCCTAGGACAGCTAGTCCACAATTTACAACCATTCATTTAGTGACCGTTCAAAGTTACAATCATTGCAGCATCCCCATGGTCAGGGGTAGGCAACCTCTGCCCTTTTATGACTCATGGACTTCAACTCCCAGAATTCCTGAGTCAGCTATGCTATGCGGACTCAGGAATTCTGGGAGTTGAAATCCATGAGTCATAAAAGAGCAGAGGTTGCCTACCCCTGACCATGGTCATATGATCAAAATTTGGACTCTTGGCAACTGATTCATATTTATGATCGTACAGGTAGTTCTCAACTTACAACAGTTCATTTAGTAACTATTCGAAGTTACGTCACTGAAAAAAGCGACTTGTGACCATTTTTCATACTTAAACCGTTGCAGCATCCCCATGGTCATGTGATCCAAATTTGGACGCTTGGCAACTGACTCGTATTTATGACGGTTGCAGCATCCTGGGGTCACGTGATCCCCTTTTGCGACCTTCTGACAAACAAAGTCAGTGGGGGAAGCCAGATTCGCTTAACCACCTGAACAACTGCAGTGATTCGGTGTCAAGGAAGGTCGTAAAACGGGGCAATGTTTATTTAAAAGCTGTCTCGCTTAGCGATGGAAATGTTGGGCTCCATTGTGGTCTTAAGTCGAGGACTACCTGGGATCAGAAAGGAAAGACGCGCCTTGAAGAAGAGGCAAGAGAGTGAAACTTAGGCACCTTCAGTTCTTGGACTTCGACTTTCTTCTCGCTAACTTCTTTTATGAGCTGAGACTTCTCCGTCTCTATGGCGCCAGCCGTCCGGCCATGTTGGCTTACGATCTCGGTCATGCTCTCGATTTGCTTCTGGAGGATCTCAATCACCTTCTCCTTCTCCATCAGCTGTACCTTCAGCGACTCGCAGTCGGACTGCACGCTTCGCAGGAGTTCGCTTTCACTTTTCAGCTGCTGGAACTCCTGCCGTTTGCTCTCCACCCGTCCGCGCAGCTGCTGGATCTCGTCATTGGTGCGTTCGATGACTCTTTCCTTCTCCAGGTGGGAAGACCTGAGATCGGCGATGAGCCGCTCTGCCGAGTCCAGACTTAATTTCCTTTCACTCAGTTCTTGGACAGTTTTGTGGAGCTTATCTTTGGTGGAATTTAGCTGGGCCAGGATGGAAGATTCCCTCTCTAGGCTGTCGTTCCTCTCTTTAATTGCAGACATCTGGAAAAAGAGCACATCATGAGAAAGGCAGGGCTAGATGAATCAAAAGTTGGAATTAAGATTGCCGGGAGAAATATCAACAACCTAAGATATGCAGATGATACCACTCTAATGGCAGAAAGTGAAGAGGAACTAAAGAGCCTCTTGATGCGGGTGAAGAAGGAGAGTGCAAAAGTTGGTTTGAAACTCAACATTAAGAAAACCAAAATCATGGCATCCGGCCCTCTCAATTCCTGGCAAATAGATGGGGAAGAATTGGAGGTAGTGACAGATTTTATCTTCCTGGGCTCCAAGATCACCACAGATGGGGACTGCAGCCAAGAAATTAAAAGATGCTTGCTCCTGGGGAGGAAAGCTATGGCAAATCTAGACAGCATACTAAAAAGCAGAGACATCACCCTGCCAACAAAAGTGCGTATAGTCCAGGCCATGGTTTTCCCAGTTGCAATGTATGGCTGTGAAAGTTGGACCATAAGAAAGGCTGAGCGCCAAAGAATTGAGGCCTTTGAACTATGGTGCTGGAGAAGACTCCTGCGAGTCCCTTGGACTGCAAGGCGTTCAAACTGGTCAGTCCTAGAAGAGATCAACCCCGACTGCTCTTTAGAAGGCCAGATCCTGAAACTGAAACTCAAGTCCTTTGGCCACCTGATGAGAAGAAAGGACTCACTGGAGAAGAGCAATAGAAGAAAGGGACGACAGAGAATGAGATGGCTGGATGGAGTCACTGAAGCAGTAGGTATGAACTTAAATGGACTCCAGAAGATGGTAGAGGACAGGAAGACCTGGAGGAACGTTGTCCATGGGGTCGCAATGGGTCGAACATGACTTCGCAATTAACAACAACAACAACAATCTGGAAAAAAAAAAGGAAAGATATACTGTTTGCCCAAGGCTTTTACCACGTTGAAGGAGATTATCCCAAATGGAGCAGAACTAGCAAGAGGAGCGGGTGCAGATGACACCAAACTGGCAGGAGTAACCAACACCCTAGAAGACAAACTCAGGATCCAAAAAGATCTTGGTCAACTCGAACAATGGGCCCTATCCAACAAAATGAGTTTCAACATGGAGAAAAGCAAAGTCTTACATTTAAGCAGGAAAAACCAAAGGCACAAATGCAGATTGGGCGAGACCTGGCTTAAAAGCAGTGACTGTGAGAGGGATCTTGGAGTCCTAGTAGACGATCACTTGACTATGGGCCAGCCGTATGCAGCAGCTAATACAAACCTGGGTTGTATAAACAGAGGCATAGAATCAAGATCACATGAAGTATTATTATTGCTTTATAAAACCCTAGTAAGACCACACCTGGAATACTGTAGCCAATTTTGGTCACCGTATCACAAAAAAGATGTTGAGAGTTTGGAAAAAAGTCAGAGAACAGCAACTAAGATGATCAAAGGCCTAGAGAGTAAAACATACGAAGAAGAGCTATGGGACTTGGGTTTGGCTAGTCTAAAGAAAAGAAGAAATAGGGGAGACATGATAGCAGTGTTCCAGTATCTGAGGGGCTGCCACAAGATAGAGGGGGTCAAATTATTCTTCAAAGTACCAGAGGGCAGGAGAAGAAACAATGGTTGGAAACTGATCAAAGAGAGAAGCAACCTGGATTTAAGGAGAAACTTCCTGACAGTGAGGACAATCAACCAGTGGAACAGCTTGCCCCCAGAAATCATGGGCGCTCCATCACTGAGATTTTTAAGAACAGACTGGACATTCACCTGTCTGAGACGGTGTAGGTTCTCCTGCTTGAGCAGGGGGCTGGACTAGAAGACCTCCAAGGTCCCTTCCAGCTCTATTCTATTCTATTCTATTCTATTCTATTCTATTCTATTCTATTCTATTCTATTCTATTCTATTCTATTCTATTCCATTCCATTCCATTCCATTCCATTCCATTCTATATATCCCGAGCTATAAAATTTGGAGGAATGAAATGGACATTTACTTATTTATTTTTCACATTTTTAACCTGCCACAGTTCAAAGACTCTTTGAGTAGAATACAAAGCATGTGTGGTGTAAGATTTCATAAAAACAAAGGCCACTGAGCATATTAGTGTAAACTATAAAAGTAGAACTTATGAATAGAATAATAACTAAGTAGTGCCATCAGCATTGACAAATTCACCATCCTTCAGTTGCAAAAGGCAGCTTTACTCAGAACAGCTTACATCCTGCCATACCTCCGATGCCACAAAACATCTACAGCCGCCTATCCCAAGACTCGATGGGTGGATAAAAATGTCAAATCCGGTCTGAACATCTGACCGATTTATGCGCCAAACATAATAATAATAAAAAATAAAATAATACACGTAGTCCTCGACTTACAACAGTTCATTCAGTGATCGTTTAAAGTCACAATGAAACTAATGAATGAAATTAACGAAGAGAAGGACAAGGGGGGACATGATAGCAGTGTTCCAATATCTCAGAGGCTGCCATAAAGAAGAGGGAATCAAGCTATTCTCCAAAGCACCTGAAGGCAGGACAAGAAGCAATGGGTGGAAACTAATCAAGGAGAGAAGCAACCTAGAACTAAGGAGAAACTTCCTGACAGTGAGAACAATTAATCAGTGGAACAGCTTGCCTCCAGAAGCAGTAAATGCTCCAACACTGGAAGTTTTTAAGAAGAGACTGGACAGCCATTTGTCAGAAATGGTGTAGGGTTTCCTGCCCGAGCAGGGGGTTGGACTAGATGACCTCCAAGGTCCCTTCCAACTTTACTACTACTATTATTATTATTATTATTGTTATGATTTATGACCATTTTTCACACTTAAAACCATGGCAGCATCCCTCTGGTCATGTGATCAAAACTGCATGCTTTGGCAACTGGGTTCATATTTATGACAATTGCAGTGTTCCCGGGCTTACGTGAACAGTTTTTGTGATCTACTGACAAGCAAAGTCAATGGGGAAGCCAGATTCACTTAACAACAAGGTTATTAACTTAACAACTGCAATGGTTTAACTTAACAACAGTGGCAAGAAAGGTCATAAAATGGGGCAAAAACTCACTTAACAAATGTTTCAGTTAGCAACATAAAAGTTTTGGGCTCAGTTGTGAGCCAAAGTCTGAGACTGCCTGTGTCAGGCTGCCCCCTGCAGGCAGTTGAGAAAACAACCACATGATGTAAAAGGCATTTTATGATGGGCACAATTTTGCTTTGTTTTGTCTTCCTGGGAACAGGACCCAACAGAATCCCAAGTTGCTTCCCTGGTTTATTCCAGGCATGAGGCCAAGACAAAGGAGTCCTTGTTTGAACGGCAGCAATGTTTCATAATAAAATTAAAATGCATCAGAGCATCTTAATCTCCTGCTATCCTTTCTTCTTACATTCTTAAATGCAGGGCATGCGAAATAATACAGGTAGTCCTCAACTTATGAACGCATTGGAGTCTGCCCATTACGGTCAAAAGTCACAACCGTCATATAGCGCATCAACCATGTCAGCAATTCTATTTTATGGCATTTTTTGGCATGGCTGCTAAACATATCTACAGTCGCTAAGCAAATCCATTGCTCGTATGCTGAAAAACAGAAGTTTGGGGCCTGTTTTTGGCCCCCCAAAAATTGTAAATTGTGATCATGTCACAAATAGCTATAAATTTGGGCCAGTTGCCAACTGCCTGAAATGGGTTCACATGACTGTGGGGAATGGAGTGGGCAACGTCCTGGCTGCTGGAACTTCAGAACCGGATCGTAGAATGGGACAGCTTGCCATAGCCAACTGGCCATGGGACAATTCAACACAGGACAATTCAAGAGAAGGACAAATGAATTGCGCCCGGCCTTGAGGACTTCTAAATTGAGAAGATTCAAACCTAAAGCAAGACAAGGCCCGCCGCGATTCACTTGTCCTTCTCTCTTGAGTTATCCCATGCTGAACTGCCTCATGATGAGTTGTTCCACGGTGAAGTGGCTGCAGCCTGTCTGCCGGGGTGACATGACTAGGGTGAGTTGGCCAGGATGACTTTTAATGATCACTAAGCGACTGTTCGTAAGTCAAGGACTACCTACACTGCAGCTGTTTTGTGATCGCTGCCATCTATTGACTGGCTTTTGACTGACTGTTGTCGTCATTCCGAACAGAATAGAATAGAATAGAATAGAATAGAATAGAATAGAATAGAATAGAATAGAATAGAATAGAATAGAATAGAATAGAATAAGAAATAAGAATAGAATAGAATAGGAAATTAGAATAGAATAAGAAATTAGAATAGAATAGAATAGAATAGAATAGAATAAGAAATAAGAATAGAATAGAATAGAATAAGAAATTAGAATAGAATAAGAAATTAGAATAGAATAGAATAGAATAGAATAGAATAAGAAATTAGAATAGAATAGAATAAGAAATTAGAATAGAATAGAATAAGAAATAAGAATAGAATAGAATAAGAAATTAGAATAGAATTAGAATAGAATAGAATAGAATAGAACAAGAAATTAGAATAGAATAAGAAATTAGAATAGAATAGAATAAGAAATTAGAATAGAATAGAATAGAATAGAATAGAATAGAATAGAATAGAATAGAATCACTCTGCTGAAGCCCTAATTCCCACATCCCGCATGTCTAAGGATATTTACCCATGTAGTAGGGCTGTACAGGTAGTCTTTGACTTATAACAGTTCATTTAGTGACCATTCAAAGTTACAACAGCATTGACTTAGGATCGTTTTTCACACAGTTATGACCTTTGCAGCATCCCCACGATCCTGTGATCAAAACTCAGATGCTTGGCAAAAGGTTAATATTTATGACCGCTGCTGTGTTCCAGATTCATGTGATCCCATTTTGCAACCTTCGGATAAGCAAAGTCTATGAGGATACCAGATCCACTTAATAGCTGGGTTACTAACCTGACAACCACAGGGACACACTTAACAACTGAGGTAAAGAAGGTCGTAAAATGGGGCAAAAACTCGCTTAACCAATGTCTCGCGGAACCAGAGAAATTTTGGGTTCAGTTGTGGTCGTACGTCCGAGGACTGCCTCTGTTCTATGTTCTATTTTTCTAGAACAGTGATGGCGAACCTTTTAGAGACCGAGTGCTCAAACTGCAACCCAAAACCCACTTACTTATTGCCGGATGCCAAGTCAGCGTGGCCCACTGGGTGGGCGTGGCTGTGGTGGTCATGGCAGACTGGGGGGGTGTGGCCAAGGTGGGCGTGGTCACCTCAATGTTGTCATGGGGAGGGATGCCAGTGATGGCCGGACAGGATTGGGGGAGATCCAGGGGGTCTCTGGCAGGTGGGGCGGTGGGCAGGAGGCTCGTCCTGTGGGGTGAGGTGCGGCAAGGCAGGGCGGGGGTGCCATTGTCGCAGGCCAAGGCGAGGCAGGGGCCGGGGCAGCTGCTGCCTGACACCATCGGCCCCCGCACACAGAGGCCAGCGAGCGCATGGGGGACAACAGTGTCCGTCAGCAGCCACAGCCTGCCGGCCCCTCAACCGGCGCACTCTGGGGTTCAGCAAGCCCGCCACCAGCAGTTCAGAGAAGTGCCCACAGGGAGGGCTCTGAATGCCGCCTCTGGCACGTGTACCATAGGTTTCGCCACCACTGTTCTAGAATGTCGAGGTAAGTGGTGCTTTTGCTTCAGGGAGAAGGGCACACAATCCCCTCGCACGCTCAGATTTGCCTGCCTATTTGCGAGTCTGAAACGATGCGGTGGAGGATTATTTGGCAAGTCACAAGATTTCCATCTGGCAACTTCAGTTCTCTCCCTCTTTTCCTTCACCTAGGCCTGCGCCATTGTTTTCAGGCTCTTATTGGTATCATGACTGTGATGATTATTACTCTGTGGCTTTGCATGTACGCGGAGAATTTCTACGCCGGAGACAAATTCCTTGTGTGTCTAATCACATTTGGCCAAATAAAACATTCTAGAAGTTGGGGAAACACTCCAGTTCTGGGGTTTGGTGGGGACCTTCTTTCTTTTCTGACCTGACGTTGAATTTGTCCTTCACACTCCACCTGCAGGGACCTCACGATGGAGTCCAGGCGCTGCAGCTCCATGTTTTTGTTGTCCAGCTCCCTCCGCAGATTGTCGATGGTGATGCTGCTCCCCGTGTCTCGATCCCAGAGCCTCTTGTTCTGCTCCTTTTCCAGATTCAGCTCCACGTCTTTCTTGTGGAGCTCAGCCTATGAGGCAAAGCAACCCGTTAAGCAAAGTTTCATAGTTTCTGAATGAAAAAGCAAAACACTTTTTAAAGGCGTGGAAGATGCACAGGTAGCCCTCGACTTACGATAGTGGTGGCGAACCTATGGCACATGTGCCAGAGGCGGCACTCAGAGCCCTCTCTGTGGGCACGTGCGCCATGCCCCAGAGATGGCAACTGTCCCTCTTCAACCAGCCACCCGCTAACTTGCCGAGGTCCACATGGCTGGATGCATCCCAGCACCCATGCGCTCGCTGGCCTCTGTGTGTGGGGGCCGATGGTGTCAGGCAGCAGCTGCCCCGGCTCCTGCCTCGCCTTGCCCTGTGACAATGCTCCCCTGCCCTGCCTCATCTTGCCTTGCCTCACCCCGCAGGACGAGCCTCCTGCCCACTGCCCCACCTGCCAGAGACCCCCTGGATTTCCCCCAACCCTGCCCGCCCCCCACAGGTGTCCCTCCCCACAAGCAACATTGAGATGATCACGCCCACCTTGGCCACACCCACCCAGTCTGCCATGAGCACCACAGCCACGCCCACCCAGTGAGCCACGCCCACCTGGCACCCGGCGATAAATAAGTGGGTTTTGGGTTGCAGTTTGGGCACTCGGTCTCTAAGAGGTTCACCATCACTGACTTACGACCACAAGGGAGCCCTACATTTCTGTTGCTAAATGAGACATTTGTGAAGTGGGTCTTTGTTTCCCATTTTACGACATTTCTTGCCACCGTTAGGCGACTCTACAGTTGTTAAATTAGTCATAGTTAAATGGATCTGGCTTCCCCATAGACTTTGCTTGTCAGAACGCCGCAAAAAGGGGAGCCCAGAATTCCCCAAGACATAGCAGCCGTCATAAATACTAGTCGGTTACCAAGCGTCTGAATTTTGGATGACTATGGGGATGCTGCAAGGGTCGCAACTGTGAAAAACGGTCATAAGTCACTTTTTTTCAGTGCCGTCGTAATTTGATCTGTTGTAAGTCGAGGACTACCTGTCATCTAGGAGCAGCCCAATCCTAAGCCAACTAAACATGTTCACACTCAAGTTAAGCTCAGCCAAGGAAATAAAGCTGAAAGGAAAAATTAGTATGATTTACAATCTACTAAGCAAAATATCTAATAGTCTGGCTAGTCTGGGAGGCAGAAGTTGGTAACTCCAGAAACACGGCTGTCTCCTTGGATTAGACTAGGGGTCTTCAAACTTGACCCTTTTATGACTTGTGGACTTCAACTCCCAGAATTCCTCAGCCAGGCACGCCTGCCTGGCTGAGGAATTTTGGAAGTTGAAGTGCACAAGTCATAAAAGGGCCAAGTTTGAAGACCCCTGGATTAGATCCGGGGTGTCTTTTTCTCCTGTGGGTTTTCTTCTCTCCAAAATGAAGCTTCTGAAGCCATAAACCCAATATGAGATTGGGCTCAGCTGCATTGCTTAAATTTTTACACCTTTTTCCATGGTGAAAATAACAATAAACGGTTACCAGCAAAAGAAGTGAGGAAAATTGTTTTTGGCAGGAAAGATGTAAAGATAACAGGTTCTGTTCTCTCTTGATGCTCATCTCTTTTACCATCTTCCTTTTCATGTCCCAAACTGGGCTTTTGCTTCAGACTGCAGGCTGACCTTCCTTCCTTCCTTCCTTTCTTCCTTCCTTCCTTCCTTCCTTCCTTCCTTCCTTCCTTCCTTCCTTTTTCTCTTTCTTTGTTTTTCTTTCTTCTTTCTTTCTTTCCTTCTTTCCTTCCTTCCTTCCTTCCTTCCTTCCTTCTGCTCTTTCTCTTTCTTTCTTTCTTTCTTTCCATTCCTTCCTTCCTTCCTCTTTCTTTCTTTCTTTCTTTCTTTCTTTCTTTCTTTCTTTCTTTCTTTCTCTTTCTTTCTTTCTTTCTTTCTTTCCTTCTTCCTTCCTTCCTTCTGCCTTCCTTCTTTCTTTTTCTTTCTTTCCTTCCTTCTTTCCTTCCTTCCTTTCTTCCATCCATCCGGCCGTCCGTCTGTCTATCCATCTATCTTTCTGTCAAATGAATATCTGATGGACTGAATACAAGTGAGTCCTTGTCCCAAAGTCACTTTGCAAACTTGAAATATTCTCAACATTTGTCTCCTTGAACCTGATGGATTGTTTTTAACCCCTTACTGAAGTTAGGAGAAGGTACATGAAAATGATGTTGTGAATAGGAAACTGTCCTAAACAATCATACATACACATACACACACACGCACACATATAACATTGACTAATTAACACCAATAGGATTTATTTAACAACATCCACTATAGAGATAAGCGAAGTATCTAAGTAGATATATCATACCAAGAGGTGCATGTATAGTTCCTTTTGACGAGATGGGCAGCATACAAGTTGGATAGATTTAATGAATGAATGAACGAACAAACAAACAAACAAGAGTCAAGAACATGTACTCTCTGCATGTGTGCCAGGGAAGAAAGGCAGAAAAAAGCAATTCAGGTTTAGTAATCTCTTAGTAAGCAGTGTGACAAAGGGGAGTGGGAAAGTAAATTTACAACTCTTTACCTACACTCCACTGACACTCGGTCAGTAGCCTGTGAGGGGCTGAAGAGTAAGTGCCGCTGAAGTTGGAAATGTGAATGCATGACATGTATCATGAAGATAAGTTTGGTATCTTCTACCATAAGATTTAACACTCTGAATTCCTCACAGAGTCATGGGATTTGAGCCACTTAGCTAGATTATGAACTCCAATATTTACAAAAGCTGTTTTTATTGAGGCGCTCCTGTGTCAGATTCCTACCAACAACTGCTGAACCTCATCATCTAAGTTTCCAGATTCTTGGCTGTATTGATCCCTTTCAATCTGAGCTTCAGTCATCTCAGAGTGAACCAGATGCAGCTGCTTCTCCAGATCTTCTATCTAAAGTATTAACACAAAAACACACTCAGAAACCACCCTCGGAGGAGCACAGAATGCAGATTCCTAAGAATCTCAGTGTTTTCGTTTTACTTATTGAGTGACAATGTAATGATGAGTTTCCCTTATTTGAAAATTCATAATAGGGTGACATATCGCTGGTACAGTCTACTAGAAATGTCACAAAAGAAATGTGTAAGATCTGGATGCTTTAGAACAGAGTTCCCCAACTTTCCTGGCTTTGCAGACCAGCCGGGGGGGGGGGGAGAGGGGAGGGTTCCACGTGAGTGGCCGGCAAGTGGGGCATGTACAGACACATTTGACCGCTTCTCGCGCAAATGCGCATCAGCACGGGTGCTCGCCTGCTGCTTCCATGGCCCGTTTGCAAACGTCTCATGGCCCAGTAGTGGGCTGGGGCCCCTGGGGATGATGACCCCTGTTCTAGAACTCTTCACCAAGCTAGGCTGCTAAAATGGTAAGAAAAACTTAAAGTCACAGAGTCAGTGGTGGGATTCAGCTGGTTTGCACCACTTTGGCAGAACCGGTAGCTAATTTTTTGTTGCCCAGGCCCAGAATGGACTTCCAGAAGTGGCATCCACACAGAGAACCAGTTCTTTCCCCTGTTTCAGTGGTTCTCAACCTTTCTAATGCCGCGACCCCATAATACAGTTCCCCATGTTGTGGTGACCCCCAACCACTTATACATCACCGGGAGCCAGGGGCGTGGCCAAAGAAAAGGGGAAAAAAATGGCGGACAGCCTTATTTGGCGACCCCCATGAAATGGTCGTTCGATCCCAAATGGGGTCCCGACCCACAGGTTGAGAACCACTGCCCTATTTGAATCCCACCACTGCACAGAGTCTAGATTCAGCCTTTGGACAGCTGTGGAGAAGCAAAGCCGCTGTTAAAAGAATTCAGCTTGCGTTCTCTGGGGTGAACAGTTCATCTTCCATTTTTAGAAAACATTCAGTCCTGGATGTATTTGCATCTTGATATGACAGTTAAAAGCCACTTGAGCGGTAGAATGCAAGTAACGAGACTCTGTACTCTTTTTGATAGGAACCAAGCTGGAAATGACTCTACAAGACACGAAGCGAGGTCCGAAAAGAGAAAAGAAAGACCGGCAACCATCAAAAGGTCTTCATAGTTTGTTTCTGCAGGAAATTCAGAGCACCTCTGATTCTCATGGGCTTCTGGAAAGCCATTAAGATCTGTCTTTTCTCCCAGGTGAACTTTGAAACACCCCCCCACACACACACCCAACAGGTAGATCTGTAGAAATTTCAAACAATTGTTAAGCTACCCATCCTAAGTCAAAGACTACTTGACTGACGAGTTTTATAGTGTCTTAGAATACAGGTAGTCCTACTGTCAACTAGTGGGGAGATTTTGAGACAAGGGGAAATGTGATTACTAGATTTAAAACAGTTGGAAAAGAATAAAAAAAATAAGGGATTAATTTGTTTAATACTGAGGATTTAGATTTATAAGGGAAAGGTAAACTAACTATTAGGAAATAGCCTTGAATTATTGACTAGCCCAGATAATATAGATGACGGATTTGAACTAATAAAGGATATTCTACTATTAAGGTGATGACGTATTAGGATGAGAAATAGAAAGTGTTTACGAAATAGAATAAGGCTATATTTAAGTAAATAATATGTGTATTTTAGACATTATAATTTTTATGAAGTGAGATAAAGGAAATTTGGGTCACCTGAAAGTTAAATACTATGGATATTAAAGGTTAAATTGGAATGCTGTAATTAAAAACTAAAAATTAGGTAAAATTTAACAACAGGACATGAATTGTTTATCGAGATTTATTAAGATATGTATAAGCAGAAAAAATGTATTTATAAATGCGATAATGAAGTTTTTACTGAGTTTGATACAATTAGAAATTTACTAGCTTAAATATGAAATAGCAAATGTTAAGGGAAACAGAGAAGAAATATTTGATGATGTAACCCGAGATACTTACTAAAGATTTTGTCATTGAACTATTGTTTAACCCAATCACCACATTGCTTTCCAAAGACTCAAATGTAAAACTAGAAAACTAATAAAATATTTTTAAGAATAGAGGTAGTCCTCATCTTACAACCACAGTTGAGCCCAAAACTGTTACGTGAATTTTGTCCCATTTTACGATCTTTCTTTGCCCCAGTTGTTATGTGAATCACTTGCAGTTGTTAAGCTAGTAAAAAGTTTGTACAGTGAATCTGGCTATCCCTGTGAACTTTGCTTGTCAGAAAGCCACAAAAGGTGATCACGTGACCCCGAGGCACTGCAACCGTCATATTTATGAGTCAGCTATCAAGCCTCTGAAATTTTGATCATGTGACCTTGGGGATGCTGCAACGGTCGTAAACGTGAAGAAAGTCACTTTTTTGGAGGGCCGTTGTCACTTTGAACGGTCACTAAATGAACTGTTGCGAGTTAGCAAACGAGCTGCATTTAGAATCAGCAAGGTAAACATTCACCCAAATTTCAAAGGTCACCAACACTCATTTTGTGCTTTACCTTATCCTGGGACATCCTCATTCCTTCCCGTAGCTCAGAGCGCAGTTGGGATATCGTGCCTTCCAGCTGGCTGATCTGACGCAAATACAAAGATTTCTGGTTTTTGGCTTGTTCTCTGAGGATAAAGAGAGGAAATAAACCCAAATGAGAATCTAAAATATTCAGGAGCAGACAGCGTGGTGATGCAGGTGAGAATGATGGTTGCAATCTAAGCAGTCAGGGAGGTTTGAAAAATCACTGCCAAAAATGCAGTTTTGTAGTTATGGCAAATATATGTATGTATAAGCTGACAAACCTGTTTCCCCTCCCCAAACACTTATCCAGTTCTTCAAATTGCATATATAGAGAGGGCTGTAAAGCACTGTGAAGCAATATATAAGTCTAAGTGCTATTGCTAGTTTTGGCAGTGATAGATAGATAGATAGATAGATAGATAGATAGATAGATAGATAGATAGATAGATAGATAGATAGATGTTTTTGGCAGTGATAGATTAATAAATAGACAGACAGATAGATATAGATATATAAATGCTTTTGGCAGTGATAGATAGATAGATAGATAGATAGATAGATAGATAGATAGATAGATAGATAGATAGATAGATAGATAGATAGAGATATATAAATGTTTTTGACAATAGATAGATAGATAGATAGATAGATAGATAGATAGATAGATAGATAGATAGATAGATAGAAGTTTTTGGCAGTGATAAATAGATTAATAAATAGACAGACAGATAAAGATATATAATGCTTTTGGCAGTGATAGATAGATAGATAGATAGATAAATATAGATATAGATATATAAATGTTTTTGGCAAAGATAGATAGATAGATAGATAGATAGATAGATAGATAGATAGATAGATAGATAGATAGATAAATGTTTTTGGCAGTGATAGATACTGTAGATAGATAGATAGATAGATAGATAGATAGATAGATAGATAGATAGATAGATGTTTTTGGCAGTGACAGATAGATTAATAAATAGACAGATAGATATAGATATATAAATGCTTTTGGCAGTGATAGATAGATAGATAGATAGATAGATAGATAGATAGATAGATAGATAGATAGATAGATAGATAAATGTTTTTGGAAATGATAGATAGATAGATAGATAGATAGATAGATAGATAGATAGATAGATAGATGTTTTTGGCAGTGATAGATAGATTAATAAATAGACAGATAGATATAGATATATAAATGCTTTTGGCAGTGATAGATAGATAGATAGATAGATAGATAGATAGATAGATAGATAGATAGATAGATAGATAGATAGATAGATAAATGTTTTTGGCAATGATAGATAGATAGATAGATAGATAGATAGATAGATAGATAGATAAATGTTTTTGGCGGTGATAGATAGATAGATACTGTAGATAGATAGATAGATAGATAGATAGAAAGAGATAGATAGATAGATAGATAGATAGATAGATAGATAGATAGATAGATAGATAGAGATAGATGTTTTGCAGTGACTGCATTTTTGGCAGTGATATGATATATATGATATTATATATATGTGTGCAATTTGAAGAGCTGGATAAATGTTTGGGTAGAGGGAAACAGTTCGTTGTCAGTTCGTACAGGCCATTGTGCATTGTGTCTCCGAGTGGCAGGAGCATGGGACAAATTGTCAGAAGAAAGGTCACCACGCTCTGCTTAAGGCTTTCTCTTTAATTCGTCAGCTGGAATTCCTGAAACAAGAGTTCCAATGGATAGACTGGGACTCTCACATTCTCAGCTGATGTCTAGGGAGACTGTCAATCATCCAAGTCCTGGTTGTTCCAAAGTGCTTTTTCCAAAAGGCAACTGGGCTTCCTTCAGAACTGAAGAAGCTTCCTGGATGAGAAGCGAAACGTTGTCAAAGGGGGAAAAAAACCAATAACCTCCAGTTGCCTTTGGGAAAAAGAATCTTGGGGATTCTCAGCTGATGCAAAATTATAGTTCTGGTTGTCCAGCCTGCCATGAGACTTAAGATAATTCTCTATTTCATTTTTGAAATCAAAGACCTGTCCTCAGTGAGCCTAACGGAGTAGCTGAAAGTGACTTACTGGAACTGCAGTGAAATGCATAAACAATAAGCCAGGATCGATGGAGATGCCGGCTTATTAGCAGCAATGAAACCCTCCCTACACACAGAAACATTTTCATACATACATAGATTTTCCTTTTTACGACCCATAGTCCCTGATTTGGGGTAGAATCAGGGTGCCTGAATGTAGTGCAGAGCCTTTTTTGCTGTGGCTCCCTCCTTCATACTCCTGGTCTTCAGGAAAAGCCTTAAAACATGGCTCTGATGGCTGGCCTGGGCCCCCAATAAGGGTGGTCTATTCTGGGGTGACTGATATAGTAGGGAGAAGATCCCCATCTTCAGGACACCCATTCTCTTAGTTTTTTAGTCATTATATAAAATTTCTTCTAGAGGAACTAAGATGATCAAAGGCCTGGAGACCAAAACGTACGAAGAACAGCTGGAGGACTTGGGTTTGGCTAGTCTAAAGCAGGGGTGTCAAACTCAATTTCATTGAGGGCCGCATCAGCATTGCGGTTGCCCTTGGGGGGGCGGGTGAGTGTGGCCAGAGTGGGTACGGCCTACTGGGTGGGCGTGGATGGAGTGGGTGTGGCCTACTGGGTGGGCGTGGCCAATTCTACATCGTTCGCGTCAAGGGGGCCTGGGCAGGAGTGGGACAGATCTGAGGGTCTCTGGCAGAACGGGGTGGGACTGGGGCAAGCACCAAGGCATGGTCCATTTCTTCATTCCACACAAAGGGTGATACCTCCCCAGCATGCACCCAGGGGGCGGGGCCAACGCGGCAGGGGCTGGTTCCTCGCTGTTACCAGACGGCCTTGTGGAGCTAAGACGGAGTGCATTTCAGCATAGATGGCCACCACAAAATTGTACATTGGCTCCTGGCCGGCTTGGGCCAGGGCCAAGGCAGCGGACACCGTTCCCTCATTGTTTCCAGGATGGCTTCACGGGCCACATGAAACCACTTCACGGGTCGCATCAGGCCCCCGGGCCTTGTGTTTGACATGTCTGGTCTAATGAAAAGAAGAACTAGGGGAGACATGATAGCAATGTTCCAGTATCTGAGAGGCTGCCACAAGGCAGAGGGGCCCAAGTTGTTCACCAAAGCACCAGAGGGAAGGACGAGAAACAATGGTTGGAAACTGGTCAAGGAGAGAAGCAACCTGGAATTAAGGAGAAACTTCCTGACAGTGAGGACAATCAACCAGTGGAAAGCTTGCCACCAGAAAACGTGGATGCTCCATCACTGGAAGTTTTTAAAAAGAGACTGGACAATCACCTGTCTGAGATGGTATAGGTTCTCCTGCTTGAGCAGGGGACTGGATTAGAAGACTTCCAAGGTCTCTTCCAGCTTTATTCTATTCTATTCTATTCTATTCTATTCTATTCTATTCTATTCTATTCTATTCTATTGTTCTGTTCTGTTCTGTTCTGTTCTGTTCTGTTCTATTCTATTCTATTCTATTCTATTCTATTCTTAATTTTAAGTTCTTTTGTATTACGTTTTTATATTTGTATTATGCTATGTGTAAGCCACCCAGAGTCACTGTAGCATTCAGATGGGTGGCATAGAAATTTAACAAATAAATAAATAATTACAACGCACGCAGCCAGGTTGCTTCTGCTGCAGATGGAGCCAAGTGCCACCTTTAAATCCTAACACTAGTGTAGAATTTTTCAAACTTGGTAACTTCAAGATTCATGGACCTCTCCTCCCAGAATTCTTATGTACCCCTGGAATATATAGACTTTCTTTTTAACTGAAGTTGGGAAGGCAGAATGAAAAAAAAAAGAACCTGTTCCCTGTCCAAATCTCTCTCAACCAAAGTTAATGAGACAACGTTAGTAAGAAGTCAAACCCTCATACCGGTAGTAACACAATCCATCCAAATCAATTACAGTAATTTCAGTAATTCCCTGAGAACATTTGCTTTAGATCAGTGTTTCTCAACCTTGAAAATTTTAAGGCATGTGGACTTCAACTCCCAGAATTCCACAGCCAGCAATGCTGGCTGTGGAATTCTGGGAGTTGAAGTCCACATGCTTTAAAATTGTCAAGGTTGAGAAATACTGCTTTAGATGTCTATGGAGATTGTCAATCACCCAAGTCATGGTTGTCCTTAAAGATGCTTTTTCCAATAGGCAACTGAATTTTCTTGGTTTTTTCCCCCCCTTTGAAAACATTTTGCCTGAGCTGGAACAGAAGAGGCTTCCTGGTTGAGAAATGTAACTTTTTCAAGGAAAAAAAAAACCCTAAGAAAGTCTAGTTGCCTTTTAGAAAAAAAAAAACAAACATCCTTTGGGACAGGGGTCTGCAACCTTGACAACTTTAAGACTTGTGGACTTCAGTTCCCAGAATTCCTCAGCCAGTGCTGACTGAGGAATTCTGGGAGCTGAAGTCCACAAGTCTTAAAGCTGTCAAGGTTGCAGACCCCTGTTCTGGGACATTTGCTTTAGATCAGTGGTTCTCAACCTTTTTAATGCTGCGACCCCCAACCGGTCGTAAGTCGAGGACTAAACCGGTCGTAGGTCGAGGACTAAACCGGTTGTAAGTCGAGGACTAAACCAGTCATAAGTCGGGGACTACCCAACCGGTCGTAAGTTGAGGACTTTCCCTGCCCGGGAGCGCCGCGCATGCGTGGTGCTGCCCCCTGCGCCGGCCGAGGCGTAGCTGGCAAGTGGCAGAGACAGAGCAGGCTGACCAACGGCTGGGCCACCAGCTGGCCCAGCCCAAGGGAGGTAAGGCACCCGCCGGAAAAGGGGAAAAAAATGGCGGACAGCCTTGCTTGGCGACCCCCGTGAAATGGTCAATCGACCCCAAATGGGGTCACGACCCATAGGTTGAGAACCGCTGATTTAGATGTGCTGGCTGAGGAATTCTGGGAGCTGAAGTCCAGCGGTCTTAAAGTTGCCAGCTTTTGAGAAATGCTGCTTGAGAACATTTGCTGGGATGCTCTTCGGAAGAGTATTACGTACTGAATGATTTCCATCTGGCTTTGAATATTGTTGGCGTGGCTGTGGGAAGCCTTCGCTGCCTCCCTCAGGACTTCCAAATCCTGTTCGTGGTCCCCGATCAGCCTCTCAATGCTGTTATTAAAAAAACAAACAAACCATAAAGCAGGGGTCTTCAAACTTGGTCCTTTTATGACTTGTGGACTTCAACTCCCACAATTTCTCAGGCAGACACGCTGGAATTTTGGGAGTTGAAGTCCACAAGTCATAAAAGGGCCATGTTTGAAGACCCCTGCCATAAAGTAATAGCAATAAGACATCTCTGGTCTAATATGTTGATTATCTATCAGCAAGCTTTAGCACAGTGTTTCTCAACCTTGACAATTTTAAGGCATGTGGACTTCAACTCCCAGAATTCCACAGCCAGCATTGCTGGCTGTGGAATTCTGGGAGTTGAAGTCCACATGCCTTAAAATTGTCAAGGTTGAGAAACACTGCTTAGCAGGATCAAGTTAGAAATCTAGAATAAAACAGGGCAAATAGGAAAAAAAATATGATTTGCCATGAGAATATAGTTCCCTCCCAGTGTTGTTCTAAAACAGGGGTGTCCTACCTTGGCAACTTTAAGACCTGTGGACTTCATCTCCCAGAATTCTGGGAGTTGAAGTCCATAAGTCTTAAAATTGCCAAGGTTGGACACCTCTGATCTAAAACTGTCCCTTCTTCCTTTCTCTTGTAACAATGAATGGCTGCTGTACATGCCTTCAGAATAATCTAAATAATAATAATTAATAATAATAGAATAATCAGTCTCTTTGGGGAAACCCCTGGTTCTTAATTTTATTAAGCAACCTAGGAACTGAGTATCTTTTACAACACAGTTCCCCCAAAATTTTTGATGAGTTTCTTCTCCAAGTTCCCTCTCTTATGAGGTCTAGATTGGCCTCTACCGGATCTTTTTCAGGAGCAATTCTGATGCCCTGGGAACTTTTTCAAGAGACGTTCTTTCAGTCTTTTTCTAATTACCCTCCCACCAATAAATTTAAAAAATAAATAAATTTCGTGCTGCTTTTGCTAAGAGCTGATTAAAACTTCCTGTGGCCATCAAGTACCCTTCTGTGTTTCTGCTTCTCTGTTTTATAAAGCTTTAACTTTCTGGTTTTATTCTGTTTTTGACTGACTGCTTCGGATTTCGTTGTTTTTTTTGTGTGAAATATTTTCTTTTTCATAATACAGGTCCTCGACTTACAACCCATTCATTTAGTGACCCTTTGAAGTTGCAACTGCCCTGAAAAAAGTGATTAATGAATGGTCCTCGCACTTAAGGCCACTGCAGCATCCCCACAGGTGATTAAAATTTGGGTGCTTGGCACTTATTTATAATAGTTGATTCACTTAACAACCATGGAAAATCAGATGCAACAACTGCCTTTCTTGACAACCGTCATTGTGGTTTGTAAGTCAAGGACTACCTGTGATCTGCTGTGGGAACCTTCTTCATGAGGGGTACGAAAACAATCTAAAATGCATTTAAAATTAAGGAACCAAAACCAGCGTACCTGTCCTGATGTTGCTGAAGCAAAATTTCCGTTTTCGACTGTGATTCTCTTTGCATCATATCTATTTGCTCTTCCAGCTAATAAAATGTCACAAGTTGTTGTTAATTAGACAATGATTCTAATACAGGCAATTATGTAGTATGATATTTTCCTCAGTAATCAAAGCTTTGTGGCCCATTTATGAAACAAGGGGGCTAAGGCAGAGAAGAGGATTAGCCTAACTTTGTTGACTATCTATTTTCACACTTAGACACTGACAATAATTTTCAGGCCGCCTCGGTCAATATTTCTTTTATCTTACTGCTAGCGCTGGTAACGTGCTTTTGAGGAATTCCATCTACATTTCCATGAGACGGCCCCTTACTCCTGCTTCCTCAGGCCATGTGCATTTCCGAAGGACAACCTCTCCAAATTCTTAGCCAGCATAGCAAACACTACTAGATATTAGTGGTTAGAAAATTCAAGGATTTTGTTTGCTTGCTAAAGACTTCCCCCGATTGCCTAAGCTGCTGCACAGTCTAGCACAGTGGTGGCGAACCTATGGCACGCGTGCCAGAGGCGGCACTCGGAGCCCTTTCTGTGGGCACGCGCACCATGCCCCGGAGATGGCAACCGTCCTCTTCAACCAGCCACCCGCTAACTTGCCGAGGTCTCAGGTGGCCGGATGCATCCCAGCACCCATGCGCTTGCTGGACTTTGTGTGCGGGGCCCGATGGTGTCAGGCAGCAGCTTGCCCTGCGACATGGTACCCCCACCCTGCCTCGCCTCACCCCGCTGAACCAGCCTCCTGCCCACGGACCCACCTGCCAGAGACCCCTGGATCCCCCCAACCGTGCCTGGCCCCCACAGGCATCCCTCCCCAGGAGCAACACTGAGCTGGCCATGCTCACCCATCTGCCATGACCACTGTAGCCACGCCCACCCAGTGGACCACACCCACCCAGCAGCCACGCCCACCCGGCACCCGGCAATACATAAGTGGGTTTTGGGTTAAATTTTGGGCACTCGGTCTCTAAAAGGTTCGCCATCACTGGTCTAGCAGGACATCATTTTAACTATCAGGTACTTAACAGCTCTCCAGATGTGGCTGAGCCGTAATTCAATTTCTATTGGCAAAGGATGCTAAGATTTGTAGCATCCTCAAGTCCCTGGGGCAGTGATGGCGAATCTTTTAGAGACCGAGTGCCCCAAAACCGGCCTTGCCCCGCCCCCGCCCTACCCACCCACAGGGCCACTCATCACCTCCACAGCCCACCACAGATTGCCCAGGTGCCCCAGCAGCACCATAGTGGCCATGCCCTCCGCCCATGCCCCGTAGCATCAACTGTGCGTGACAGGGTGCGAGGGCGGAGTCTTGTCCCCGCTGCCCGGCTGCCATGTCCTTGGCTGTGCTGCTCTGCGTGGGCTGTGCTCGGGGGCGACTCTCCTCTGGGGGCTGTTGGTGAGGAGGGGGCTGCGGGGGAGGCAGGCTTGGGGCGATGGTGCCTTTGTTCACAGAGAGGGTTCTGAATGCCGCCGCTGGCACGCATGCCTTAGGTTCACCACCACTGCCCTAGGGTGTCTACTCTTGACCTCATAGGTCTCAGCAATTGTCCTGTATCACAGAACTTATAATGGTGCAACATTCTCCAAAACTGAATCAGATCATTTATTCACTTAGCTGGCTGGTCAATTTTCTGTGGAAATGTTCTGGGTTCTGGAGTTTTTCAGCTCTCGCCTTACAAAAAGGGCTTTTTGTCCGTTTGTTTTTCCTTGCATCAGCTAGGAGGCAATCTCTAGTTCATCTTGGTTGATCTCAATCAACCAGACCGAATGGGATTTGATTATCATTTGAATGAGAAACTTCCACAGCTATAGGCTGGACAAGAAAATTGGAAAAAAAAGTCTCTGAGGAAAACAAGGACAAACTATTTATTTATTGTGGCCGAGAAAACGGCAAGGTTGTGTTCCTGAAGTCACCAGAACTCAACCTGAAGAAGACTTTCATTTATTTATTTATTTGTTTGTTTTTCATGTAATATCGCTGTGTTTTAGTCCCAAAGACTTGTCTAACTCATTTTCCTCATCAATCTCTACCGTTCTGTCCTGGAAGATTGACTGTCCTTTGGACAGAAATCTGGAAGACACTGATAATCTGGGCTCTATTCTCTTTATGAAGGAGGTGGGCCGTTTCTAAATTTGATAAATAAAATAAATAAAAGTTTATTTGCTGTGACTTCTAAAAGTCCCAGTGATGGAATTTCTCACGGCCTCTGGGATTCCTAAGAAGTTACAAAATATTTAGAGGGGAATCTAAGGCCAGACAGAGGTTTATTAGTCAGAACAAATACATCTGTCAACAGGCTGGCAAAAAGGAATTTTCTGAGACTATATATAGAATGTCAACAAGAATATAAGAGATGTGTCTGACATAAATAGGTTAACAATTGGATTTCAAATATATCTAATTGGAAATAGTTTCCATTGCCCAAAATGGGAAGCAGAATGAAACTGGTTAAGAATGTGAATCACATACTTGCCACTTATGTTACTGCTTTTTAAAAATTAAGGCCTAGTGGTCTCTCATCTGAAGCAGAACTCTAATGAGTAAGTAGATAAGTAGGCTTTACTTTCCTACTGTTAGTGTGATTCTGATTGTGGAGTTTGGTCCATGAGGTCTCGGTGCTCTCTGAGTTTGGTGGTTTTCTTGCAGACATTTCATTATCAAACTAGATAACGTCATCAGTCATCAGGTAACACTGACGAAGTTGCCTAGTTTGGTAATGAAATGACTGCAAGAAAACCACCCAGCTCAGAGAGCACTAAAGACCCCCACAGTTCAAATATGATGAGCTACAAATATGAAGTTAACAACTGTGACAACAAAGGTCATCAAATGGGACAAATTCACTTAACCACTGTCTCGCATAGCAACAGAAATGTTGGGCTGAGCTGCGGTCATATGTGGAGGACTACCTGTACATTTCCAAATTTGGGGTGAAGATTAGCAACTTAGAGGGCAAATCACGTACTGGAGCAAGCTTGGTTTTCAAATGCAACATCTCTGTTTCAAAATCCTGGAGAATCCTGGCAAAAGCAGCGGGCAGGTAGGATATGCGCATATTGGCAAAGCTTTCGTATCCGTACGTCTTCTGGTCTGGGCCACCTTCGTAATGCAGGAGAAGATTGCGGAGCTGTTCGAAAACCTCATCGTGGCCCTGGACCAACTTTTTCAGATATTCAATCTGGCTACTGGATTCCTTCAGCATTTCCTCCTGAAGCAGGCTGGCCGTCTGCAACTCATCCACCGTGGCCCTCAGCCTGCTGTTGTGACTTTCTTGTGATTGAGATTCCTTTCGTCTGCTTATCGGGAAAGAATTCAAACCAAGAAAGAGTGCAGAGAAGAGCAACGAAGAGGATTAGGTGCTTGGAGGCTAAAACATACGAAGAACGGTTGCAGGAATTGGGCATGTCTACTTTAATGAAAAGGAGGATTAGGGGCGACACAGTAGCAGTGTTCCAGTATCTAAGGGGCTGCCACAAAGAAGAGGGTGTGTGTGTGTGTCAACCTATTCTCTGAAGCGCCTGAAGGCAGGACAAGAAGCAACGGATGGAAACTAATCAAGGAGAGAACCAACCTAGAAATGAGAAATTTCCTGACAATGAGAACAATAAACCAGTAGAACGACTTGCCTCCAGAAATTGTGGGTGCTCCCACAATTGGAGGTTTTTGTCTGAAATGGTATAGAGTTTCTGCTTGAGCAGGGGGTTGGACTAGAAGACCTCTAAGGTCCCTTCCGTGTTATAGCAAGAGCACTTAGATTTATATGCCGCTCCATAGCACTTTACAGCACTCTCTGAGCGGTTTACAGTGTCAGCCTATTGACCTCCAGCAATCTGGGTCCTCATTTTACTGACCTTGGAAGGAGGAAAGGCTGAGTCAACCTGGACCCGGTCAGGATCGAACTCTTGGCAGTCAGCAGAGTCAGCCTGCAATACCGCATTCTAACCACTGCGCCACCACAGCTCTGTTATTCTGTCGTTCAATACAAGTTCAAGAGCTATGAGCAATTCCACAAAAAGTTCCCCACAACCTTCTCAACGTGAAAAACTCCGCCAGCAATCGCTGCCTTTGGGACCTTCCATGACACAAGGATAAGGAGAAGCCATGCCATAGTATTTATTGTTCTCCGTCCAGGAAGGTGAGCAAGAAAGAGAGACTCAGCTTCCTTTAAAATCGTTTTACCAATTTCCCATTGAAATCATTTTGGAGCCAAGCCAGACAAAGTAATTGCAAGAAAGATGTACCTGGGAATGGTGACTCTGTTCAGTTCGGGTGAGGAGAGGACTCACCTTAATTCATTAAGGGATTCTTTCTCTCTCATCGCGTTTTCCAGATTCGTCTGCAGCTCAATAACCGATTGCCGTAAAGCGAATTTCTGTTGCTCATGTTGTTCTGTGTTCTACAGGAGATGAAATAAGATGATTAAATAAAGGCTGGAAGAATGGGGCAGAGGGAACCACAGAGACAGAAGCAGGGGAGAGATTTTTTGGAACACAGACATGGAAAGAAAGCATTCCTTAGGAAACTAATCCACTTGGAGCAGGGGTCCCCAACCTTGACCACTTTATGAGTTGTGGACTTCAACTCCCAGAATTCCTCAGCCAGCCATGGCTGGCTGGGGAATTCTAGGACAGTGATGGCGAACCTTTTAGAGACCGAGTGCCCAAACTGCAACCCAAAACCCACTTATTTATTGTTTGGTGCCAGGTTGGTGTGGCCCACTGGGTGGGCGTGGCTGTGGTGGTCATGGCAGGCGGTGGGTGTGGCCAAGGTGGCGTGGTCACCTCGATGTTGCTCGTGGGGAGGGACGCCTGTGGGGGCCGGGCAGGGTTGGTCTCTGGCAGGTGGGATGGTGGGTAGGAGGCTTGTCCTGTGGGGTGAGGTGAGGCAGGGTGGGGGTGCCATTATCTCAGGGCAAAGCATGGCAGGAGCTGGGGCAGCTGCTGCCTGACACCATCGGCCCCCACACACAGAGGCCAGCGAGCACATGGGGGCCGACAGTGTCTGTAGCAGCCACAGCCTGCCAGCCCCTTGACTGGCACACTCTGGGGCTCTGCAGCCCGCCACCAGCAGTTCAGAGAAGTGCCCACAGAGAGGGCTCTGAGTGCCGCCTCTGGCACGCGTGCCTAGGTTTGCCACCTCTGTTCTAGGAGTTGAAGTCCACAAGTCATAAAGTAGCCAAGATTGGAGACCTCTGACTTGGAGCTTTCCTGCTACAGGTTGTCCTCAACTTACAACCACTGGTTTAGTGACTGCCGTTACCACGGCAATGACATCAGTGACATGACCTGTCAGACCTGCCACTACTAAAACAGAAACGGACCTTGGCTCCATTTGTTGAGAAAGGTATAGTTTATTGGAGATCAAGTTATTGTACTATTGCAAAGCCAGAATGGAGAATTGCACACCAAAACCCCTATGTTTTACTTTTTCCCTCCCTTAACTATCTCTCATTGCTCATACCAATATCATCAATCAGGCCCAGGAAAGATGTTTTCACAAGGGTCAGTCTAAGCCAGTGTTTCTCAACCTTGACAATTTTAAGGTATGTGGACTTCAACTCCCAGAATTCCACAGCCAGCATTGCTGGCTGTGGAATTCTAGGAGTTGAAATCCAAATGCCTTAAAATTGTCAAGGTTGAGAAACACTGGTCTAAGCGCAGTTTGGTATGTGTCCCCCTCCTTCTCCCAGCTGGGTGACCTTGAGGCAGCATCTGGAGGAGATACAGCACTTACTTTCACTTCCCCAAGCCTTCCCCACTTCATTTTCCCTCCGCACAGTTCAGGGCAGTCTGTCACCACACGGCAGCAAAGCAGAAGAAAGCACAAGGTAGCAGCTGACGTGACCATTTTTTACCTTACATTTTTTTTCTAACCACCCAAAAAAATCTGTTAAGGAGAAAATACGCTTTTTGTTTTAATTGGCAGGTCACAAAGCTCCCCATCTTTGAGGCACAGTTTCTCTCTACAATAGCCGAAACAAAACAAAGAAGGTAAATTAAACATACATATGGCCTAATCTCCAGGGGTATAAAAACCCACTCCCTACATGTGCTCGCTCTCTTTTCTTCCAGAGCCATCTTCTGTCTGGCTCTCCTCTTCAATAAACTGCAACCACAACCTAGAACTAAGGAGAAACTTCCTGACAGTGAGAACAATTAACCAGTGGAACAACCTGCCTCCAGGAGTTGTGAATGCTCCAACACTGGAAGTTTTTAAGAATAGACTGGACAGCCATTTGTCCAAAATGGTATAGGGTTTCCTGCCTGAACAGGGGGTTGGACTACATGACCTTCAAGGTCCCTTTCAACTTTATTATTATTATTATTATTATTATTATTATTGATCATCGCACAGTCAGCCAGATGTTCAGACTGGATTTGGCATTTTGTCTACCTATCGAGTCCTTACCCAGGACCTGGGATAGGCAGATGTGGATGTTTGATGGTATTACAGATATCATCGCAGGATATTATTATTATTATTATTATATGCAGAACAATCCAGCTTTTCTTGGCACAGATGTTAAACTGCCATTTCTTTTCTGTTTTTTTCCCCTGTTTTTTCCCCCTTTTTATAACAAACAAAAGTCCCAATCTAGACAGTAACATCTGTTCTCTCTAATTGCCTGAGAATATTCAAGTACAGGTAGAATATTGAGGCAAAGATATTGGGACAAACACGGTACTTACTTCACTTAGCTTCTTTTGCAAGTCTCTGACTTGTTGTGCATATTCTTCCAAGATGTTCTCCACCTGCTCTTTTCCAGAAAAACTACTTGATTTTCTCGGGCTCCCGATCTCCAGTTCATATTTGGAAGGCTGGGTCTTAGGAGGGCTACTGTATGAACTAGGAATATTGAACGAGGTGTTGTCCAGGACTGTACTGCTGTGCTTGTTTGAACTTGACGATGATTTGGGGCTGGTCATAATGTGAACCCCTAAAACAAACATACGGACCAGAATTTTGACAGTAACTGAAGAAAACAGAATAATATAATGGTGGGGGAATGCTAATTTCTATTAAATTCTTATTAACTTTTTATATTTAGCTTTTTTTATTATTCTGTGTGCTGCTCAGGCAGCATATAAATATAAGTTTAATGAATACATGAAAAATAACAGTGATTACTTACTTTTCTAATCAATACTGACAACCATGACACCTGATAAGATAGGGGATAACTGCTCATAACAGCTTCCCTACACACACACACACAAACAATGTCAAGATTTTTTTCCTTTTTGCCATAATGAGGAATTAACACTCCTTAAACAGTGAGAGTCTCAGAACCATAACCCATAGCAACTAATAAAGCACCAGAAAACTGCATTTACAGGTAGTCCTTGTTTAGGGATCACCATTGAGAAGTTGTTGCCAAGTGGGGAATTATCTGACCTCAGTTGTGTTTTCTTTTTCCTTGAGAATGCTCACCCCAATGCGGGAATAATTAGCAAAAACAGGATTAAGGTTTCTACTTACATTCACTGGCGAGAAAGGGATCACAAGAGAATAGGCAGGCTATATTCAGCTCTGGGAAGGTTGAGGGAAGGAATGGGAGGGTTGGGGTGGGTTGGGGAGGGTTGTTTTCTTGTAAAAATTTTAAAAATTTTCAATAAAAAAAAAAGAGAGAGAATAGGCAGGCACATAGCAAGGAATACACTGAGCTGTTTGCATAATGTGCTCCCAGCCATAAGCATGCTTGGGACTACCACGTTGCTTTTGATGTCTATTCCCCATTGTGTGCCTGCCTATCCTCTTGTAATCCCCTTTTCTCCAATCTCTCCACTCTGCAAGGAGGGGAAAAAAAGAAAAAAAAATCTAGGTCAAGCACAGGATATTGTGCGCGGACTGTAATGGCAATAAATGAGGGAATTGGTCATGAAGTTATTTTTTTTCCAGCACCGTCGTAAGTTTGAACAATTGCTGAAGGAGGCAGTCAGTAAGTGAGGGCTACCTATATTTGCATCACCAAATAAGCAAGGCATTATGCATAGAACTCAATTCTCAGAAAATATATTATGATCAAGTTATTCTAGGGTCTCTTTACAAAAGGTTTCAACGTTTCTACTGTAAAGTATGGAGCATTCTTTACCATCTTTTCGCTCTATAGATAAAAATAATCCTGCAAGATACATCAGTGTTCGCTTTCTTTTATAGAAGAAATTGGTCTGAAAGACAGAGATTTGATGTTGTGGAATACAGGGAGATTGCCTAGATTTAACTCAATATTTTGGGGGTAACATGATCTTGTGGTATCCCGCTCATTCACTTAAGCGGCATTCACTAGCAAACCTATGAAATGCTGAAGATGCCTTTCTATGATAACATTTGTAGCAAGTTGAAATTATCCTAACTAGCAACAAGGAGAAGAACCCATCAGGAACCTGCACCCCAGTAAACCAAATTGTTTCTACAGCATTCACTGACTGTATCTCAGAGATGGTATGGCTGGCATGCTGACCTTGTAATTATGGATAAATAATAAGAAGACCTCAGAGATGGTATGGCTGGCATGCTGACCTTGTAATTATGGATAAATAATAAGAAGGTCTCAGAGATGATATGGCTGGCATGCTGACCTTGTAATTAGGGATAAATAATAACATCACGCTGTGATTTCCAGTGTCTGTCTTTGAAATGTAATAGACCAGTGGTGGTGAACCTTTTAGAGACCGAGTGCCCAAACTGCAACCCAAAACCCACTTATGCATCGCCAGGTGCCAGGTGGGCGTGGCCACTGAGCTGTCAGCTCGTGCTCACTCGCTCGCTCGTTTGCTGTCCGCTCTGACTCGTGCTCGCTCTCTCACTGTCTGCAGCAAATGCTGCTTCCGCCAAAAGTTGCTCCTTTTATAGTCTCTTGCCTATTCCCAGACTGTGCATGTGCGGAGAGCTGCACATGTGTGGAGAGGAGAAGGGAACAGCTCAGCCCAGCAATGGCTTGCGTGGCACCAGAGACGGCTCTGCGTGCCGCCTGTGGCACGCGTGCCATAGGTTCGCCACCACGGTAATAGACTAAAGGTATATAAGCTCTGGTTCTGCTTTTGCTCAAGGCTTGCTCACAAAATACCAAAATGTTGCTAGCAGTCCAGTATATACTATATGCATGCAAATAAAATTAGGTTGTATCTTCAAAGAGATTTGGTTGCTTTAGGTGAGTCAGGTTTAGGTCTCAACCATCTAAAAATATTTTGCGTCCAACTGCAGAAAAAAAAGTTGAGTATAATTTGCATATGTGCAAATTAAACATACCTATGGCACTGGAAGGAGAGGACCTTCCTTCTCGACGTCCAGTGGATTCCGAAGAGAATTTGGTTGCTTCTTCCTGGAGTTTCAAGGTCTCTTGTGTTTTTTTTTGCAATGCTTCCCTGCACAATTAAGAGGTAGATCGTAAATGGAACAGGAACTAGATTCTAGCACCGTGCAGAATTGATTTAGAAGAGCTACTTCATACTCATGTGGCACAGCACCTCTTGGCTCCTTATTAAAGCAACCGTGTCTTTCCCTCCAAACTTTTGTATAAGACTAGGAAAAAGGGTTGTGACTGATTTGCATTAAAGACACAGCTGCTTTAATGATTTGTCTTGTTAAATCAAGTACATCTTTTTTCAAACACACGGAGGTCTAAGAATGAATGTGGCTGTTTTAATGAGCAGCAGAGAGGTGCTATGTTTATGCAAATTCCAATTCTGAATTAATCCTTCTGAATAATTTTCAAAATGGCCACATCTCTACTATTGTTAACACATTTCCTAAATGTAAAGTGAAAGTGAAAAGCATCAATGCATTTCAAACTTAAAAGATGTCCGGAGGTTTCTTATTGTTCAGAGAAAATGTTTTGTTATTCTAAATATCCCACTTATCGTGGTAAAAACGCTGAGCAAAAAGTTAACGGCAAATCATAATTGAAATGTCTGTAATAGTATAAAACCAGGTACTACCTTAGCTCGTTAATATTCTTACTCATTTTTGTAAAACCTGCAAAAAATAACAATTATTTTATTGCAATATTATAAATCAAGTTCATAAATGTTTTGACAAATTGTGTCAATAAAAAGACATTATAATACTTGTGGTTTATATTTTATGGTAGAAGTCATACTTGTTAAATGTTAATTATTTATTAATAACATTTAACTGGCTGCGCAATTCAAAGAAAATGACGTTGGGCAGCATAGAAGACAAAAACCTTCCACAATAAATACAGTGTAAGGAACCAATATAGGTAGTCCTCAACTTATGATTGACCATTAATAATAATAATAATAATAATAATAATAATAATAATAATAATAGTAGTAGTAGTAGTAGTCGTAAAGTTGGAAGGGACCTTGGAGGTCATCTAGTCCAACCCCCTGCTCAGGCAGGAACCCCTACACCATTTCGGACAAATGGCTGTCCAGTCTCTTCTTAAAAACTTCCAGTGTTGGAGCATTTACTGCTTCTGGAGGCAGGCTGTTCCACTGATTAATTGTTCTCACTGTCAGGAAATTTCTCCTTAGTTCTAGGTTGCTTCTCTCCTTGATTAGTTTCCACCTGTTGGTTCATGTCCTGCCTTCAGGTGCTTTGGAAAATAGCTTGATTCCTTCTTCTTTATGGCAGCCCCTGAGATATTGGAAGACTGCTATCATGTCCCCCCTTGTCCTTCTCTTCGTTAAACTAGACATAACCAATTCTAGCAACCGTTTCTTATATGTTTTAGCCTCCAGTCCCCTAATCATCTTTGTTGCTCTTCTCTGTACTCTTTCTAGAGTCTCAACATCTTTTTTACATTGTGGTGACCAAAACTGGATGCAGTATTCCAAGTGTGGCCTTACCAAGGCATTGAAGAGTGGTATTAATACTTCACGTGATCTTGATTCTATCCCTCTGTTAATGCAGCCTAGCATTGTGTTGGTCTTTTTGGCAGCTGCAGCACGCTGCTGGCTCATATTTAGGTGATTGTCTACTAGGACTCCAAGGTCCCTCTCACAGTTACTACTATTGAGTATGGTGCCACCTATGCTGTACTTGTGCATTTGGTTTTTCTTGCCTAAATGTAGAACCTTGCTTTTTTCACCATTGAATTTCATTTTGTTAGTTAGTGTCCAGTGTTCAAATCTGCCCAGATCCTTCTGTATCTTAAGCCTGTCTTCTGGAGTGTTGGCTATTCCTGCCAGCTTGGTGTTGTCTGCAAATTTGATGAGTTCCCCATCTATCCCTTCGTCCAAATCGTTGATGAAGATGTTGAAGAGCACTGGGCCCAGAACAGAGCCCCGGGGCACCCCACTACACACTTCCCTTCATATAGATGCAGTTCCATTGAGGACCAAGAAGTTCCATTTAACAACCAAGAAGCAATGGATGGAAATTAATCAAAGAGAGAAGCAACCTAGAACTAAGGAGAAACTTCCTGACATTTAGAACAATTAACGAGTGGAACAACCTGCCTCCAGAAGTTGTTGATGCTCCAACAATGAAAGTTTTCAAGAAGAGATTGCACAACCACTTGTCTGAAATAGTATAGAGTTTCCTGCCTGAGCAGGGGGTTGGACTAGAAGACCTCCAAGGTCCCTTCGAACTCTACTACTACCACTACTACTACTACTACTACTACTACTACTACTACTATTCATTAGACGTGAACCTCAATCAACTGAACATTCAAATTGACTGGCGTTGATGGTTGACACGGGTTGCTGCCAGCATCCTAAGTGTCGATCAGGTACCTCCTTAAAATGTAAGATGTCCCAAGCAGCACAGTTACTACTACTACTACTACTACTACTACTACTACTACTACTACTACTACTATTATTATTGTTAACCATTCAAAATTAGGATAGACTTTTAAAAAGCTATTTATGGCCTGTTGTAGAAATTACAATTGCTGCCTCCGTGTGATTGGCAACCAGCAGAAAGTGTGGGGAAAATGGCCATAAATCACTTTTTTCAGTGCCATTTTAACTCTGAACGGTCACTAAACGAACTTTTGTAAGTCAAGGACTACCTGTAATCCAATTGGGAGGTAACTAAGGCGAGTAACCATAAGCAGGAACAGGAGCACCCGGTGCACAAGACAAATTTTTGCAAAGGTTCATCCTGATTCTCACTTAATAACTGTGTTACTAACTTAACAACTGAGGTGAGTCACTTAACAATTGCCGCAAGAAAAGTGGTAAAATGGGGCAAAACTAATTCTGCCGACTGCCAGCAGTTCAATTGTAACTGGCTCAAGGTTGACTCAGCCTTCCACCCTTCCGAGGTCGGTAAAATGAGGACCCAGATTGTTGGGGGCCATAGGCTGATTCTATAAAACAGTTTAGAGAAGACTCTAAAACACTGTGAAGCGGTATATAAGTCTAAGTGCTATTGCTATTAACAAATGTCTCGCTTAGCAACATAAATTTTGGGCTCAATTGTGGTCGTAAATCGATTACCTGTATAAGGAAATAGACAAGGGCTTCCCAGACCTATCCCCCAGGGTCTAAGATCTGACACAGAAATTTCACTCGACTTAATTATAAGTTGGGTTTTTCATCCCTTTGTTGTTGTTAGTTGCGAAGTCATGTCCAACCCATCGCGACCTCATGGACAACGTTCTTCCAGGCTTTCCTGTCCTCTACCATCTTCTGGAGTCCATTTTGCAAATTAAAGTATACACAGACTAAGAAAGAGGCCTGCCCTCTAAAAACTAGCATCTGGAATAAAAGCATGGCTAGAGCAATGTTTCTCAACGTTGGCAACTTTAAGATGTGTGGACGTCAACTCCCAGAATTTCCCCAGCCAGCCTGGCTGAAGAATTCTGGGAGTTGAAGTCCACACGTCTTAAAGTTGTAAAGGTTGAGAGAGAGACATTGAACTAGACTCTAGAGAATCTCTTTGTTCAGGAACAAAGTTTTTAAAGACATAGGGAGATGTTCAGGACACAAGTCCCACTCTAAACTAAAATATACGGATACGGACACCAAACTTCACAGGCACCAGAATATAGCACAATTCCTGTATTTCTATGAATCATTTGCACAGTTCCGTTTGCACAGACTACAGGCCTTGCATTTTCCATACACAGATAGTCCTCCACTTATGTCTAGTTTAACGAAGAGAAGGACAAGGGGGGACATGATAGCAGTGTTCCAATATCTCAGGGGCTGCCATAAAGAAGAGGGAATTAAGCTATTTTCCAAAGCACCTGAAGGCAGGACAAGAAGCAACGGATGGAAACTAATCAAGGAGAGAAGCAACCTAGAACTAAGGAGAAACTTCCTGACAGTGAGAACAATTAATCAGTGGAACAGCCTGCCTCCAGAAGCAGTAAATGCTCCAACACTGGAAGTTTTTAAGAAGAGACTGGACAGCCATTTGTCCGAAATGGTGTAGGGTTTCCTGCCTGAGCAGGGGGTTGGACTAGATGACCTCCAAGGTCCCTTCCAACTTTACTACTACTACTATTATTATTACTACTTAGTGTCTGTTCAAAGTTACAAAGGCATCGAAAAAAGTGACTTACGACCGGCTGGTCACATGATCAAAATTCAGAGGCTTGGCAACTGACTCGTATTAGTGACGGTTCCAGGGTCCCAAAGTCATGGATCAGTTTTGACAAGCCAAGACAACGGGGAAGCCAGGTTCACTTAACAACCGTGATACTAGCTTAATGACTGGAGGGATTCCCTTAACAACTGCGGCAAGAAAGGTCATAAAATGTGGCAAGATTCACTAAACGACCGCAACAGTCCTAAGTCACTTTTTTCCAGTGCTGTGGTAACTTTGAACAGTGACTAAATGAACTGTTGTAACTTGAGGACCACCATTAAACCGCTCCATAGTACTCTATAGCAATCTCTGGGCGGTTTACAAATGTCAGTATATTGATCCCCAACAATCTGGGTCCTCATTTTATCAGCCTCGGAAGGGCGAGTCAGCCTTGAGCCCCATCAGGATGGACCTTCAGACAGTGGAAAGAGGTTTTGCCTGAATACTGCATTTTTTTTTACAAATTTTATTTATAATACAATTAAAAACAAACAAACATTGGATTTGACGTGACATTCCAGTATATGCATTCTTATCAGATTATTCAATTTTTTACAATCAATTCTTCATCTCTATATATACATCTAAGTTTTATATACAATACTTGTTCTAAAATAACATATATTTCTATCTTAACATTCATCTTTAATCCCGACTGTTCTCTTCAAATTCCTCCAATGGTAAAATTTATCCCAGGTTTCATAATAAACTGATCCACATTTATCTTTTAATATCATTGTGAGCCTGTCCATTTTCGCACATGCTAATATTTTATGTATTAACTCTTCCTCTGTGGGAATTTCCTTGCTCTTCCATTTTTGCGCTAAAGCAAGCCTAGCTGCAGTCAGGATGT